CATGTGTACGCTATAGTTTTTTTTCTATTTTACACTCACTTATCTAGCTGCCAGTTTCATGGAGCATATGGGCAATGTCACTGATACCTTCTTGAACCTGGAAGGCGCTGCCGCAGGAGGGTAAGCGGTTTTAATGTAATTGTCCTGCATTACTTTGCTGACTGATATGTTGAAAGACGACCACTACTCTTCCGAACCGACTTCTCGCGCTCCTCTGGCGTCCTGGAGCACTTCTCATCCCCACGCAAATGTCCTTACTGGCGATGCGTTTTCGCGTGGTGTTATCCGCAGTGGTACAGACTACTCGGTTTACGAACAAGCTGGACTCAAGGGGCTAGATTTTGCTTTCTACCGCGGGAAGGAGCAGGGTATCATACGAAGTACGATTCTATCCCTGGTATGTCTGGCGACAAGAGCAAAAACGCGTTATGTGCAATGATGGAGGGAACACTGTTCTCGAGTCTCGTGCTCGCAAATGATGTAAAGGGAAAAACGAGGACCGAGTCCCATTGGACAAGGAAGTGAGCCAGTGTATTTCGACCGTAAATTGTCTCCTCTGCTATTTCTTCTGGCCGCATCTTTGACTTTTCTCTTAGTTTTTGGTACCATTATGATCATGTTCACATTCCAAACTCTAAGGATTGCAAACATTGTCCTCCTTATCGTCGGGCCTGTCATTCTCCTGATGTTGGTTTACTTCGAGCATATCATCCGAGTCGCGTCTCGTATTCGTTCTGGACACTATCGTGCTGCAAATGGTAATGTACATCGCGAGAGCTTTGTGGTGCGTGCATCGGCAGAAATCAAACATTTCCTCAAAAGCTTTGGGTCTGGTTCAAATTCTGGACTGCTTTGTTACTCGGTGTTGCCTTCCAGATGCTTTTAGTGGTAGGATATGTGAAGCTGAATTCATTCGTGAGCGTGTACTTCCTCGTTCTTCAAGCTCCCTTATCAATTGTCAGGTCATTCACACTCACCCTTGGCTTGTGCTTGTGTCTGCGTTGTCGTTGGCTTATCTCACAACAGCCCTTGCTCTCACCTTTCCACTTACGAAGCATGGCGTTGTCCCTGCTCCAGAACAGCAAAAGCTGTCTATCCTTCTCCATCAGTATGTTCTCACATGGGCGCCCCTCGTATATACAACATCAGCCATGACGCTTGGGGGAACATATTTCATAACCGTTTGGAACGCGGTGGTTTTCCTTGGAGCTGTGCTTGCGTGTGTGGAAGGCATGGCTGGCGCTCGAGGATACAAAGACGAGGGAGAGATTCAAGGACAAAGGTGTTACGTGCGAGGTGTGCACTACGATGTCGTGGACACTGCCGAGAATGGCCACCAGCGCGCGGGCATAATTGAGGAAACTGAGCCGACAGAGATTACACGCCTCGTCGCTCAGCATGGCCAGTCCAGGCCGTTAGGTCAAGAGCAAGGTGCTATTGGCTGGTGGATTGCCCAGCTGTTGGTTGTTATTCCGCTGCCTGTTATTCTAGTGTCTCATATCGCGGACATCGTGCTACTTGCAACAAACCAGACGCTCACAGACGGAACCAGTCCTTTGAGTGGTGAGTGCTTAACGAATTTCATATTGTGTTGGCTTAGCGAGCTGACGTGCCGTGCAGTCTATGGACCGGTCTCGATTCTGGCGTTACTCATCCTACTTCCTATTGCACCATTCAGTATGAACATGCATCGCTGGCTGAACGGTATCATTCTCATCCTCTTCATCCTGTCAACATTCTACACTTACATATGTTGCATTCCCATTCTCACAAGAAACACCACTCAAGGTCTATTTCGCTCAAAGTGTGGACTTAGACACGTCTCGCGTGGTTACCACGCTAACTGGTCCTCGTCAATTCCTTTCGACGGCGATCATCCCCCGATTCCCCTCTGCATTTGACCAACCAATCAATTGTACAGATGCTCCAGACAAGCTTGGCCTGCAAACTTGTACGTGGGAGGTTGGGGATGCATTTGTGCCCTCTCCGGGTCCGAGCAAGCGTCGTTATGAACCGCTCCAGGGTCGCTACCTTCTTGTGATTCTTGGGCATTGGATATTGGTGAAAACAACATCTGCACAATAAATTGTCGTTGTCTACTGTAGTGCTACATGTTTCAAACTAATATCGAAGCATCCGTGGCACGCGCAGATGAACTACATAGGGTTAAGGTTTAAATTTTTCCCAGGCCATGTTCAAAAGTAAAGTGATGCGCACCATACATGAGGCTTTCTAGTATATGTATGTTGTCAAACTCGGACAAGCTAACATGATCAGAGTCCCGGTGAACCTCCAAAAAAGTCGTTTGAAGTGCGTGCATGGTATTTGATATCGAGATATTCTTGGGAGCGTGCTGTAAGGGCGTGTCCTCTGCGACAGAAACCGGACTCGTGTTTTGAAGTTGAAGGAGAATCCGTCGCATGTGAGTAAACCGCTTTGAAGTCTGGTCATTGAGATTGACTTGGCATTGCAAAGTTCCAACTTAACTATGGCGGTGGCAGTGAAGTGCACTGAATGCCACTGATACGATGCTGTGGCGGCACTAGAGCTTCTATTAAACCACAGCAAGGTTGCAGCAAGGCAATTTAAAATTCAAACATGCACATTCATAACGTCTTAATTATCAGTTTCGTGCCTTCTCGCGCAATGTACATGTTGTCTGACAGCAGCACCACTGGCCATCAGGATGGCCTATCCATGTCATGGCCAGGCTGCAGTGCGAAGTTCGTAATATGTAAATTTTTCTGAAAGTGTGGAATGCCCTGCTCTTGCAGCCTTCTCGTCTCCGTTGCTTTAGCAATATCGCACCGTGCCTATGCTCCTGACGCCCATAGATTTTTTTAAAAACCTGACGCCCACTGCAAATGAGGCCATGGGTCCTGTGAGTCGCTTCTGTCTTCTTCACTTTGCACGGTGTTGATGCCATGTGTATGCTGTAGTTCCCTCCTTCATAATCCGTTAGAACTTTACAGGTACCGCAGTGTTTCTTGACCTCCAGCATACATCTTACTCTCAAGCGTTAGTTTGAATCCATCCCTCAACCATCATCATGGCCCGTCGTCGACATGTTACCTTCGAGTCTTCAAGCTCATTAGAATCAGACTCTGATTCAGGCTTTTCTTCAGCGTCATCGCGTAACACTTCCCCAACTGCTCCAGTAGAGAATTCTGGTCCCAGTACTGAACCATTCGAAGCTGGAAAACGTAAGCGTAAGTCGTCAGGCAATCAGGACGACAACAAGACAAAGGGTTTAACACGTCCACAATTGTAAGTCGTTGTGTTGTATAGCATACGTATGGACTTGATCTCTTGTTTTCAGGCAAAAAAAGGATGAGTATGTATATGAAGCACTGGTCATTCTAAGCACATTTTGTTAAATAGGATGGGGTTAGCCCAAGGTTATGCCTAACTCACATGTGCAATTTCACACATTTCTGGCATTTCTCAAAATGTGCAAACCAAGTGGTATCCATTTTACACATTTTGAGATAGGTCAAAAATGTGTGAAACAAAGGGTGTCCATTTTGCACATTTTGAGAAATGTCAAAAATGTGCAAAACAAGGGGTGGTCCATTTGCACATTTCTGGCATTTCTCAAAATGTGCGAAACAGGGGGTGGTCATTTTACACATTTCTACTATTTCTCAAAGTGTGTAAAACAGGGGGTGGTCATTTTACACATTTTGAGAAATGTCAAAAATGTGTGAAACAAAGGGGGTCCATTTTGCACATTTCTGGCATTTTTCAAAATGTGCAAAACAAGGGGTGGTCCATTTGCACATTTCTGGCATTTCTCAAAATGTGTGAAACAAAGGGTGTCCATTTTGCACATTTTGAAAATGTGAAAAATGTGCAAAACAAAGGGTGGTCATTTTGCACATTTCTGGTATTTCTCAAAATGTGCAAAACAAGGGGTGTCCATTTTGCACATTTTGAGAAATGTCAAAAATGTGCAAAATGGGGGTGGTCATTTTACACATTTCTGGTATTTCTCAAAGTGTGTAAAACAGGGGGTGGTCATTTTGCACATTTTGAGAAATGTCAAAAATGTGCAAAATGGGGGTGGTCATTTTACACATTTCTGCGATTTCTCACAATGTGTAAAACAGGGGGTGGTCATTTTGCACATTTTGAGGAATGTCAAAAATGTGTGAAACAAAGGGGGTCCATTTTGCACATTTCTGGCATTTCTCAAAATGTGCAAAACAAGGGGTGGTCCATTTGCACATTTCTGGCATTTCTCAAAATGTGTGAAACAAAGGGTGTCCATTTTGCACATTTTGAAAATGTGAAAAATGTGCAAAACAAAGGGTGGTCATTTTGCACATTTCTGGTATTTCTCAAAATGTGCAAAACAAGGGGTGTCCATTTTGCACATTTTGAGAAATGTCAAAAATGTGCAAAATGGGGGTGGTCATTTTACACATTTCTGCGATTTCTCACAATGTGTAAAACAGGGGGTGGTCATTTTGCACATTTTGAGGAATGTCAAAAATGTGTGAAACAAAGGGGGTCCATTTTGCACATTTCTGGCATTTCTCAAAATGTGCAAAACAAGGGGTGGTCCATTTGCACATTTCTGGCATTTCTCAAAATGTGTGAAACAAAGGGTGTCCATTTTGCACATTTTGAAAATGTGAAAAATGTGCAAAACAAAGGGTGGTCATTTTGCACATTTTGAGATATGTCACAAATGTGTGAACCAAGGGGTGTCCATTTTGCACATTTCTAGCATTTCTCAAAATGTGCACAATGACCACTCCTTGATCCACACATTTCTGTGATGTCTCAAAATGTGGACAATGGATACCCCTTGTTTTCGTCCTTCAGCCAACACAGTCTTCCACCACTGAACCCAGGCTTTTTCCCAACCTTGTTGGAGATGAAGAGAGCGGCATCTGAGTGCGGTAGTTAGTGCTTAATAAACCAGAAACATGCGCAAAACTTTCAAACCCAGCCAGACTTTATCCTCCCAATTTTCCCAACAGCGGCTGGCACAAAACATTTGTAAACAAGGGCAGCCACAGCAGCAAAAACCCAGAAAGTCTGCAGAAGTTGAAATATATGTGTCACTAATCAATATAATGTTATTCCTGATGTATTATCCCTTTGAGTCATATGCTTGCTGAAGCTCCTAACTTCTCTGCCATTCAAGAGAAGCTTCAGAATCGTTTTGGCAAGAGAGCCTGATTGTAGCAACTCAAAGTTACAGATGTGTTCCTGTGAAATGATCGTGATATTATCTGCATGGCGGGGACATGAATGGGAAAAACACTTGCCTTCTGGTCGCCATTAGCTCTCAAAGACACGGGTGTCCTAATCATTGTGACTCCGCTTAACCAGCTAGGAAAACAAAGTGTCAAATTCCTCGAAAACACTGGTATCCAAAGCATTTCAATCTCTGCCGAGACAGCAAGTAGAGCAAATTTCCGTGTAAATCAAAGACTATCTGCTAGTTATAAACATTTCATCATTGTATTCACTGCAGGACATAGAAGACTTGCATTACCATGCAATTATAACCAGCCCAGAACAACTGATGAAACCAGGTAGAGAATTCAAGCAGCTGTTGCAAAATGTTGACTTTGCCTCGAAATTCATTGGTGTCATATTTGATGAAGTGCACTGCATTGTAACCTAGGGAGATTTTCAGTCAGAGTACAAGGACTTGGGGTGCTTGCGTTATATCCTACCATGTCAGGTACCTTTCATGATCGCAATGTACAGGGAATGGACGTATCAGATGTGACTTTGGTCATTCAGTGGCGAGTATCGTGCAAGTTGTCTGCCCTCTGGCAATGGTTTGGTTGTGCAGCTAGGGACCATGCAGTGGAAGGGATTGCATTGCTGTTTGCAGAAAAAGAGTATTTTCATGATGTATGTGAAGATAAGTGTAAGTATCAGGAGCGTAAAAAGGAAGCAACAGATGCACCGGAAGATCATCCAGAAGCCAAATGCCATGTGATTAACAGTTCAACTGCTATTGATATTGCACACCCAGAAGGAAAAGATAGTGCCCAGGCTACTAGTAGTGGCTCAGCAGCAAACATACCTATGATTATAGTTACTGAGGTACAGTTGAAGGAATTAATGAGACCACCAGCAGGCACATTAGTGTTACAAGAACATCTAGACGCTTGGGCCCCTACCATTTTTCTCCTCATCCTCCTCGTATCAGCCCTCGCATCATACCCTCACCCCGACCTCACCCTCGTCATTTTTGTCATTCTCGCATTCCCTTTCGCCCTCTACCTGTCACTCCAGCAGAGCCAGTACATTTGGCCGGATCCTTTTGCTGACGAAGCATACCCATGCTCCGTTCCTCCACCTGACTGATCCTGTGGACAGTCCCCTTGCCCTTACCGTCCGGACGGTAACCTATGATCTGATGCACGACGCATCCCCTTTGCCCTTTTCCCTTTCTTGATCTCTGACTCAGTGCGCAGTCGCACATGCGACTTATACTTAGATCCGCAGCTGCACGATCGTGCCCCTGCGCGTTTCACTTCTTATTTCGACCTCTGACTCACTTTCTTATTTAGCACGTTCTGCCTCGCCTGTGTCTCAACGCGAACGTGCTTTCCTTTTATGGTTACACCCTTTACTGTTTGCCTGTCTTGGTAGTACGAGTTATCACCCACTAATACGTCTCCTGTCCTCTATATAAACTCGCTACCATGTACTATATTCCCTAACTTGAATCTACTTGGTTCTTGACCTCCTACTCTCACCAGAGTGATCCTTTCTGCCTAGCCAGCAGTCTATATTCTATCTTCTTATCTGCTCTTCGTGGATAAGCCTATAGTCTCGATCTTTACTCATCGACTTCATCGACGAGCAAAGCACCTGTTAACTAGTCAGACTTCTGTCCTTCTAATTAACAACGATCTTACGATTAACCTTTGGGTGTCGTAAGCCTTGGCAGATACAGCTCATCGTCTAGCACCCACTTGACGTAAGCTACCCGATTTGGACATAGGCATCAAATCTTACTTGCCGAAACTCGCCAAGTAAGACCCCTAACCTTGGGCAAGCCCAAGGACGTCCTCGACCGTTGACAACACACGCTCTGTTTGAGTGTCGCTGACAGATACCATCCAAGTCGTAACAATTAGAGAGGGTATTAAGGCAGAGGAGAGAATGAATTGGATTGAGCAATGGATTTGTTGATCAATGCCAATTATCATGGTGTTGGGTGTCATCAGAAGGTATTTAATATACAATTTGACAATGGATCAGCAGGTGTGACTTTCCTATAGCTATACTATATTAATAATTGTAATAATATTTTATGTGTGACCCTAATAATCTTAACGGCACGGCCAGGTCCTGTCCATGTGGTGCAACTTCCCGATATGGAAATTCATTTGGTGCAACCTGCAGTGAAATAAGCTGGTGTCTGGCTATTTGCAAACATTTCTGGTGCAACTTGGAGCAACTTCTAAATATGGAAGTTGCATCTGGTGCAACTTCCTAATATGGATCTTGATTTGGTGCAACCTGTAGTGAAATATGCTGGCGTCTGGCTATTTGCAAACATTTTTGATGCAACTTAGAGCAACTTACAGATATGGAGGTTGCATCTGGTGCAACCATGAAGCAACTTCCTAATATGGATCTTGATTTGGTGCAACCTGGAGCAACTTCCAAATATGGAGGTTGCATCTGGTGCAACCATGGAGCAACTTTCTAATATGGATCTTGGTCACATGCAACCTGCAGTGAAATATGCTGGTGTCTGGCTATTTGTGAAGATTTTTGATGCAACCTGCTGTAAGATAAGCTGATGTCTGGCTATTTGAAAATATATGTCTGATACTGGATAAGTCAGTATGTGAAATGGAGTGGCAACACTAAGCCAGTGCAATCAGCAATAAGACTAGTTACTTCTGATGCAATGATTAGCCTTACCAGTTACATTTGGTGCAACTTTTGAATACACCAGTTTTTCTAACAAAAATTCTCAATCTAAGGAAAGAAACCCAGACTGATACATTAAAATAAGCTGGTGGCTGCTTATTCACAAACATTTTTGGTGTAACCTGGTGTAGCTGACTACACCACTTGCTCCTAGTGCAACCTCCAAATATGGAAGTTGCTTCTGGTGCAACCTGGTGTAACTAAATACACTGCTCCTGGTGTAGCTGAATATACCAGTTGCTCCTGGTGCAACTTCCAATGATTTGGTGTAGTGACTACATCATTTCAGTGTAATGACTACATCATTTTAGTGTATACACCAGTGTACCTGAATGCACCAGTTGCTCCTGGTGCAACTTCCAAATACGGAAGTTGCTTCTGGTGCAATAGCTGCAGAGTGATTTGGTGTAATGACTACACCAATTCAGTATATACACCATTGATCTGGTGTAGTGACTACACCAGTTCTCACTACATTAGTGTACCTGGAGCAACTTCCTGATATGGAAATCCATTTGGTGTAATGTGCGGCAAAATAAGCTGGTGTCTGCTTATTTGCAAACATTTTTGGCACCACCTAGAGCAACTGGTACAACAGAACATCATGAATAGTTATGTTTTCCCAGTCATCTTTCTCAATGAATTGAATGCTTGGTGTAACGTACGGCAAAATAAGCTGGCGTCTGCTTATTTGCAAACATTGTTGGCACCACCTAGAGCAACTGGTACAACAGAACATCATGAATACTTACGTTTTCCCAGTCATCTTTCTCAATGAATTGAATGCTTGGTGTAACGTGCGGCAAAATAAGCTGGTGTCTGCTTATTTGCAAACATTGTTGGCACCACCTAGAGCAACTGATACAACAGAAAGTCGTGAATAGTTACGTTTTTCCAGTCATTTTTCTCAATGAATTTAATGCTCGCCCTCCACTCTGAATGAGGTAAATTTTCATAGATCACTTTAGTCTGAACAGATGTGCATGCTCTGCATAGTAAAAGAGTCAGAAACAAGATAGACAAGAAGATGAATTTGTTTCTGACCTCCGGTGTCTAATCATCTTAACAGTTTCAGCAGGTCCTGCAGGCAGGGTGCAGTATGCACCAGTATGCACCAGTATATACACCAACTCGGTGAAAATAAGCTGGCGCCAACTTATTCACGAATATTTTTGGCACCACAAGAATAACAAAAAAATCACAGAAAATCAGAGTTGATGTAACTTTGATATAGAGTAGTTGCTCTTGGTGCAACTTCTAAATATGGCAGTTGCTTCTGGTGCAACCTTTGAATATACCAGTTGCTCTAGTGCAACTTTCAAATTGGGCAGTTGCTCCTAATACATATTACAAATCTGATTGAACAAATTCAGACTAGACAAATTGGTGCAGCTGAAACAAATAAGCTGATGTATGTTGGAACCTTTGAATATATTATTTGCTCCTGATTCAGATTCAGAATCTAAGTTAAGGAAGTGAGACAGAAGAATCAGTGGAACTAATAGGATTGACTTTTCACCACTATATACACCCTTCATTATTCAAAATGTGGCCTTCCAGGACTTCCGCTGTGTAGGGGTGTCTCAACCATGATTTGGTTGCACATCTTCGATCATGAATGTGGCCTTCCAGGACTCCCACTGTGTAGGGGTGTCTCAAACATTGTTCAGTTGACCGTCTCCCATCATGAATGTAGCCTTCCAGGACTCCCGCTGTGTGGGGGTGTCTCAAACAGGGTTTGGTTGACCATCTCACATCATGAATGTGGCCTTCCAGGACTCCCACTGTGTAGGAGTGTCCCAACCATGATTTGGTTGACCATCTCACATCATGAATGTGGCCTTCCAGGACTCCCGCTGTGTAGGGGTGTCTCAACCAGGATTTGGTTGACCGTCTCCCATCATGAATGTGGCCTTCCAGGACTCCCGCTGTGTGGGGGTGTCTCAAACTGGGTTTGGTTGACCGTCTCACATCATGAATGTGGCCTTCCAGGACTCCCGCTGTGTGGGGGTGTCTCAAACTGGGTTTGGTTGACCGTCTGACATCATGAATGTGGCCTTCCAGGACTTCCGCTGTGTGGGGGTGTCTCAAACAGGGTTTCGTTGCACATCTTCGATCATGAATGTGGCCTTCCAGGACTCCCACTGTGTAGGGGTGTCTCAAACATTGTTCAGTTGACCGTCTCCCATAATGAATGTGGCCTTCCAGGACTCCCACTGTGTGGGGGTGTCTCAACCATGATTTGGTTGACCATATCACATCATGAATGTGGCCTTCCAGGACTCCCGCTGTGTGGGGGTGTCTCAAACAGGGTTTCGTTGCACATCTTCGATCATGAATGTGGCCTTCCAGGACTCCCGCTGTGTAGGGGTGTCTCAAACATTGTTCAGTTGACCGTCTCCCATCATGAATGTGGCCTTCCAGGACTCCCGCTGTGTGGGGGTGTCTCAACCATGATTTGGTTGACCATCTCCCATTATGAATGTGGCCTTCCAGGACTCCCGCTGTGTAGGAGTGTCTTAAACGTTGTTCAGTTGACCGTCTCACATCATGAATGTGGCCTTCCAGGACTCCCACTGTGTAGGGGTGTCTCAACCATGATTTGGTTGACCATCTCACATCATGAATGTGGCCTTCCAGGACTCCCGCTGTGTAGGGGTGTCTCAAACAGGGTTTGGTTGGCCGTCTCCCATCATGAATGTGGCCTTCCAGGACTCCCGCTGTGTAGGAGTGTCTTAAACAGGGTTTCGTTGCACATCTTCTATCATGAATGTGGCCTTCCAGGACTCCCGCTGTGTAGGGGTGTCTTAAACATTGTTCAGTTGTTCATCTCCTATCATGAATGTGGCCTTCTAGGACTCCCGCTGTGTGAGGGTCTACCATTCATCAGCCATTCATCCTACATACTCATAGCCTTTCAACATGTTCACATTTGTTGACTTCAAAGGCACAATCCAAAGTCCAGCTGCGTGTACAAAAGTCTCGATTGGTATATATTCTTTCTGTGAACTTGAAAATAAGAAAAACATGTGAAGTTGGGTAAATAGGAAACTACCCCAAGGTAGAAACACTACATTCAAGTTCAGATGAAGAGTAACAAGTAGAAGTGTATGAGATTAATGGAGGATACTAAGAGGCGATGCGTAGTATATGCAATACAGGTGCAGTATATATAGGAGCCAGACAAAATAGCTGTAAACAACATGCGGTGACCAATCAATGTTCGACATCTAAGCAATGACATGCTTTGATGTGTAAGTCCAGCTTACACCCTCCCACCCTATGAAGCTTTCTTTTGCCCTTCCCAGATGTCAGCGCCTTGCAATCTTCAAGATCCTGGCGAGGTAGCCATTTGTCTTTGTCAGCACCACAACCAACCTAACACATGAGGTAATGTTTTCCTCTTCTGACCTTCTTTTGTGGACAATCTTCTCAATGAAGTTCTCCATCTGTCCGTCTTTGGTCACGACAGGTCTGGGCCTTGGAAACTCCTGCAATGGGAATAGTGTTGTGTCGTTGACATGGAAGTAACACAATTGTGAGGAGTGGAAGGTGGGGAATATGTTTGGGGAATTTGGGAGGTCGAGCATGTAGGACGACATTTCTGGGTGGGATTCCAGGATCATGTAAGGTCCGTCGAATCTGGGCATGTATTTAGCAACACGCTTATCACCTTTTTGCATGTATTCTCTGCGCTGGTTCTTTGTTGACAGCATCACCTTGTCGCCCACCTTGAGCTTTGGTTCCGGCACCCTTGCTTGTTCACCTGGGTTGCCTGAGTCGCCTTGGCTGCAAGCAAGTTGTCCTGGGCTTCCATCACGTCGTGCTCGAGCTGCGTGATGAGCATGTGGGCGTGTTCTGCTTCTGGTGAGTCTGTGGCGGGTGTTCTTGCTAGGGGGAGTATGATGCATGGGGAACAACTGATATGCAACTGGAAGGGCGATGTTCCGGTGCTGGTGTTGATGGAGTTCATGATTTAAAAATGGACATGCGGTAGAGCTTGTGCCCATCCTTTCTGGTTTTGTTCGACATGGAATCTAATACATTGGTTAATGGTCTTGTTAGTACATTCACTTGCGCCATCCGTTTGTGGATGATGCGAGGATGACATCTTTAATTTAATGCCCGTTAGTTTGTGTAATGATTTCCAAAAATGTGAGAGGAAAAGCTTATCATGGTCTGATACAATGTCCAATGGCAATACATTCTTGCAGTACCAATGGTTGAAGAATATAGCAGCAAATTGTTCCGCAGAGATATTGTCATGACAAGGCATGATTCATATGTCAGCATTGAGATGGTCCATCATTGTGATGATTATGTTGTATCCATGATCTTTGGGGAGGGGGCCAATGAAGTCAATCGCAACTGAGTCCCCCCGTCCATCTGGAACAGGCAAGGGATGTAGTGGACCTGCAACAGAGGATGTGGACAATTTGTTCCGCATGTATTCGACACAGCTTGGTATGTATGACTCGACGAGATCCCTGTGCATGTTCGGCCAGTAATATGACCTCCGAAGTGCAGCGTATGTTTTGTCGCTCCCGAAATGACCGGACATGTCGTGTGCCAAGTGGAAGAGCTGTTCTTGTAGGGGGTTTACTTGGGGAATGACCAGTCAACCCACAACAAATAAGAGGCTGTCCTTTTGGGACAATCCTGGCAGGGACCCTACAAGCATGGTCAGTTTCTTACAAAAGGTGTCATCCACATAACCATTGATGATATTTTTCAGGAAGGTCTTGTTGAGGTCGATTTGAAGGACAGAGGTAGGGATCGCAGCAATGATTGTTGGGCTGTCGTCAATTTGTAGGTGAGATAGTGCATCTGCACCTGTATTTTCTTTGCCTTTGAGGTATGAGATTGTCAGGTCAAAGTGTGCGAGGTATTCGGCCCAGCACACTTGCCACCGTGACAGGCCTTTTTGTGTGACAAAATTTTCGAGTGTCCTGTGGTCCGTGGACACTTGTGCCGGTTGTCCCAACAGTTTGATGTGCCATTTCTTAAGACCTCGAATGATGGCGAGTAGTTCCTTTTTGTGCACTGGATAATTCAACTCACCTTCTTGTAACTGTGTAGAATCAAATGCCACAGGTCTCGCAGTCTCCCAAGTCTCTCCCCAGGACAACATGGCACCCATGCGATAATCGGACACATCGCAGGTGAGGAAGATTTTGTTGTTGCTGGGATTATCGTGGTCAATCATGGTAAGACATTTCAGGCTTGTCACTAAGTCCTTGATCGCACGGAAGGCTTGCTCATGCTTGTTGGACCAGAGAGGGAATTCCAGTTCTGTGGCCTTCATTGTCAAGGGAGTCAGTATGCATGCATGATCTGCAAGGGCAGGTAGGTGATTCACGAGGTAGCGAACGAGGCCGAGAAACGCTCTGATGTCATTGGCCTTTCTAGGAGTAGGCCAGTCAAGAATTTGCGCGATCTTGGACTTGTCGGGCTTGATGCCTCGTGTGGAAATGTGATGACTGAGGAAATCAATCTTGAGGTTGAACAGCAAGGTCTTCTTGAGCGAGCAGAAGAGGTGCGCAGCTCGCAGAGCATTCAGAACTCCGCGGACATTTCATTTGTGTTCTTCCAGCATCTGTGACCAAATAATAATATTATCAAGGTACACATGGCAAATTTTACCAATCAAGTGTCGCAGGGCTGAGGACATGTGATGTTGGTGTGCTGCTGGTGTGTTCCATATGCCCATAGGCATGACGGTCCATTCGTACAAACCCTAGGTGTTACAAGAACATCTAGACGCTTGGGCCCCTACTATTTTTCTCCTCATCCTCCTCGTATCAGCCCTCGCATCATACCCTTACCCCAACCTCACCCTCGTTATCCTTGTCATCCTCGCATTCCCTTTCGCCCTCTACTTGTCGCTCCAGCAGAGCCAGTACATCTGGCCGGACCCTTTTGCTGACGAAGCATACCCATGCTCCGTTCCACCACCTGACTGATCCTGTGGACAGTCCCTTTGCCCTTACCGTCCGGACGGTAACCTATGATCTGATGCACGACGCATCCCCTTTGCCCTTTTCCCTTTCTTGATCTCTGACTCGGTGCGCAGTCGCACATGCGACTTATACTTAGATCTGCAGCTGCACGATCGTGCCCCTGCGCATTTCACTTCTTATTTCGATCTTTGACTCACTTTCTTATCTAGCATGTTCTACCTCAACCGAATGTGCCTTCCTGTTATGGTTATACCCTTTACTGATTGCCTCTCCTGGTAGTATGAGTTATCACCCACTAATACGTCTCCTGTCCTCTATATAAACCCGCTACCATGTACTATATTCCCTAACTTGAATCTACTTGGTTCTTGACCTCCTACTCTCACCAGAGTGATCCTTTCTGCCTCGCCAGCAGTCTATATTCTATCTTCTTATCTGCTCCTCGCGGATAAGCCTATAGTCTCGATCTTTACTCATCGACTTCGTCGACGAGCAAAGCCCCTGTTAACTAGTCGGACTTCTGTCCTTCTAATTAACGACGATCTTACAATTAACCTTCGGGTGTCGTAAGCCTAGGCCGATTTAGCTTATTGTCTCGCACCCACTTGACATAAGCTACCCGATTTGGACATAGGTGTCAAATCTTACTTGCCGAAGCCTTGCCAAGTAAGACCCCTAACCTTGGGCTAGCCCAAGGACGTCCTCGACCATTGACGACACACGCTCTGTTTGAGTGTCGCCAACAGATACCATCCAAGTCGTAACACTTGGCATTGTGGACTGCTCAACATAATGTGTTAGGCTTGCTCGATATCTGGCGTGCACGGTGGATGAGTCTAGCGACATCAACTGCATTCCAGTTACGCGCCTTCCTTGTCCTAGGCACTCTTGCAACTTGGGATGTCGATGACGATCTCGTGTATCAGATGCTGGTGGCAATCAAGAACGCGCTAGGATAGTCCACAGAATCCGACATGATGGCAGTGGTTTGCATGCTTCGGTGCATCTGCAAAGTAGTACCTTCCCTGACCGAAGGTTCCCGGTATCTCTGTCAGATTTTCTGGCTGGCCGCTGCTTTGTTGTGATCCAGCTACACTGTGTTTTATTCAGACGCTGCTGGGCTCATGATCTTATTTCTCTGTTCACATCATTGCGCCCCTATGGGGCCAATGGGACCCGGCCGCACTGCGTCTTCCCACTCTTCACAAATCAGCATTGCCTCGCCCTTCACCACCCACGCGTCGACTTCCACATTGGTATCGCCGCCCATATCATTCAGGGCCCGGAAGGTATCTTCAGACATCGCAAGGAGAGCGTCGCACCAAGGTTCGCCCTTCTTTGCATTGTTGAGCCTCAAGTAAGCACGACATGCCCCACGAAGAATAAGAGCGTGATGCGGGCTTCAAGAAAGAACGGTAGGTAGTGGGAGCTTGCATGAAGGTGGCGACAACATGTCTGGATCTCCATTCACAAGCAGCGCGTCTTCGAAAGTACGGGCAAAGCCATAGCCAGTCTGTGTTCAAATAGGTCTGATATGGTGTCCAATTGGCAAATCAATTCCCAGCACGTCCACCAGGGGGGCGTGTGTAGGTTGAGGGAGCTGAGGAAGGGGTCGACCGTACTTTGCCACGACCATACAAAATCGCACGTGGGTTGGAGGAGTGCCGTAGTGACCAGCTTGTAGGATCCCATAGCGCACTTCGTAGCTGAGAAGTGTGACACTAGAGAAATATCTGATGCCTGAGCGACACTTACTTCATGTCACTCATCGCCCTGATCAATAATTTCAATCCGCCCATGGGAATACCCCCTCTGACTCTGGAACCATCAAGGTTGTTATAGATGAACCTGCAGGCAGAAATCTTAGCGGGTTTCTCAAAAAGTAGCAGAAGATGTATGACTTGTAGAAAATGTTATAAGGCCCAACGACAGGCATGTCTTTTAAAGGATCAACGAACTGGGTCAAAACTTTTCCGACGATATGGTAGAATTCGACAGTGCCACATGTGTTGGTCATATTGTTAAACATTGTTCACAAGTCACTTGGAATCACGTGACCTGTTGGGGGGCAGTTGACCGTAACTTGCTGCATCGCGGAGTACAAAGGGCCCTCGAGGCATCAAAAGGCCGCACCACTGATTCAGATACCATACCCTTGATCCACCATGTCGTCAAATGATGATTCTGTCGCAGTAACGGCTATCTATCCAGGTAAGTTTCAATGCATCTTTGTTTGCTGCAGGGACAGACCCATTGATCTAATTCTCTCAAAGACGTTAAACCCTCAGATATGCTCAGTGTCTGCCGCTCCGGTGGTTTCACAGCACTATTCACTCCTAATGCTGAGACGAATCATCGTATCAAAACTCAATTGGCCAAGAATGCACCAGCAAATCAGACATCCGTGGAACCCAGTACAACGTTGGCCACTGATACTGCCACAACCCAGTCAAGTACATCAGCAGTCCCACCTCGCAAATGTGTGTTGTAACTTTCAAATAGTCTACAAATGCGCTGATCAGTTTTCTACAGCCAAGAAAGCTAAGAAACGAAATGCCGCATCAGCGGCCAATACCGCATCGACGGCCAATCCCCCTCAGGTGACTATGGACAACCAGCTTAAAGAGATGCTGGCCTCGATGCAGAAGGAAATGACAGAGATGTGAGGAAGGAATGAGAGCATGCACAGCAAGATCGAGAGGATGCATAGTAAGCTCGATAGGGTTCTCGGCAAGAACAAGAGGATTCTCGGCAAGAATAAGAGGATTCTGAGCGAGAACGAGAGCATGCGTGCTGAGATTGAGAGGATCAACAACGAGAACGAGAGCTTGCGCGACAACAACGAGCACATCAACAATGATCTTGCCAGCGTTCGCAAGGATCTAGACACTGCGAGAGTCAAACACACTCAGGACGTTGAAGCACTGAGAGAAGTAAGTCATCCATCTTTCTGAGTACCGTCCCTGACAATGATCTCCTCAGGTCACTCTCTTACTAGTCCCCTTGGATCTTCGCGTCCTACTCGACCTTGCATGCCACAAGGTTCTGGAACACCTCGGCCAGGAGACCTGGGAAGGTCTCCGCTCTAAAAGCAGTGTCTATGAACTTTCCGATACAATCTTCGACGGTCTTAAGCAGAAGGGTGTATCACACACTCCACCGCACCAGTCCATCTTTTTTTTGTGCTCATATAATAACATTAGATGAGCAGGAAATATAGCTGCTCATAGTGCAATGGAGGAGGATATTAGGCACGCAGTTCTAACCCAGCAGCTGGAATCCCAAGAGCGAGCCTGCTTAGAGACTCTGTTTACATATGCGTACGATGGAACACAACTGTAGATCATGGCATTTACTGTACAATGAAATATTTGTCTGTACTTTTTGTGTGCACTCAGGCTGATTTGGTCAACGATTTGGGTCGTAATGTAGTTTTTGATCAAGCACATAGAATTACAAACATATTCCGCATCATTTGTCCTTCAATACATAAAATAAATCAAACGACACATCCACAACTCCAACAACTCCCTCACAAACAACGCAGCCTATATTCTGTGGCTTTATGCTGTGCAAGCATCGAACAACATCTGGCGACACATCTTTTACTGCCCATCAAATACATCGAAAGGCAACTTCCAACCTGCGCTCAGGTTGACCACTCTCTGCGGAGTGTGCGAAGTTGCTGCTTTCTCCAACCTCTCAAAGTCTTCCTGTGGGAGTTCAAATACTGGAGGGCATATGTGGGTGAGTACTATGCACTGTCTAACAAAAGTTTAAACCTTCTCACCTTCAAGGTTCTCTGTGATGCGAGAAGGTGTTATGCTCTTCGGTAGGACGATCGTCTATCGAGGTTTGGAAAGGAGAGTCATGACACAATGCTACAGAGATATGGACATACACTGCGCTGGATGCTCCACGAGATAATCACCTGAGCCGGGGTGATTCTAAGTTTGGATGTGATGCTCTTTACCTGTAAGTATATTTAGATGATGAAGTCCAGACCCCATGACGTGAAACGATACCTCAGGGACAGAGAGAGACTTTCCGACTTGCTTGTCGCTACCAAGTGGAGAGTACGCCTCGAGAAGAAGCCCGTTTTCCTTTGACAACTATGGATTGCTCATGAACTCGAGCACAAGTGTCTACTTGCCTGAGCTGGAAACATACCTTCAATAGTTCGGGTTGAGGGTTCCAAAAGTTGAGCTCAACTTGATTGACAGCTGGCTGGTACTTCAGATTGTTTGCGGTCAAATTCTTGATCCTGAATTGGATTTGAGCAAGATTGACTTGGAGCAGAGATCGTTCGAACCTTCTGGTATTGAAGCTATTGGTGAGATGTCAGCACCCGTTTGACTCAACATGAATGAAACTCACTTGCTGATAACGATGTACCTTATTTTACCCTTGTCAACAAGTTCTTCGAGCTTCTGCCAAGTAGGATATGGATCGGCAGTAAGATCCCCATCCAAAATAGTAGTGCACGTCTTAAATGCAACAGGTCTTGTTCGGAATAAGCAAGATGCACAAGTGGGTGAATAACTGCCCCAATGAATCAAGTACAAGTCGAGATAGTTGGTACCAAGCATGGAAAGCGATTGGTCTAGCGCAGTCTCAATGTCCTCAGGTGCGTGAAAAGTGTTCCAAAGCTGCTACCGGTCAATGTGAGGTCCAACTGATTGAATCGAAGGTACTACCTTTGATGTGAGCCAAAGTTCTTCACAAGGTATAGAACTTGTTTTAAGAGCTTGACCAACTTCTTCCTCGTTCTGCAACTATCGTCAAAGAAGTTCGTCACGATAAAAGGGTCAGGCACACACAATAAATCCAGGCTCCATCGATGTGCCTATAACCTGCTGTCAAAGCGGTCTGAAAGCATGTGAGCGTAAGTACTCGGGGGAGTGCGGAGTATGCATACCTTCACAGCATTTCCGACTTCCCCCTTGCCAGCCTGCCATACACCTGTATGATTAATAATGAGTTCAACACCAACTTGCTGAGGCATTTACCAGTGCCGTACCCAATGCAACTGAGGGAATATTATCACCCGATGGTAAGGTGTAGTGAGAAGGCAGCTTTGCCAATGTAGAAGAGTTACGCTGCGAGCCATGACAAGCACCCCAGAACCCCCTGGACCTGATCATATGTACAAAAGGGAGTGAAGTAAACATGATTATGATGACAGCGATGACAAGGAGAGATCTCCTTTTGCGAGGGTCCCTGCATTGCAGAGATTCCTGCTCTCCAGTGTCCTTATCTACTGTTAGGAGTGGATGGTATTTCTGTGAGAATGACATGGTTTGGCGTGGTCTCAGGAGTTCACGCCTGACATATATAAGGACAGAATGGTTGGTCCCAGCGGCCGTACGTCATACAAGTCCCATTTTTTATCATTTGCTACAACGTTTCTTTGGAGCTCCTTTGTAACCACTTTGGGGGTGCTAATCAACAGTCGTCTCTTCAACCTTTCTATGATGGTCGGTCAACATGGGCCAGAGTGGATATTGCAACCACGTCGACAGAGGGCTTTCTCTAAGGATTTCGTGCGTTACATTGTGTTTTCTGAATCATCCACCAGATAGCTTATTGAGTTTGGGTCAGGCCGCCGCTATGCCAGATTATAAGTGAAGTATAACCTTTGCAAGCCTGTCGGAACATATCCTTTCTACTCCATCGTAAAAGTCTTCCCCATTTGATATAAGACCTTGCTAAACCGACAAAGGCATGAAGTAAGTTATTGTCGACTACTAAATATTGTTCTATATGTTTTTATTCATCACTGTTTATCGCATCTCCCACCCACCCAACCTCGATTTCTCAACTTTCCGCACAGCATTGTGTTTGTGCGGCTCGTTAGTGCTGCCGTGGTCCAGTTCAGAGGGTCTTCAACAAGAACCGAGAACCGGACCAACAGTTCGGTTTGGCGAAATTGTCGAACCCAGAACCGGACCGTTGAGAACCGTTCTCAACGGTCCGGTTTGGTTTTTTTTGTGGTCCGAACTCGAACCAAACCGTAAATTTTTCTATAGGGACAGCAAAAAATAATTGACGAAATACTAGCTACACATCGAGTAACTAGTCTAATAAAATTTGTGCATACCCCTCTGCCTCTGTAGCTGCCAAAAGATGTCCATTACAGTAAGTGGCCTTCATTAACTGTAGAGCAGAGAAGGTGGATGATCCAAGAGCATTGCGGCGCAAGGTTGATGTGATTCCCCCGCTAGAGAATGCGCGTTCAGAGGGAACCGCACTACCTTGAATTGGTAGATAATCACGGGCAATACGAGCGAGTGTCGGATATTGTAGCGAGTGTAGCTAATGAATAATGTCAGTTGAGAATGTGTGAATAAAAAAACAACTTACCCCCCACCATGTGATGACATCATCTGTCTCTTCTAACGGCAAAGTAAGATATGAGGTGAGTTCGTGATGGGGGTCGCGCATGTGAAGTTCTGCGGCTTGACGTGCCATGACCGCATCACGCATCCAGGACTGGCTCGCTCAGGTTCTTCAACTCTTTGATCTTGACGTGTTTCTTCTCGAGTGTCCTGTACTCATCTGTTAACGTTTGATGGTATTGTCGAAGTGCTGCAAGTCAATGCTGTCCCGAGGCCACTATGATAGGGTTCATGTCGACAAGCTCCAACTCTGGTACATTCTGTGGGCTGCTAAAATCAAAGGGAAGTGTTTCCGCATTTTTAACATGGTCGATCTCAATGATGAGTGGAATAGTGTTCATCTCTCTCATGGACACGATCCCATGGCACTTGAATGGTAGTATTAACTTGTGCGTTTCAGTGTCGTTTTCAGGCCGGTCGTTGTAGACCCCGAACTTTAGACGCTCTCCCATCTCCAACATATTGATACATGCGACACCAACCTTGCTCTTTATCACCTCAGTATCCAGACGTTTGATTTCCTTCCCAGCATCGTGCTTGGGAGCGACCACCTCCACTGGTCTGGTGTCAAGGTGAAAGCTTGATCCTCCTCCTTCCTGTTACACCCATTGATCATCAGTTTGTGTTGTTAATTCTAGGTATACCCATTGTACACTTACATTTGTTGCTTCAGATTTCTTTCCTTTCCCTTTGCGCGATGCTTTGGGGTGCATGTCGATATGTATTTTCAGTCCTGATCTTTAATCGATGTGATGGTAAGTGTCTAACAATTGATTTTATCGCTATCCGGCTCCTTTTTTAATAACCCTGGACCCTTTGCCCCATGCACGCTACGCTGTCGCCTCATGTTCTTACTTATGCCTCATGTTCTTAGTACTTTGAGTTTCAGCGATGGTCATGTGATTTGATCACGTGACGATTATTATCTCTCCGTCTGTATTTACTAGCACACACCCGTTGTGCCTTTGGCACAGGAAGCAAAAAGAGCACTTCGCGCTCTTTGTTGGCTTCCTGGCCTTTGGCTTCATCCTACCTTTGGGTGTTTTAATAATCATTATTTTAGATCTTGAAATAAATTATATTGTATTCATTGAGTTGAGCATGATATATTACAATTAATGAGATTAGACATATTGAACCCTCCTGTCCTCCTGTTGTTCTCTGGTTTTCTCATTCTCCTGTTTCCCTGTTCTCTGTGCAGATAAGAAAAGTAAAAGTACAATTGAATGTGTTGATTTCCCCTTACCTCCCTGTCATCCTCCTGTCCTCTTGTCCTCCTCCCGTCCTCTTGTCCTCCTCCCGTCCTCCCACTTCTCCTGTTTTCCCATTCTTCTATTTTTCCCATTCATCTGTTTTCCCTTTTTCACTGTTTTCCTGTTCTCCATTCTCCTGTTCTCCAATTTTCCCCATTCTCATTTCTCAATTGTCTTTTCTTCTTAAATTTTTTTCTTAAATATGTAGTTAAATTTATTATGATTTGAATTTTGTAAATAATAAATGTTTTTCAATGAGTGCTGCCCTAACGGGCAGCAGACGCACGTGATAGCCATGCAATTTTTCAAATTGAGCCTTAAGCGAGGTAAGCGAAACCATGTGCTTCGCACATGGCCCTACGCGAAAACCATGTGAGTGTCCGGTCCTTCCCTCACTGTTCTCCCTTACTTTATAGACTAGCACACACCCGTTGTGCCTTCGGCACAGGAAGCAAAAAAGAGCACTTTGCGCCCTTTTTTGGCTTCCTGGCCTTTGGCTACATCCCACCTTTGGGTGTTTCAATAATTATTATAGGTTTTGAAATAAATTATATATATTGTATCTGTTGAGTCAAGGTTAAGTCCAAATTTAATTACACTTGGCATTTCACAAATTAAGACTAACTATAAGACAAATGTGAATGTGAATGTCAAGAAGGCTTCCAGCCAGGGGGAGGACCCTCCTTGAGTACCTGGTCCAAATGATGCCGCTCCTCCCAAGTTTTCCCCTTCCTCTCCTCAAAGATGTGTTCACGCCAAGCATCTGCAACCTTGCGCTGCTTTCTATGTTCAATTGCCTCATCCAAGCATGCACAACTAACATCCCAGTCCATGTCATTGCACTTGCGGGCATGCTCAAATTCCTCATCTGCCCTGATCATTCTCTTGGCCATCTTTGCATTTTCTTGTCGAAGGTCATGAACTCGCTGCTGTGCTGCATGGAGACCCTCTCGCCGAGTGGAGATCTTGCTGTATGGGTCAGTGAGCTGTCTCCATTCAAGACACCTCGAGTGACTCTCTGAAAAGCGGAGATGGAGTTCAGCTGCCCAGTCAGTCGTACCTGAGGGTACTGATGGAGCAGTGGATGCAGCAACAGGCGGGGTGGGTGTCGCAACAGGTGGAATAACTACATGGCATTGAGCACGTCGCTGCAGTCGGGCAGCATAACTTGTGTCCAGACCCTGCAGAACCCTGGCATTCCAGTCAACAGCAGGGGTCGGCTCGAGAAAGCTGGTGTACCTCGTAGCCACCATAAATGACAAATCAGACAGACAGAAACAACAGAACTCACCTGGCAACATGGCCTGGCATGATGGGGAGTGCAACATTGGAGTCACCACAGGCCACAGCAAAAGATGCTGCTGAAGGTGCTGGGGAAGCACTGGGGATAGCAGCTGCTGTAAATTTTCCAAATCAGATGAAGACAAAGAAAAAGAACTCACCTCGAGGCGGCTGGCTCTGTGTCACGTGACACGGTAAAAAATGTGCCCGTGTCGACAGTACTGGCAGGGGCAGGCTGAGTGCTAGTAGGAATCATCATGTGAGGGCAGCAGGACACAACCGGAGGTATTTGAAAGCGATGGGAAATTTCGGCAGGTGAAGGGCGAGGTCGTGGCAGCGCTGGTGCATTGGTGTTTGCAGCGTTGGGTTGCGGCGTCGAGCGCGGGCGGCACTCGAAAAAGCCACGCGAGTTGCCAAAAAGAGAACTAAGCGAGGTAAGCGAAAACCACATGGCGTCCGCACGTGGACGCCATGTGAGCAAACGTGGATGCCACGCGAGCACACATGGCATCCATGCGAGCATGCATGGCACCCACATGAGCAAACGTGGCCTCCATGCGAGCTTCACGCGAGTGCTCGGTGCTTCCCGCAACTGTTCTCCCTTACTTTATAGATCATTGTAATCTTAGTATATATCTTAGTATACATAGTGAATTTATATTATAATTTACATTAGTCCTGTGCTATCGCTCATATAGTAGATCTATATATATATATACCTACCGTAGTACAATTAAATAACATGCCTGCATAACTCGTATGAAATATTTTCAACTACAACAATTCGTCCCCCCGTCCAGACCGTTCCAACAGTGGCCATATTGACTACAAATATATTTGTATTTGTATATTTGTATGTGTTTTATATGTAATCCATTGTATACGACGCCGTTAGGACGGTTCTATCGGCGGCCTAAGTGATCTGTTGAATGAATGGTAATATACAAGATAAGTTATATTATAGAGATATACATAGAGGTAAATATACGCTTGTGAGTGAGTCCAATGGGTCTAAAATACCTTATATATATGGTTTTTTAGACATAGATAACGGAAATCCTGCATGATCACAAGTCATTAATATGTTTTGGGGCCCTTGGGGGTAACAAAACCACATATTGTACCTAACCCATTTACAAATATCCTCTATAAATAGGGGTTGATTTCATGCAAATCTGACATGTGCATATTTGCGCAATATGGGGGGTCCATTTCACGCAAATCTGACATGTGCATATTTGCGCAATATGGGGGGTCCATTTCACGCAAATCTGACATGTGCATATTTGCGCAATATGGGGGGTCCATTTCACGCAAATCTGACATTTGCATATTTGCGCAATATGGGGGGTCAATTTTGCGCAAATCTGACATGTGCATATTTGCGCAATATGGGGGGGTCCATTTCACACAAATCTGACATTTGCATATTTGCGCAATATGGGGGGGTCCATTTCACGCAAATCTGACATTTGCATATTTGCGCAATATGAGGGGTCAATTGTGCGCAAATCTGACATTTGTATATTTGCGCAATATGGGGGGTCCATTTCACGCAAATCTGACATTTGTATATTTGCGCAATATGAAGGGTCCATATCACGCAAATCTGACATTTGTATTTTTGCGCAATATGAGGGGTCAATTTTGCGCAAATCTGACATGTGCATATTTGCGCAATATGGCTGTTTTAGATATACCATAACCCAGCCTTAACTCTAATGGACTTGCAAAATCATGGGTAGAATGCCTGAAAATAGACCGGGTCCTCGTCGTTGCGTACAGGCACTGGTGTGCGACAACCAGACAGGTGCATTAACCCTGATGCATAATCAATCTGGAAATCGCGTGACTCAATTAACATGCTTGTTTGTGCATGAGTCATGTCTGTGAAAGTCGAGAGGAGTTGACGATGGGCATCCGTGCGCCACTGATAAGCATATCCAGGCTCAGACATCTCGAGGCCAACATCAACATAACAATGTTCTTCACCTGTCAGATCATCATAATGAAAGTCACTGAGGGTCTTCATTAAAGCATCCTCGGCCTCATCAATGTCTCCTGGACAATGTTGGTTGGCCTCTTTGACACCCTGCACCTGGACCATGAACAACATCCCTTTTGCCCAAGGGAATGCAGTACCCAACGCTCGAGCTAGATCATGGCCGAAGCGCCTAACACGATTGCCGGGGAATGGACGAGTGCCATACTGATACATTCCACGAGTCTTTTTGGCACGGGTGAGGGCGCTCTCATAGTTGACAGGCCAGTTGGTGACGGTGTCAGGACTGAGTCCATGTAGGACAGGCATCAAACCCTTTTCATACAGGCCCTTCTTCTCTTCAAATGTGAGTTCAACATCCTTCCTATCAGGGTCATATAACCGAGGGAAGAACAATCGCACTTTTGTGCGGATGCCAACTGCACCCAAACAGATATTGGGCACACGATGAGGCCTCATAGGTCTATCTGCCTGATGAGGTCCCCACAGGGAGTGATGAGTATGATATGGTAGACGGGAGACATATCGAATGCACCTGTCTGCTATGGGTACTCATGGGAACATTGATATGGATGCTGGAGTGCAGAGTTTCGACAGGGTTGTTGAGTGGGTAGAGAAAAAGATTGGACTTGACAGGTAACCAGTCAGTGAAGGAGAGGAAACTATCATAATCCCTGACGACGGAGACCTCCCTGGGTGCCTGAAATTTGTTGCGGGTTGGTTCGATGGAGTACTGAATATTCTCCTCGGTGTCCTTTCCAGTAAGGGCAAGGATGCAGGCCCTATAGTAGGTAGCATCAGATATGTTATGGTGGGAGGTGATATCAATATATGAGGAGTTGAAGTCAGAAATGGAACATCCTTCGATCTGTGGGGCTGGATGGTTCATGGTTGGTTGGTTTAGTTGGTCGATTGACTCGCGCGAGTGTTGGGTTGTTATTTCTTGGTGGAGATGCTGGTTGTTCTTAATGATCATGTAGGTGAGGGGAGAGGGCGGCGAATGTCGACGAGGTAACTATACAGCATTTAATCATGACACATTATGTCTTCTTTAAAATTTTGAGCTCGGCTTTGTGGGGATATTACAGTCTAAATATCTTCGTACATTGATGAAGAGTAACCATGAAGGATTTGATCATGACAAACATGACATAGTATGTGTTCCTTGCTTTTGATATAATGCTCTAGAACTTCCTATGTTGATGAGGTAGCTATGCAGGAGTTAATCGTTACAAACATGACATGCTGTGTCTTCCTTGCTTTCGATATAACACTCTAGAACTTAATATGGTAACCACGGAGGAGTTGATCATCCTAAACATGACACTCAGGATGCCGTCAGATGCCGCATTCTACATATGTAAGGACAAAACGATTTCGAATTCATGTGCCCCATGTGCGCGCGCCACTCGAGCGCCAACTGAGCTCCACATTCTCGATGTTGTAAAGAAGTTATTGAGAGGAAAGTATTGGAACTACAACGAAGAATAAACTCACGTTCTTCCATATCTGAGGAAGCCGGTAAGTCAAATATAATGAGGTACACAGCCAGGCAAATATTCGGCCAATTACGCGTTCAGCCGATGGGGAATCTTCTGATGATCGAGTGCGTGACTCGTTCTGGCTAAAATGCCAGAGGGAATTCGACAGTCACAACTCCTGCATCTGATGATGACCCATGGTAGGGCGGGTCGTGCGAGGACGCTGTTAATGGATGTGGTACATCAACTTCATCTACCAGTGCCCTCCGACGCCGTCACTTCTCTCTACTAAAGATCTGGAGTGAGCATAGGTTAGAGTTCCAACACTAAACAACACCCCAAATCCAAGCAAGACCATACTTGCCCCACGTCGACTCGCACGCGAACTAGCCCTATGGCCACTCGCCGCACGCGAGCTGGGTTGCTCAACCTCAATATCTTCCGCACCTGCCATATGCTGCTCTGGACGACCCCGAAAATGCTGGGAAATCGCAGCTGAGGAGCTGTAATTTGCAATGACGTCGAGACGACCGGCCGACATGGAGCGCCCGGTTGATGATCGTGGCATTCTCGGCTCCATAAAACGCGTTTCCGCCCAGAGTGAAAACTTTCTAAGAGTGCTGAGAAGACTGCACCATCAACCTCAACCTCGTATTGTGCTTCTTCGACGACCTGGGGTGGTGCGTCATTGAACGACTGGTCGGCGAGATGCTTTCGTGGAACACGATGTTCAGGTAAAAATATTGACTCAGCAACGAACAGTTCACTATGCAAAGGTAGGTCGCAAGATAAGTCTGAAAGCGAAAGCCAGTCATTATCATCCAGACACAGCATGACCATCAGTAGCCTACATGGAATGGAAGCCGGTGAGTGACCAAACATCCGACTGAGTTCGAAAAGTTGCCTAGAAAGTAACATCAGCGGATGGCAAATTAATCGATAAGGATGTGTCGTACTGAACATCCAATTGCACAAGAACGGTAGCGCGAGGCCCTCACACGACCACCGTTTGTAAATTTCAATCACCTGTCCACGATGGCAAATGTATGGCGCAAACCATCGTCAATTTCACTAAGTGCAACGTAGATACTGATCACTCACGAAAATTGGGCACCAAGCTTAGAATCGGTGCATAATGGTCATGGTACGAGGAGAACAACTCTCCAATATATTGGGCTGTATGACTGAGCATTGAGGCATCGTCGAGCTCAAGCAGAAGGGTTCGCCTGTCCGCAGTGGTGACGTGAACAGTGTAGAATGATTTGGGCTTACGGATTTTTAACCATTGTTTTGCTTGGCCGCTTAATTTAAACTTTAGTCCAGCTTCCTACTAGTAGTAAGTTAGGGCGCTGACACTTTCTGTCGGTGAAATTTTGATCTCAAATACATGCTGAGTATCATCACCCCAGACAAAGCAGTTGAGGTGCAGCGGTTCAGAAGGCACTAAGTCAGACCGCGATCAGTAGGGAAGAAAGGGTGGCAAGATCGAAATGTAACTCGGCAGGTGGGCCTTGGATAACAATATGCAGACGCTTACGTTAAGGAGCATTGTCAAAAACTTCTAGTATTTCATCTACAGGCGATAGCAACTCCCTCTTGCTAAGTTCGAGACTCTAGGCCGACTCATAGTAAAGCGAAGGAAATGTTCCCTATAGCCTGAGATTGACTGAAGAACCATGATGCTATCAAGGTACCAGGTCCGAGAACCGCTGATCAAGTGCTAAACCAGGAACCACCACTGATATATAGCACTATAGACGAATTTCGTGATCCCGGATCCCCATACTCATTGGCTTCACCAGTTTTCATAATGTTTGTGTAATGTTTGTCTATTCACAATGCAGTATGGGAGCTACCCCGATGTTATCTACAGTACGCTACTTAATCTCGAAGAAAACATGGCGTTCAACATCTGAATATCATGATCAGCCAGGATCAACTGTCCGTCTTCTGCCCCAGTAGGCCTCCATAGACGTTTTCCTCGATATACGTTGATTGGGTATCGGATTTCACCTATTATCCCGGACCAGTCGAAATCCACGAGTTTGAACCCGGGGCTGTGATCCTTTTTTACCATAACATTTGTATTCCGAATGTCTCCGTGAACATAACGTTCTTGGTGAAGAGATTGAAGTCCCATAGTGAGCGCATCGCGATGAGGGCGAGGATCGGAAAGTTCCCCAAGACAACAGTAATCGTCTGTGATAAACTCCATCACAACCATGTACCAGCCGCCTGGTAGGTGTTCGAAGCCGTAGAGTGCTGGAGCAAAGCCGCCAGAAGCACATCGTTGATGTACTTCCTTAGAGTAACGACGGACGAACTTGATGCAGAGCATCTTGTCATCGGTTGTTTTGGCGGAAAAGAGTAGCTTGGTGGTATCCATTTGATGGCAGTACGTGAAATGACACGTCGACGATGTGTCGACGCAAGTATAAGAATACGGGTATGGAAACCCGGGATCTGGAAATTCCGAGTCCAGAAATCGAAGGTGTGGATCAGGAGAAGGGGACGTAGTGTTTGATGACATTCGCTCGTAGCATTCCGAGAGAGACCGAAGAGCTTTCCTGAGCGCACCAACGTGCCGTGCGACCATCACACGCATTTTGGTATCTGTTTTGTGATGGGACAGAGGTAAAGCAGCCGAAATCGCCTGCATGTTCGGACGCGTGCTCCAAACAGCGGCTGAGAAATCAATGTATGACCCTTTGAATTGTGATCAGTGCATCGCGAGTTGTGGAATGCTAGAAACCTACCAAAGAGTGTGATTGCTATACAGGGAAACCTAAATGAAGGCTTCTCCTTCGAGAAAGAGGTCGTGGAATGTATATAGTATGAAAGGACTTGCATGTGGGGTTCTGCCTTCGTGGACCCTATCTCGTTCTTGACTTCTGCAATTGCATAGCGGAAACCTTTGTACTGTATGTCACCGTCGGTGGTGTAGTTGCTGCCATCAATTGTCGTGGCCCTTATGTCGATGTCGTGCTGCCGCAGGAGTTCACGAAATTTAGAAGCACGTCCTGTCTCGTCTGCGAAGAAGCCGGACATAGCCACCGACAATGCCATGACCAGCTTGTTATCGTCTGGCGTTGGCTCATGGTTTTCACAGTCGTCCATGAATGCACCGAAGATTGGATGAAGTAGCGTGCTGGGTATAGTATGTGCAGCCGAAGGGGGTCGATCCCAGTGAATGGTGAGGTCCGGGCTTGTCTGTATGCCTTTAAAGTTAGAAGGCTCCCCCTGACTGGAAGGAGCATCCTGAGGAAATTTCCGGCTGTACTCTGAACGAAGTTGCTGCGTCCTGCTCAGGAGTGCGGAAGGCGACAGTTGCAAATGAGTACGGGAGCCGTCTGGAAGGTAGCGTCAGCTCATCTGCCGTGTCAGTTATACCAACAGGTAGCTCACCAACAGGTGGGCGTTGGATCACAATATGTAGATGCTTATACTGAGGAGCATTGTCGAAAACCTCTAGCATTTCATCCAGAGGTGATAGCGACTCCATCTCGTCGAGTTTGAGACTATCAAGAGTATGCTTGAGCGCTTTATTGAAAGGCAAGTTAACCTTCCAAAGTCTTAGCGCAAGATCAGATCACAGGTATCAGATCATTTACCTTCCATAGCTCGAGACCGCAAGCGGCAATGTGGTCAAATTGTGGCTTCGTCTTATCCTTGATCAAATTTTTGAGGTCACCAACAGTCTGCTTCTGCACGATGTCGACTGGGAAAATACGGTTTGGGTCTTCGCCCAAGACAATGCAGTTGAGGTGGAGCGGTTCCGAAGACACTAAGTCCGACCGCGATCAGTAAGGAAGAAAGGGTGGCGAAATTGAAAGATAACTCACCGACAGGTGGGCCTCGGATAACAAAATGCAGACGCTTACGCTGAGGAGCATTGCCAAAAACTTCTAGCATTTCATCTACAGGTGATAGTGACTCCATCATGCTAAGTTTGAGACTCTCAAGAGTGTGCTTGAGCGCGTCGTCGCAAGGCAGGTTGACCTTCTAAAGTCTCAGCGTAATATCAGATCACAGGTATTGATTACTCACCTTCCATAGCTCGAGACCGTCAGCGGGAACATGGTCAAATTGTGGCTTCTTCGCGTCCTTGATAATCTTTTGGAGGGCGCTGACAGTCTCTGTCGATGCAATTTTGATCTCAAATACATGGCGATGATTGTCGCCCAGGACAATGCAGTTAACTTTGTACATCTGACGTTGAAACAAGAGTAATTTTGGTATGAGCAGTGACCGCAGTGAGTGCTGCAGAAGTCAAGCAGCCACACCACGTGACCGCGGCGCCTACAGGGCAGCTTCACCACTGAAATGCAAGTTTTACCATCAACTCTTATACTCGTCTTGTAAAAGGTCTAATACCTACAGTTAGTAAAATTATTACATGTCAGTCTGTAACCTTATGAAGAGCATTATAAGGGTAAACTCCGTGGCCAATGATTAACATCATGGGGTCACCATGACGGTCATCCCTCAACGCCAAAAGGCCTAGGCAGTGATAATCAATGCTAAGGAACTCAGGTGAGCAACTGGCTGATACAGCGGTTTACTCTGAGCTCCCATATTAAATAGCATTCAATAGATTTTGCTGACTTCTGACATTCTGCTAATTGTCAAGAGGGCAATTCCTTTTTGCCACGACAACTAATGTTGTGCAGGACTGTTTCCATCGTCTGACGATCCTGCATGCCAAAATTCAAATTCACCGTCTTGACACTACGCATGTGTTTTGCTAAGAAAACGGCGTTCGTGCGTTGGACGGATGGCGTTGATATCGCCACGAGTCACCTCCCACACATTGTAACTGTCGATTACTCGCAGCTTTGCCACGTAGGCTCCTTCTCTGGCTTACAGGAAATTTATACAAGCCCGGCACTATATATACTTCTTGCACATCCGACGTTTTTGGCGACTGCCCTATCATCGCCTGTGACATGGCATCCGAACTTGGGTCTTCATTTGTGTCGTCTTTAAGTACTTCAAGTTGTTGCCACATATTGGTCATCAACTAGCAACATCCAAGCTATGTCACGGTCTTGGGTCAGTCCTGGCGTAGCCTACCTCACTCGGGGGTTCATTTCTGTCTTTTTTCCGACCGCTTCTTCCGTCATTATCATACAACGTTTGGCTTCTCTGCAAGGTTTTCGAGTCCCCCCATGGCTTTTGTCTCTGGTGGTTTTGGGCGCAGCCCCTCTGGGGTTTGCTGCTTATATTTTCGTTAATGTTGCAGCGACGAAAGGCCACTCGACTCGGTGCCAGACTCGTTCCTCGTGTCCAGGGCGAATGGCCTGGAAATCTGGACAAGGTAGTGGACATATTCATGAGGTTGGAGAACGAATACCTTGGTATAATTTCCGTTCCATCCATTCCATGTTCATGCTTTACTTCCGTCCAGGACAACCTGCGCTGGACGAGATGAAGGAACTTGGGCCGACTTTGAATTTTCGGTTCTTTTGGGAGGACGATATCATGACCTCGGAGCCCCAACACCTAAAGGTAAGCTCCAATTTCTATTCGAAGAAAATCTAAACCAAGCTCCACCCAGACCATGCTCGTAACTGATCATCAGAACTACGTCAAAGGTATGTCCATGAATGTTGTCTATCTGCATGTAATGACTTATGACCCGATTTAGGTGTAAAGTTTGGAAAGGCAGTTGACTCGGTTCTTGGAACGGGTGTATTTAACTCGGATGGTAAGCGTGAACAGAGGGCCTTTTATGTTGTGACTGATGGATCGATTGTCCGTACCATCAGGTGAAACATGGAAGTGAGCCATATATTTTTGTATGAACCCGATAGGGAACCTTCAACATGCTTATAGGCTTCACCGAACTATGACACGGCCTTTCTTCAATCATGATCGGATGAGTCATTTTGAGATCTTTGACCGTCATGTGAATCGTACTATCGCTTTGGCGAAGGAACGTTTCAAGATGGACTTGGCGATCGACTTCCAAGTAGGGCTTCAACTCGGCATTTTGACATCTTTGTTGAAGAACTGCCCACAGGATCTCATCTCCAGATTTACACTTGATTCTGCATCGGAGTTCCTGTTTGGACATTGCACTGATTCACTTTCCGCCGAACTTCCTTTCCCCCGTAACACAGGAGAATCCACAGATACCATTCAAAGAGACATTATAGCAGCCTTCTCAGATGTTTTCTCTCAAGCTCAACATGCAATCAGTCGTCGTCTTATACTTGGGTCGACGTGGCCAATGACTGAGATTCTTGCTGACAGCACCGCGCAAGATATGAAGGTGGTCAGCGAATTTTTGGATCCGATTTTCGAAGCCGCTCTGAGGAGGCATAGCACGGCTGCCAAATCAGATGAAAACAACACTGCGGGCAACGAAACGCTTGTGGATCATCTGGTAAAACTGACATCGGGTGAGGCGGCCCGTTACCTGGGAATTTCTGTTGTTGAATATTATTTTCAGACTTCAAAGTCATCAAGGACGAGACGTTGAACATATTACTAGCAGGAAGAGATTCGGTAAGTTTGCAATTACCTCTAGAGTCATCCTGGTTGGTAATAGATAATATTAGACAACCTCGGCGTTGACTTCGGCTATTTATTTACTTGCAATGCACACGAATGATTGTAGTTTTTCACATTATAATTGTCTTCACCATAGATTTCAGCAATCCAATGCGATTAGGCTCATACATGACAGGTCGTTAGTTCTGGTAAGCTACCCGATCCCCTGGGTGAGCAATGTGGGGAGCTCCTTCGAGGACGTCGGACCATGTTGGCTGAGCAGATCGCAAAGTGAGATTCTCATTCAAGTGCACTGTCAAACATTCGTTATGTTGTCAACAGTAGTACAGGCAAGTACGGATGTGAAATCAAGCGAAAGGTTTGGGTCTAGAGATGAGGCCCTGGTCGACTCCGCGACCCAGTGTCTGATGCTCGTTTGCCAGTTGTCCGTCTTCTGTCGCTTTTCGAGATGTGAGACTGCATGCTCGGTGAGAGTGGCCCCACCTGAATTGGGTGACCGTTTACGTTTGCGGTCGCCTAGTAGGGGTTGATTGTTATTCTGATATATATATTTCTGGGTAAATCAGACTAGTGCGTACCACCATGTCCAGAGCGCGTTTTCGACCGTTTGCTACGTCCGTCCGTCTGACCAGCGTCACTCTGTTCTCTCTTCCTCTTACCGCCCGTTTCTGACTTCTCCCAAGCCTTCGCAGCTGCTCTCACATGCGGATCCATGAAAAGATCCCAAGTGTCACATAGGAGCGTAAGTCGTTGTTTTAGATCCTTGGCGTCTGATTCCATAGTAGACCCTTCAGTCTGTTGCGGATAACGACGAAGAACGATCTGATCTATCTGATCTCTTTCGCACTTGGGCCCTGCATTTATCACGGTAAACGGAGGCGCGACATGACATTCGAGTAATGGGAGGTCAAGGTAAGGGTATTGATGAGCAATCGATCTGCGAAAGAATGGATCTGTGCAGGATATGGATATGAGGGTGTATTGCGTTTTCGTTTTGAGCCTCCACTGCACAACAGTAAATATTTTGGTCATGGGTTGGCGATACTATGAGTAACTTGATTGTAAGTACCTTCGACCGGAAAGATTTGCTAACATTAGACGTGGGTTTTTTTCTCGATTCGACAACTGCTGTGACATGACCGTTGACTTCTTCCAGCGTGTGCATATCCGGCAGTAGAAACCATCCATTCCTATCAAAATATGCATGCCAGTCCGGGCTTACTGTGGGCTAACATCAGAATTCAAACTGGCAAAATAGGCAACATGGCGTACAATAGAACATGTTTCTCCTACTGTCAACATGAAAATGTCTATATTCTAAGCCGAGGCAATATTCATAGAGCGTAAACTGAAGAAACATTAGAATCGCGTATTTAGTAGCTTATAGAACTGCTCACATCATCGCTTTTGCTCCTGCGTTGAATCACATGCGCTATCTGCAGAATTAAGGCGGAATCTCTCAGCGTGACAAGGCAAAGGCAATCGCCATAGATCTTGCGACATAATTTCCCAAGTTCGTTACGTGCGCGGTGAGAAAGTGATAAATTAGGTTCCGAGCGACTGGTAGGGGTTGAATAGATGGCGGTTGTATTGTTCTTTGTGGGGGTACCAGTATATTTATATTCGTCGTTGCTACTTTCTTGGAGATCTGGATTTTGATTTACAACGCGATCTGAGTCACTATCGTCGGGATCACCACACGATGATTCAGGATTCCGAACGCTGTCTAAATATAAAGATTCTGCGAGGGAAGACATCTGATTAATATCAAAACGGGGAACATGAAAATTAGTCTTGGTAAAGCGAGAATTGGCACCCGAAAACGAATCACTTGCGTTTGAAAGCGAAACGAAACTTTGAAACCCTGAATTGAAATCGCTGGGAATTTTGTCCGCTGGCGCTCTTCATAAGTGTCGTAACTTGCTCGGATCCCAAGTTAACGCGAACTTTTGAAATTGAGCCCTTTTCGGTTTCCCAGCAACATCCATGACGGTCCCCACGGTAAGTCCTCCTTCGATATTGTTGCACAGCAATCAATTAAATTTGACGCTGAAGCAGCCTTCTGAGCTTCTACCCATAGAGGGTATCAACAAACACATTACCGGACCTCAGACACTCCAGGATGTTTACCTCGAACTTCGAAGGGAAAAAGAAGAAAATGCGACACTCAAACGATTGCTGGGGCAACTTGTGGCGGAGCACAATAAGTTAGCAGCAGCCCTTGCTAGACTAGCTGAGTCTTGCCGCCCTGTATGTTTGATTTTTTCTACTTCAAGTTACGTATTGTTCACTAAATGCCAACATTAGTGGGTCTAGTAGTGCTCGTTTCCTGCCCAAGGGAACCAACTGGCAGTCAGTCCTTCAATACTATGTTACATAGTCTACTAGTAAGCAGTAGACTAGAACGTGGTCACAGGAAACCGCATGTTCTCCTAGTAATCTACATCGTAGTCTTTTTCTCCCTAATGGCCCCAGTGGCAGAACATCTTTTATTATCCACCACACATTTAGTGCATTCCTTCGACCGCGTGACGTGAGGACCAGAATAGCGCGAGGGATGTTTGCGAGGTCAGTAATGGCTGGTATTTCTCCAAGCGGTATGAAACGGACAGCATAACACACGAAGTATTGTGTAAATGGCAGAGATCGGGTGCACAATGAAAAGAGTGAAAGACATACATTGATAGACATCTAAGCGTCATGAGGTCACCTACAAGTTGCTTCGTCCGTGGACCGACCTATTGACTTCCACCACTTCAGGCGAGAAGGACACATATCCTGATAGCAGTGTGCTATTGCTGCTTGTCTGACCATCAAAAAGGGTGTTATTTTTGGAAACGCCACATGAGGCGAAAGGCTGGTTGAAGCGCGCGCAGAAATATCCACTCCAGTGTTTTGCAGGTGTCGAAACAGGTGCAATAATGAAGTCCTGGCATTCAGGATTGCTGCCAGAAATTTCGCGAGTATCAGGATTAATGGATATGGAACCCTGAGGATAAGTCAGATTACGAGGGTCCGAAGATCCAAGAACGCTAGCCCGAGTAGCCTCGATGAGAGTGTAAGGGCGACGGGTATCAGTGAATGTAAAACGGAGGTGTGCCTAAGTAGATATGACGCAACTGAATAGCGGATGCGGTCAATGTAAACAAGCTCTGGATAAACGAATCTGACAAGGCTGGGTGAGTGATACGCACTACGCAGAATCATGTATCAATGGAACTGAGACTAAATGCGTGACATGGGTGAGAAAACGAAGCTTCATAGCAGGTTGCAATTGAAGACTAGATGGGAGACATTCTGACCAGCTATCAAGATACATGTACAATGCGCTTCGTGGTCTCTTTGCTTAAGTTCTTGGCATTTTATTCAAGCCTTTCGAGCCACTCAGAGAATGGCACAAGTGGTAGAAGGTAACTTGTTCCAAGTTTACGTTGATATGGACTGACGGTAGGTCTGCGCGACGCAGATCGCGTTTGACGTTCACCAACAATGTGACTTCCCCGTCTCAACTCAGGATCAATGCGGAAGTTGTCAGATGCTGCGGCCATGGAACTAGGACAATTCGGAGCATGACTTGAACCTGCTGGCATGCCAGCCTGAGGTAAATTCATCCCCACCACGTCACAACCTTCCAAGAAAGAATTGTCATCATCGCCCTGTTCAAGTGCTGCTCGAGCAGACTTGCTGCGGCGCTTACGAGGGCGCTTGTAACCCTCACCACCAGAGCAGTCGAGTTGCCAATACTTTCCTTTGCCTGTCTCCGTGATGTCACGGGGTGCATGTTTGAAGACTTTGTTCAAAGAAAGGTTATGGCGAATCGAGTTCTGTGCACAGCCATGAATTGGAATGGGTGAGGAATCAAAACAAAACCCACCTTCCAAGCCTTCTCATTTCGTCGATCGTCGAACCATTCGAAACGGTCCTCTAGTGCCGTGTATATCTCTTGTAGCGTGAGCTGCTTGTTTGGGCTTCCATAAATCGCGAGCTTGATCAGTATAGGATAGGGCTGGTTTGGTTTCTCTCCTTTGGGGGGATCTGGAAGCGCCCACAAGTTGACCTCCTTGTACAGCGGGATGCGCAGTGTCTCACGTAGGTAAGGTCCTGCATCTTCAAAGAGGAGGTGCTTAGACTTCTCATTGGTGGTGGGGGCGGCAGAGAATGTTGATAGTGATCTATGAGCACTTAACGAGGATGCTGACGACCGTCCAATATGGGCTTGAGATGAGTGAGTGGGTAGCGGGAGGTCCTGACTCAGTTGTTCATAGAACTCGGGAGTAAGATTAATGTTGTTGGATTGATATGAAGGGCGGACATGAGGTTTGTAATAGATGGAGGTGCTGCTATACTGCTGATACTGGGAATGCGACGTGTATGACTGGTCTTGATCGGAAGATGAGGCCTGGGAGCTGCTCTGGTTGCTGTCTACGCCAAGATGAGACTCAGCGAGAATTGGGTACAGCAGTGGGAGGAATAATAAATAAGATGACTTGTAAATGAACGCTTGTACTACTCACAGATGGAATGTCATTAGCTCTGTAGTGCGTATATGCTTGTAGTAGACACTGCCCAGCCCGAGGAGGGATAAAGAAAGGGTCATTAAAATAGTCTGGAGTCCGAACTCCAGAACCATCACGATGAGCTCTGCTTGGAGGGGCGCTGAAATGGGTGGCTCCAACTTGGTTGCTGGCGCATGCAGTGCTAGAGTCGGACAAATCCGAGTCCCTGTCTGAGATATTAGTATGAGAATGCGAGACGGTTACAGGGTTGTTTATCGTGAGATCATCAAGAGGATGTACGCTGTTGATCAAACCCCGGGTGTTGAAATACGATCCACCAGGCATGGCAAATGTACATGCAGATCTGAAGATATTGTAAAAAAAAAAAAGAAAACAGCAGGGACCCACCAAACCAAATAATTTGACAACAACAGAATGAGAAATAGTTGGTCGAGTATACAGTACTACGTAATAGATATTTAAATTAGATGGGCCGGGAGAAATTAGTCATGCCATGACGATATATTTGCGCTTCTTTTGCGTTGCACATTTCTGGTATTGCTGGCTGTTTGCACTGTGCAGCACAATACCCTGTAGGTACAATATATCAATATCTAGGTAATGCGCACGACAAGATATTGAAGAATAAGATAGTCATTAGTATTGTTTATCTATCGCATCTTAACATCTTATCGATAAATCAACGAAAGATAATTGGGCTTGAATTTTATCAGTGCTTTATATTGGTTTTTAAGATCTCCACCAATCGGACGACTGCGTTACTGAAGTCGTAAGCATTCGTAACTATGTGTTCATTTCAGCTGGATGTGGACTCTACTTAGCTAAATATAAGCAGTAGCGCCAGCTAATTAGTGGCAAAGCCTGCTACCTGGCATCGCACGTGCCAGGCTCTCATTTCTCATTTCTGATGTTCGTCAACAAGCACATAGATTGCGTATAGACTAACATATTCACGAGACGGCTAAATTGCTCATTTATGCAAGAGGTGCTACAGCTGCACATTGATGAGCGATCCCAGATACCTGCATGTCGGTTGGTCATAATCATACTCTCCAATCCACTAGCTATTAATGATATCATTCGTCCTAGCACCAGGGTTGAAAATTCATCTCTAGCTGCCCGAAGTTCTCGTCGTCAACCTTGCCGCACTTTACCTCTGTCAAGATGAGTTCAGGCTAGTTCATGTTTGGGTGGACACCGTGGATGGGCTGACGGCCCTAGTCTAGGGTTGGATTACACCAACTTGAAGTGAGTAACGAAGGATTCAATCAGTTTCGAGGCTCAGAATGTGCACCGCAAGCTGCACACTCGCCAAATAGCAGATGCTGTCACAATAAACTTCACTGCTCCACCAATGAGGAAGGCGTGGTACTTTCTTAGCCGTGCAGAGAACATGCGTGATTAAGCAGCGCGATTTCAGACAAGAAAGTGCCAAGACGAATTCCAGACTGACAGGACTCAAAAAAGATGGCATGAATAATGGACATGGAACATTTACGAGACAATGAATAGCCCCGTCTTGGGATGAAGACTGAAATGTATGGCAATGACGACTTTCGCCTAAATCAGCGTGATCCATGTAATCACTGAATATGCATGAAGTGTCTAAAAAAATGTAGCGAAATTAGCAAGCGTAAATAGAGACAGAAATCCACACACCATCCCGTTCACCACCTGAGACAGGTATAGGGCGGAGATCAACCACATGATTGTCTTCCCTACCAACAATGTGCCATGCGACATGGACCCTGAGATAGCCTGTAGAACCTGCCAAAAACACAGTAACAGCACTAGACTTGAAGTCCTCAGATATCGGTGGGTACGAGGGTCGCAAGCGTTGAACAAGTGCCCCATAGTCTTGTCTGTACTGAATAGCAGCGGATAATTTTGCAGGTGCCTTGACACCATCTACAACAGGCGTCGCAGGGCGCATCTCAGCGTCCTCGTAGTATGTGATACCAAAGTTCGGGTTATGAAGCGCATCTAACGCCGAAGCTAGGCCCGTGATTGTTGGCTGTTCAAATATAAGACCCAGTGGAGCTTCGACGACAAAGACTATCCTTATATTCAGTCTCTCTCAACCCACCAGAGAACATTGTGTGCTTGCGGGTGGTAATAGGTATACCAATTGTTTGTCTTTGTGACCAGTCACCTTGATGTGTCTCGCGTTTGTGACCACAACGTAGTCCCCACAGTCCACTAAAATGAAAATAAGTGATATTATGGTGTTTCAAAATGCAGGGAACGTCAGCTCTTGTCGTATATCGGCTTATGTCTACCCATCAGCACGAGAGCTATTCATTCCGCCAGTTTTCCGAGAACACGGTCAGAGGCATTGACACTCGCACATAAGCAAGAGTGGTCTATAATGAAATATTAGACGTCCGCCTCTGTATACCAGGACAAAATCGTGTACGTTGCCTACTGCTTGAGACATGAAAAGTTGAAAACACTGGTTCAGGCAGGCCATTGGGCAGCTTTGTCATCTTTCATCATGGCAAGGGGGGGGGGGGGGGGGGGAAGGCGTTTGATTCGCTTAGTAAGCACTAGTTTGAGCAAGTAGTTCTCAGGCTCACGTCATGCCCAAACGGCACCCTCTCCTTACAAACTTCCTGCAAACTCCTGAGCTGCTGAGCAAAGATGGTGGAGGAAGAGCTCGGTTCTCCATTGAGTCCAGGCATGGGCTCGCCGTTGTCACCACTCTCCAGGACATCCTTCAACATTTCGAACCATGCATTGTTAGTTGTTGGGTTCACGGCACGGCCACGAGCACCATCAAGTGAATGTGCTCGGTAAGCTCGTAGATGGTCGGAGTGCTTCTCAACGAAACACTGAGTCCAGTTTTTTCCCACTCCAGACTCTGGGAAGGCATCTCCAAGTTGAGCTCGACAGATTTCATCAACATGTTCCTTGAGACGCTTGTGGCTAAGCGGAAAGCCACGTCTAGCCATTTCAACGATGTATTCAAGAACTTTGTCTGTTTCTGTGGGTGTGAGCCAGCTTTTCGTGGAGCTATTGAATTCACTAAGTCGAATCCCTCCCTTGGCAAGATTTGCCAGAGTATTATGATTTAAACTGATTAATTGTCCCGTTTCTTTGAGGTATGCCTTCTGAACATCCATACACACTTTACGAAGGCCTTGTTTCTTCTCCGAGCTTGGTTTTGCAAGTTCAGCTTGGTACTTCGCCACAGCACGAGCCATGACTTTCTCTTTCTCCTCACGTGAGACCTGTGCCTTCTTCGTCAACGATTTTGGCCTCCCAACCATGTTGAAAGACTATATGGGTAGTTTGAAGGTATATGTTGAATACTGGCAGTGAACGAAGGATGTTGAGCAAGACCGAGTCAAAAAGGCACCTCGTGTCCAAGCTTAGTCTGGGTAACAAACTCGTTCCATCACTTGTGGATCACAACGTGTAGTAGCACCAATGAAACTTTGACTAAAATCATCTCTACTACTTCCAATACACTTGTAATGTTTGCAGATGAAGTGGAAGGGGTGAAACTGGGTGCAATGATGAGTTTTCGATGCTCGTGAAATTCTAACATGTTGCTCTGGAGTGATGTTTTGCAGATTCTGATGATTTTCTAAATTTGAAGACTATATTTTTTGGTACCATTAGATAGCAGAACATATTCTGAATATTATGATATAGTTTTTGCAAGGACTTGATGAAGAACTCATTGAGGAAATTTAATTGTACAGTAGAGTGGTTGTGTACAAAGGACCATGGGATCACTGTACAAGCCGTAGAAAGACGCCAGAAATTCCATGAAATCGAAATAAATAATAAAAAGTGATCTCCACCTGCCCAAGGCCTCCCTAGGGCGAGCGCAGGGACATCAGCCTTTGCAGGGTACTCTACGAGCACCCTGACGCACCGAGCACTTGTTGGACCCTCTGTGAAGCACCAGTACAAGCCATAGAAAGACGCCAGAAATTTCATGAGATCGAAATGAATAAATAGAAGCACTCTCCACCTGCCTGAAGCCTCCCTAGGGCGAGCGCAGGGGCATCAGCCTTTGCAGGGTACTCTACGAGCACCCTGACGCACTGAGCACTCGTTGAACCCTCTGTGAAGCACCAGTACAAGCCGTAGAAAGACGCCAGAAATTTCATGAGATCGAAATAAATAAATAGAAGCACTCTCCACCTGCCCGAAGCCTCCCTAGGGCGAGCGCAGGGGCATCAGCCATTGCAGGGTGCTCAATGGAGCACCCTGACACACCGAGCACTCGTGAACCCGTTTGCGAAGTATCTGCGCTACCTGAGGAAAGACGCCTGAAGCAGACTGCAATCAAAAAGGGCGTGTGCAAGGGCCCATCAGCGCTTGCAGGATGCTTGCATAGCACCACTAGCCCCTTATGAAAGAATGGTGCCGGAGCTGCAGGGGAATCAATAGGAGCGGTCCTTGGACTAGAGCCTATCGGCGGTGCTTGTGCTGGCTGTGACAGGCGGTCTGGAATAACTTTGGATGCCCTACTATGGTAAAATTTGTAACAACCTGATCACGTGACTTATTACATCTCACCATGTCCCCCCCTCTTGCCTTTTCATGCCTCCAAGATGTCCAATATCCGATGCACCTTTGCGTTAATTCCCAATCGCCGGTCCTACCTCCTACAGGCAAGCATGCCCCTCCAAAATTGGCTTCTCTTGCGGCAGATATACAAGACGCGTATGTGCACAAGCTTCCGCGTGTCTTTATACCTTGCTGATGTTGCCATGACTCTTGATGCTTTGGGCGAGCTGCAGGAAGTGCGATTAACTCTCCACACTTTACATGGGGAAGCTATTGTTTCTAGTCGAGATGCAGCCCGCCTCTCCATTCAAACACCCGTTCCCGATACACTATTGGAAAAGACGTCCCCAGCAAAGATCTACCAGCCGGTACGTTCCTTTTAACCCACATACTGGCAACCTTTATCAATCTTAATGCATGCATATCTGTGCCTTGTGTTGGGACCCGCTCAAGAGTCACGGGCGATGTGTCCAAGCTACGTAAGTTTCTTCCAGACCATACTTGTCGGCTCTCTCTGATTCAAAACAACACGATTGTGCGACCACTATCAATCCATGCCTCACTATATGCAAATAACGCAATCATGGCATAGAGTTCCAGCATGATGAAGTGGTCAAGAACCGCAAGGGGCGAAAAAAGATGCTTGCTGACGATTGCGAATGCTGTTGCGAGGTGTGTGTCTATTTTTTGAAAAATCGCTACTCAATCTCCACGCATATCAAATAGTATGACGAAGGTGCTGTACAGCTGCCTCAAGCATCCGCTTGGGCGCTCGCCCCCTTCGATACCTGCAAGAAATGCCGGTTATCCTTGCGGGGGTACACTAAGGAAGTCAAACCCATCTTTCTTGCGGGACGGAACTCGCATCATTTCTTCTTCATGGGATGGGGACTGCGGTGTCATTGCTGGACCCCTTCATCTTCATTGCTGGACCCCTTCATCTTCCATATGAAACGCCCTTCATCATCCTTTTTCGTTTTGTATTTACTCAGCCATCTTCATTGGTAGTCCGTCCGCTTGCGTGACAAAGTGCCTCGCGGTGCCTATGTAGAATGCAGCACCCCTTGCCCTCATGCATTCACCGGCAAGCACATCATTGTAAGTCTGTTGCTAGAATTATGTGATGAAACTTGACGCAGCACTGCTGCTTCAGTCTACCATTCAAGCCCAAATTCCACGCGAACTGCTCATCAATCATGATATTTCAGCCACCAATCGCCATGCTGAATAGCTTTACCCTGTGTCTGTTGGATGCGCTCATATGAATGTGACCGAGAATGGCAAAGAAGGAGTGGACTTTACTACAGGCTGTCTAGAGGAGTGAGTTGACACATTTCATTTGGGGCACCTTGCGTGACTACGATAATCCGCATAGGCCATTTGATATCATACCTGTTGACTTTGGGTACAAAAAGACACAAAAATTTTGGACGCATGTCTTCCTACAGAGGTGAAGTCACTGCTGGCTATCCTGATTTCCCAGAGGGAAGTGCTGCTGCTTGCAAAGAAGTGTCCGGGCCATTGGACTTGAATGCGCCTGACATCATCTACGCTGCCGAAGATGTCAAGGCGATCAATCAATTCCACCGCGACATCAGTAAGTCTTGACTTGCCATCCCCATCACCGTGGTAAAGTACTGAATCGAATTTCAGTGCAAACAATACAACACTCGGTGTGTGTAGCTGAACCTTTCATAATTTTATATCTGACCTTTGTACGTGTAGCTTGGAACTTGTGCCATGAAATCGGAGGCAGGTCAAGGAGTCATCGGCGCTCGACCAAATGTATACAGCACGTTAAACATGAACATCGCAGATACGTCCATCTCAACGTTGAACGTTGGCACGGTGAGTGCTGAACAAGGGATTTTTGATACGCAGTCTAATGATATCCACAGAAAATGTATTCGATGGCGCTTCTCATTGGAGGGCGGGCTGCGATCGTCATTGCTGAAGACTTGGGTATCAATTGCGTTTGATATGCATCTTTCAGGAATATACTATGGGCACACTGCCAACAGGGCAAACAGCTTGGTCCCCAGCCAGCTGGGAGAGCGGTATTAAAGAATTCAAACATTTTATGTATAGATCTGCAGACTATTTATACAAGTCTCAGTAAAAGCTTTTTGGTACCCGTGAGAATCCTGCTTATGAAAATAGAAAGGTCTCCATATCATTGAATCCAGCCAAACTCACATAAGTGCCTGCACTGCACTTCCAAACATGAAATTTTTTCGACGACGATCGAAACCAAGGACTGATGCGAGTCGTAGGTGCCCTGTTACTGTTCCGACTGTAGATCGGCTCCCAAAAGCTTCCGACAACAAGGTACGTGCAAGGTGACTTCCTTAGTCATTCATGGACCCCAGCAACTCCTCCGAAAGTATTCCTAAGCCGAGTAAATCCTAGTAAGTCTGTTTATACCACTTAGCTGCGGTCTTATCTCCTCATGTCGTCGTCCTCCAGCACTGATGCATACTACTACTAGGTAGGTTTCCTCCAAGCTTGTTGTTCTCCCCACTGATATGTTTTGCTCAATGACCGCAAGCATTCAGTCTCACCGGACTCTGAGGATGCCGAAGATGAGCATTCACTCGGAGACTTACTCCCTTCTCATACCTGGTCTTTCGCAGTCGGTCTTCTGGCAGACTGGTTCAAGAAGCGCGGTCTCATACCTGGTCTTACATTCTCCAACGAGCTCATCAGTGCTCTCCCTGTTGGCCTCATTGGCACGAATGCCAAGCTCATGTGCCAGTACATCGAGTTTGTCACAGACCGTTTGCTGGTGTCGCTAGGCAATGATAAGGTGCGCAATGCCACAAACCCATTCGACTTCATGGACATGATCTCGCCACAGGGGAAGACAAACTTTTTTGAACCGTATGTCTTTGCTAATTTTTGTGTAATCTTGTTGACTACCATTACTGTGACGTGAAATAAACTTTTGTTTTTTGATATCCATCAAGTGCTCTTGCCAGGGAACTATACGTCGAGATGCGCCATTCTGTGTCATCCACGATGACGAAGGGTGGTGGGGACTGAACTGTTGGTGCATAGTCTATGATTCGGGCACCTGGCACTAGTGCAAATAATGAAGCGAGAATGATGGTAACTTTTCCAGATCGTCGGGTGTGGCTGATGCCGACTCCTTTCCCATATTTCGAAGGATACTGTGGGACTCCCAGCTCAGTGCTGGTGATGTCTCAGCGAGGTGGTGTCATGCGCAACGCTCCTGCTCGGTGTCGGTTCTCAGGTAGGTGTTTTCTTTCAACAATTGAGTGTTGACGCAAACACTACTGTAGCTATGAATATGCTGCCACTGCATCGACAGCGTGCCCATCGTCCACCTACCCCACTCCTACCTGCTGCCGATGTGCATACCACCAGCGGTTCACCCAATGAGCTAGCAAGTCTGTCGATGACGGAATAGGATATATTGCAGTCACTAGTAGAGGGCAGAGGAATAACAAAGTATGAGCATATCGGACTACTGGAGGTTTGTGGAAGTTGCGGGCGCGCCTGCTTGGAGAGTTAGATGTTATATAGTCATCGGGTCTGCATTCTTACATTTTATGCCTTACGTGTTGAAGGCCAGTGACTAGAGTCCTGGCCTGGTATGTAATTCAATCTTTGCACGTACCTTGTTCCCCTGCATCTTTAGGAGCCGAACAATTTCGGAATAGTAACAGGGCACTTGTCACTCGACTGATGCCATACTGAGTCACAAAGCCATCCTGGTAACGTGGTATGTGATAAAGCTAGCACACAGTACATTGTATGTATAGCGATCGAACACTGAAACAGATCACATCTGGGAAGACGGTGAATCACATCATATCCCCTGCAACACCATATAATCAGATATGACATTCTCGCACTAGGTCGCTTACCTTTCCCTGGCTATCGTCGCTATTGAGGTGCCAGTAGATCCAACAGTGCCTTCAAAGATGCGGGATCCAGTGCGAGGGTGCAGCAAACCTTGTCGTTCCGTGTTCTCGATTATCTCATGTTCGTAGTGAGATAAGGTGTTTTAGGCCGATTTCTGCGCGACAAACTCACTGTGCAGAGCAACTCAGTCCTTGACACTCCCTCCAGGATTCAGAAACTACAGATTGCCACAAAGAAGCATACTCAATGAGTCGATCCTCATCAAGGGCGTATTTCCTGAGCGTTCAAACTTGAATACCCTCGAAGAGCGCTCAAACGGCCGAGAGACATACCTATCAACCCAGTGGCACCACATACGACTTCATTCTTCTTAAGTGAATTGGCTGGTCTGCTGCACCTGGGGTCGTAGGCCCAGTAGCAGGAGGTGTTGCGGACGTTGATAGCCGGGTAAGCTGAATTTGTAATGGCAGCAACTATGCTTAGCCTTGAGCTTGGCATTGCTGCTGCTGTATGCATTTTGCCTTTTCGTGCTCTGGACGCAGAGCAACATACAGTGCCTGCACAAGGGTGATCGAACCACGTAATTAGATATTTTAAATGCGCCCAAGAAAAGACATACTTTTCTATCATGTACTGCAGCAACTTCAAGTTCAACGGTGTGAGGACCACGAGGAGAAAAGACAGCTAGCCTTAAGCTGTGCTGAAGCTCGGTTGCTTCACTGGAGGGGGGAGTGAGAACGAGGAAAGAGAAATGGAAGGCGACCGAGGAGCGCGCGTGAAATCTTTATGGGTGATGTGAAAGCACAATGGAGGCGGGCGGTTGCTTATCAACCATATTCTCCTTTCATGAAAGAGGATACCTGGCCAACGCTCTGTCGATGTCGTATGTTTGTTTTTGGGGTATGGCTCATTGTACCCAGGTACACCGAAAGTACACCGATCATCATGACTGTACTACATTTGAGATCAGGGTGTCATTGTTTTTAGCAAACCTATCAATGTACCTGAAGCTATTACAATCACTGTAAGGGTTCACTGCAGGAACGACCTTCAAGCTGCCTGTGATGTCATTCGTACCCAAAGCCCATTATTGGGATCTATCCTTGACAAGGCGAGCTTGGTAGTCGTATCTGTCTGATTCTGCTAAAAGGATAGAAATGATGTGCCTTACAACAGTTCCTAACGCGCATTTTCCAGCCGGGTGGGAAGGTGGTATGTGTGCATTTTGACTTTCTGGAAGAGCGCATCAAAGCTAGAATGCATAGAATGCAACAGCACCTTGATAAAGAGGCGATGATACTGGTTAATTGGTATATGAAACGAGCAGGTGGTACCGGACCTTGGATTCTTGTGGGCACAATCAGTGACGCCTAACAGCGCCCAAGAGATATGCTCTAACGAGCGCCGGCCCAGGCACGAACTACTCCACTGGCATACGATCTAGAATAGCCCGACACTGTCAGCCCCCTGAATTCACCGGGGTGGCCAGGCACGGGCAACGAGGTACTAGCGGATGTTTGCGAGATCATCATGGTTGCCCACCATGCTATATCCTGTGGCGGTGACTGTTTGCCTTTGTCGAAAATTCCTAATTTTGATATCAACACCTTGGCAAGGCATTTCAACGTTCGACGGTCTTGAAATGGGTTAGTCGTCCTTGAAATCGCCATAGATATGCGGTCAAGTATGGCATGTCCTGTGTCGCAAAAATCCGAACATGGTTTGCAAATTGCAAACTTCGACTCCCACGTTCAAGTTAGTGAAGGAGGGTCACATACGTCTAATTATATGCCTGCTACATAGTTCTCGATTAATTTCGCGGAGGTGACAATGGGTGAGATGCCATTATTGACTGCTCGAAGGCCTTCTCTTGCTTTGCAGTGACATCCACGCTCCCTTGGGGTTCGCATTGACCCTTGTGCGCAGCATGGCACGAGTCACTATTGCTATCAACGCCAATAGTTTTATTCAAAACCGGTGACCCCGTTGTCCCCACTGTTAATAGATAACGAGGACAAGTCACCTTCTTTCGTTCTTACCACTACGCCCAAATAGGATAGATCAGCTCTGGCCAGAGCGCCAGACCTCGTTGCAGCGATGAGTGGGCGCCAAAAAAACGTGTTGATTTCAGATACGCCGCGGAGGGTGCCATAACCTGGGTACACGTTCTTTCCCGAACATCTCGCAGTTTATGCAACAATGCGTTGATTCGGAGGCTGACATGTATCGACGCGAGCGTAAATGACGTAGAGAGAAATGCGGGGAAGCATAACGACTTGATGGACTACGAGGAAGTTAACATGTCGTGGGTCAGCGGAATCATAAGGCTGTGATAAGGACCGCAACTGTCCAGCTATATCAGTATATCTCAACCAACAAATCCTGGAGGTAAAGGAAGGATTCGAATGGAAGGCCAAGGAGCATGTGACTCTGTCGTGGAGAGCAATACTCTCGCTCAAATGTCCGTAATGTTCGTGGTGATCTCATTAAGCACAAATATAAGTTGTGAATTGTGGATAGACGAAATAAAGTGGACTCATCATCTCTCTGGACAAGCTCTCGAAATTCGTTTCTGCGAAACGGCTGCGATCCTTGAGAGTGACAAAACAGTCGGTATTCTACAGCTGCCCAAAAAACCCGTTGCAAGCCAACCGAGTCTGCCAGTGCGTGAGTAGTGTTACTGATTTGGTATCTTTGAAATGAATTTGGAAGGAATCTTGTTATCTTTCAACATGTTGCATATAGTGATCACATTGCAACGTGCCGTACCCCCAACGTTTTGTCAAAGGTTCGTGAGTAGCGGAGTTATGCATAAGTTGGTAAGCGGAAATTACCGAAATATATGACGGCTACATTAGGAATTTCCGACATCATGTGACATTGGGTACCTACTAACGAACTTAGCAAAAATTACATCCAACTGCAGACTTGGTCCCGGGATCTAAACAAGCTCTTACTTCTGAGGCCGCTCGTTTGGAATATGGAAAATCTGAGGCCAAGATGAGTGCCGCTGTCGGAGTGGTACCGCAAAGAGGTAGCTAGTCTAGAGACTCGTGCAAGTGGTCGTGTCACCCCAGCCCTTCTCTCGCCAGTACGCGTGGAACTTCCAGGAAAAAGGAAAGGACCTCTTGAAACTCGAGGAATTAGCCACTGTTGGCGTTCGAGATGGTTCGACCTTGATTATCACGGTGTTTGAGGAACATGTGAGCACCTCGTCGCGGTTAGGCTTGAGGATATTCACTTATTGATGCACCAGTAGAATTTGAAAGCAGTAGAACAAGCCTTATGTGCCGCAAAGCTACCAAACATAGTTCCTCAGAGACAGGACTCCAGGACAATCAAGATTCCTATACCTAGGTCAACTCGCTCCGTCTTCCTGTGGCATGGTCGTTCATCATATCTCTTTTAGGCCAACAGTTGAAGCCCGAAATGCGCTAACTACCACTGCTCAGCGAATGGCAGAGGATACCCGGGTACGACTTCGAAAAATACAGCAAGCCAGTGTCAAAAAAGGCGACTATAAAAAGCACTCGGTTGAACTCGAAGAAGTGAGTCTAACTTATCTTTGACTCAATTCATCATTTTATCTTATCCAACCTATTAGTTTCAGAAGCTCGCAGATAGGAACACTGCCGAAATAGACAAGATTCTTGCACATATGAAGAAATCAACTGGGGCCCGGTAGGGTGTCCCTCCTGGGAGGATCCAGAGTCGTACCCTGACAACGTGTCAGGCCTCACTGTCCGTATCTGTCATTATCGATGATTGTACTAATTAAAGATTCATGATACATGCAGCCTTCCACATACGATGGAATTTTTCAACATTACAAGTGAAACCGGAAGAGTCGGCAGTAAGAATGTCGACGGCAGCCACTGCACTGGGCTAGCTACTGCGACTCGAAAACGATAAATAATAAGTCGTGCAAGGCCATATCCGCGGCAGGGCCCTATTTGAGATTTTTTCCTATGTATATCATTACAAGGAAGACCATCGAACCTATGCGACGGCGCAAAACCAAACAGCTGTTCACGGGATAAAGTCTTACAAAAATTCAATACCAACGGCGCAAAAGAACCAAGAATGCACCAAGATTGTCTATCGATGTTCACTCGGCGTACGACTGTGCAAGGTATCACGACAAAAAGCAGACCAATCACTACATCGCGAAGTACAAATGGAAAGTCGGTGGAGGACCGAACGTTGCCTTTGAGCAAAGTCACGAGCGCGCGAAACACGCACTCTTGAGAATGAGCGACCACATCTGAAGTCAAAAGACGCGGAGAGTGGCAACACTTTCAAAGAGTGATCTTCGAGTGATCTTGCGCGCGACAGAAACGTTGAAACGTTGACACCCTCAATCATCAACGACGTCATACCGTGACTGATCCGAGATTTTGTACGTTGTTAGTTACAGAATGGAAAGTCTGGCGTCCACGACGGCAAAAGTACTAGTGTTGGTTTCGACCTCGCTCTAGACTTTGCGTGCAACGAGCACAAGGTAGCTTCATGAGCTTGAACAGCAAACAATTTCGATCGGCCAACTACACTACTACTATTGTAGCTCCTATCTGCAACAAGAGACTTTGAAAATTATACATTGATAGTCATAACTAACTCAGGACTGCAAAAGACCAACGGGATCTAAGGTATAAGTATATGTGCGAGGTATAAGTCTACAAGTTCGATGAATTAGGATAATGATAACCGCCAGAACAATTTTACAGCAGCGCCAATAGCAGGAAAAGAATGAAGCATTCACAATGTGTGAAAAGTTTTCGGGTTATGTGGTATTATGCGTCTCATCAAAGAAGGTTGCCTCGGTGGTCGAGACCAAACACTGGCCAAGCGTGAGTAAACGTGCATGAAAAAGCAACACAATACGTACAATTTGCTAGTTCACGGACACTCATCCCTGCAATCAAAAGTGCCTATGAGCAACGTCTCCAAGACTCATGGCGAATACTTACGGCCAATCTTCTTTCCAGAGCCTTCACCAAGGCTGCCATCCGCAAGGTTTCGCTGAAGCTGTATTAACAGAGCACAAACATAGAGTACAATTTGCTCTACCTTGCGCTCCTGAAGAGCAAGAACACGATCCTCGACAGTATTGGCAATGACCAACCTGTGCACGAAGACATCTTTCTGTTGACCTAGACGGTGGACTCGGTCAAACGCCTGGCTTTCGATCGCTTCGCTCCAGCCAAGATCCAGTGAAATGACGCCTGTGGGGGAGTCAAATATCAGATTCAACCCAACACCTCCACATTTCAAAGACATAAGCATGACCTGTGCAGTATTGCCCGTCATGAAGACTCGGACAGCCTGATCCCTTTGACTGCGACTCATCGACCCTTGATACCTAGACCGAAAGGCAACATCAATTCAAATAAGTATGTATGAGGTCATCAGAAGATTCGCACTTGACATGGGGTACTTTCTTCTCCACAAGGAAGTCGGAGACGAGTTTGAGACATTCGGTCCACTGCGATATGATTATGGTCTGCAAATGTCATCAACATCACGATCACTGCATTGTTTGGAAGTCAAGCCGCACCTTGTCTCCGGGATATTGCTTAGCCCATTTCTCTAGATGTTCTATCATGTGCTGAGAGACGACATTTAAGACGATTTCGGAAATGAAATGCGACAACCTACATTCATCTTTGTAGAAGGAAGGAAACGCGACATCATTCTAACTTCACCAGTGGAAGCAGGCACCTGCCTAGGGTTTCTGCCTATGACCACGTCTCTCTCGTCTGCGTCAAGTTCATCATCAGACTCGACGACTATTGCGCGGCGCGTTCTCAGACGTTTCTTGATGTTGCGCCTGGCATCCTTCTCTTCTTCATCCTCGCCATCCTCGACAATGAAATCACTCATGTCGTCGTCGTCATCATCTTCTGATTCATCATCCGAGTCGCACACAGCACACTTTTTACGGATGCGCCTAGCCCTGCCTTTGCCTTTCGATCCCTGAAGTATCATCTCAGAGATCTCGGGCATTTCATCATCGGAAGACGCCAATACATCTCCCGACAACTCAGTATCAGTGGGTTCGAATGCTTCGCGGATGAAAATAACATCTGCAGAAATGGGAGCGCGACAGCTAGGACCTGCAAAATAAAATGAGTGTGGCAACAAGCTTTACGTGCGTGACTCACAAGGCATCTCATTACTACGGTATTTACGAGGGTCCTGTGCGTCTTGGACAAAGGGAGTATTAAGGACGCTGGCAACACACTCGCGACAAAAGGTATGACCACATGCCGTTATACGTGCTTCGGTGAATGTATCCATACAGATGGGACATTCTTCACCATCGGCAGTGGCATCCAGGGACTATATCCATGTCAACATCATGAAATCTATCTGACAGAAGAAACATACCTCCTTTTCTGCTTGTATACGTGCCAGCGCGCATTGGAAATATTGCCGGCAGACAGGTGCGTTCCACGTTACCGTCTGTTTTTCATCTTCTGCGGAGCCAGTGCATACCAATAATTAGGCCTTGGGACTCATATGCCGGTGAAAAAGAACAAAGCTTCTATAATGAGTGCATGTGCATAATTATTCTCGAACAAAAGTGCACACATCGTAAGAATGACCAGCTACAGGTGTTTCGGCCTTGGCCTTCTATGCAATGTAATAGACTCGGATGGTCTATGTAGACCCCTGCCGCATTTGAACCCTCTATAGTCAGCTACTGCCTCGCGCTTGGTATGATATGATTTGAATATAGCCCCTGGGAAGTTGACAATCTGCCGGGCAGCTTCCATCCTAAACGGGGATTTGTTGTGAGCTGAAAGAAGTGCTGTAATGGGAAATAAATTGATACCTCACGCTGTACACACCCGGACGATGGCCAACCCGAATCACATAGAAGTTACCTTCAGTTTGGTCGTCATCAGTGTCCGTGATGGACTCTGTATCTGTCAAGCCCTCATCAGAAGCTGACTCCTCGATCATATATTCTGCATCCAAGTAGTTCTCTGTCTCATATTGGGAGAGCGATGCAGCCGGGGCTGAAATCTGGGATTTCCCATGCGCTGTTTGTGTCACCACGGGCAACTTGAATTTATCTGTAGTTTCACGGGAATGAGGTTGAGGTGAGGTGGAATGTGTTGTGTAGCGCCGAGGAGGAGGACTTAAAGGGCGGAATGCAATACCAGGAGGTTCTAGTAGAGTGGTCATTGTACAACTGTTCCCTTTTCCAGTCTGACTCTGTGTAATAGATTTGGAATTCCGCTCATTGAATTAGTGATGCCGGAGTCCGGTTCGGAACTTCGGTTCGAACGCGAACCCTTCCGAACCGGACTGTCCGTTCGGTCCGAGGTTCAGCGTTCGGCTGATGCCTCAGATTTGTGAACCCGTCTGGACCCGTTCGAACGGTTCTTTCCTTCTGTCTATGATCCGCTTGAGGTCCTCAGCTTATTGCTATCCATCTATCCTAATATTTTTTCTGATCACCTGGCAACAAACTCATATGGCCATTGGCAGTTCTGGGAGCATTGATCTCCAGAACGGCTCTTACTTCACGACCAAAAGACTGAATGCATTTCTGTTAGTGACGTCTGACTTCCTCTGTGATCTATTCAACATTTTGGTAAGCCCTATGTTAATCGTTATTAGGATTATAATTTAATCTATGTTCAGAACATATCTTTGGGATGCTCGTTCAGGTACTTGCTTTTGCTTCAACATCAATCAACTGTTGCAGTCATTGCATGGCAACAATATGTTCAAGGTGCGTCGCATTTTTCTAATCTCTAACCACAAATTTTGGTATAAATGAGCTACTACAGGTACAATATTCACCCTTCTGGCTGCGAGAATGTCTTGCGCACTTGGATCCAATGGCCAACTCAAAGACGCTAGCGCCATCGATTGGTACAATGATCCCGACAATGACACCCCCATGCTTGCTCCACCTCCGCCTCCTGCATCCAATGGCAAGCTAACTGCCTTCGTGTCTCGCTCAGGCCGAGCTGTTAAACCGACAGAAAAAATCCGCAATGCTGGCAACACAGCTCCAGCCAAAGCTGCCAAACGAGTGGCTCCAGTGCCTCCCAAAGGACAGCCCACACCCAAGCGAGTGCAATGTGGGTCCCACGATGACAATGACGACGAACCCCCTGCACTAGAAGATTGCTCAGATGATGAAGAAGAGGCCGAAGAAGCTTACGAGCGGACCAAGGTATTTGGAGACAAGGATCGTGAGGATCGCAAGCATAAGAAGAAAGAGGAGCGCAGTGGGGATTTGAAGGTAGTATTTACTCAGGAGAAGGGACACATCAATCCGCACACCCAAGAACCCGAAGACGGCTGGTGGTGCGAGATCTGCAGGTACGTTTTTACTTTTACTTTGAATGTCACACGCATAACTAATGTCAATTTAAGAGCCAATGATGTACCCACCAATCACTGCTTTTTCAAAGGCAGTGTTTCGACTCGCCGCACCCATATCGCTCGAAACGCGAAGTGTCACTTTCCAATATACCGCAACCGCTGCAACGAACGAGGTATCAAGATGCATGATCGGGCGATACCTCCTAACTGCAAAGCAACTGACGAAGCGCAGCAAACATTAGATGCCTCCCTTACGGCTAAAATTCCTGAATTCACCAAGACCGGTCTAATGGATTACATTGTCGAGCTTATCGTGTCTAAGGACGAGGTGAGTGTTTTTTTTTTTGTAATTGTGACTTAGGATATTCATGCCATAGATAGGTGTTCCAACTTGTTGACAAGGGACCCTTTCGTCGGCTGCTTCAATACCTCCAGCCTTCCCTTTCAGACAGGGACATTCCTCATCGCACAAAAACTCGAGACGAAATTCTTGAACGGGCGCAGCTTGCCGTTCAACGTGTGAAGGAGAAGCTTAAGGAAGTTGATAGCAAAATTTCGATCACGTTTGACTCATGGACATCCGAACCTGGTGTACCTTTCCTCTCCATCACCGCGCATTACATTGACTCCCCAGCCGGGAAACCTCACGAGTGGGAATTGAAGACAGAGCAACTTGCATTCACCATCATCAACGGCAATCACAGTGGGAGCAACATTGGAAGAATCCTGATTCAAACTATCAATAACTATGGCATCCGCACTAAGGTTGGATGGTTTACAGCTGACAATGCTACAAATAACGACACAGCAATTCAGACCGTTGCTCTTGCTATCGACCCTTCCGGCAAGAAATGGATTGCTGGTGAGCACCGCGTGCGGTAAGTGAACTATTTAATATTGTGATCTATATATGTTGATGTCTATTCAGCTGTATGGAGCACACCTTGCACTTAGCCGCCAAACACTTTGTCGAGGAGGTCGCACCTACACCAGCAAGCGTTCTCCTCAAGAACATGGCCGATGAAGATGAAGATGAAGAATCAACTGATTTCGAGGTTGCCGACACTGCAGGAAAAGCCCTTGCGCTTGTTATGCAGGTATGTGTGTACCCTCGTCTGACTAACACTATTTAATGAACCCTTTTTTTAGATTCGGAAATCTCCCCAAGCACGCACCTTCTTCCAACAGTGCTGTGTCGAGGTCAACGAGCCGAAGCTGGAGCTTTTGAAATGGATTCGCACGTGATGGGCCTCGCTCTTTGGTATGTTGGAGCGCACCCTTAAGCTACGCAAAGTCAGTTGGTTTCTATTACCATCCCTATGCACAATACTAACTCAATTTTATCTGCTGGCAGGGGGTGAATAGATTCATACAACTGGCGGATGACAGTGACGAAGTCCCAAAGTTGCAGGGCAAGTCATATGGAGTGTTCAAGCTTTCAGCCGAAGAATGGAAGAAGTTGGAACTGATGCATGACGTGCTTCAGGTATGTGCAAGTGTCCAGTCGAGTCTCAAATGTTGTATTAACCTACTGTATAACCAGGAACCTGCCAATGCTCAACAATCATTTTTGGAGACTCGCGAACCTACCGTATGGCGCGCAATTCCAGTCCTCGAGTATCTCCAACAAACTTGGCAAAACATGGCTGGTTTGTCAAAGTTTGACGACTTTTCATCCGCGATCAACTCTGGCCTCGACAATATTCGCAAATGGTACCACAAAATTGACGAAACTGATGTTTATTTCATTTGCCTCGGTATGTATTTTATTTATTATGATGCCCTATCTAATGTACAATGTAGCGCTCGATCCTAACTATAAGGTGGCATATGTGAAGGGTAAATGGGAGCCTCGCGACTTTGACGAGGGCATGAGAAGCTTGCGGAAGGTTTTCGACAAATATTATCATTGCAATGTCTTGCCCGCCACTGCAGAGCCAGCTGCTGTGGCTCCTTCCTTGCTTGCTCGCCAGGGGTCATATGGCCATAGCTGGATGCGCGATGCTGTCAAAACTCGTGTCGCAAATGACACCGCAAATCGAAGACCTCACCAGGAGCTCGACGAGTACCTTGCTGCCCCATTAGAAGATGTTGAGAATATAGTGGCGTGGTGGGGCGTGAGTTTTTTCGCATCGTGTTTCCTTGCAAGTTGACTTAAAATGCCTTTAGCACCATTCCATTCAATATCCCACCATCTCTCACATTGCAAAGGATTACCTTGCTATTCAAGGCTCTGCCGTTGCATCTGAACGAGCGTTTTCGAGTGGCGGCATCACTGGGACCACGCGCCGTAATCGGTTGTTGCCAACAACATTTGAGGCCCTACAGCTGTTGAAAAGTGGGTACCGTCAAGGCCATATTTCCGCAACGGTTCAAGCTGAGTTTGCTGCTGCTCACGAACACTCTGCCATGGACGAAATTTAGCTACTCATTTACTGTTCATGTATTTCTTGCAATTTTTGTCAATTTATATGTAGCGTTCGAGCGTTCAAACACGTTCTGAACTCGAACCAAACACTTGTGAACGCGTTCATCAGTGTCCGGTCCAGCGTTCGTCCTCCTTGCCTGAACGCGACCGATGGTCCAGTTTGGCGTTCACATTTAGAGGCCTAAGAACCGAACCGAACCGGACTTCGGCACCACTACATTGAATAGGCTTTTCTACATATTATAAGGACAGAGCGATGGGCAGTACATATGGTGTCAACGCCATGTGCGCGCTCCACTTTTGCCTGATTTCTACATAGTGTAATAAGCCATGTACATAGTGCCAGTTTAGTTGTTTCTGGCACCGGATAATCTCTTGAACATGCTAAACTTTGCTAAGCAAAGAATCACTCGTTGAATTATTTGATATTATAAGGAAGCTATCTTCGTAAAACATCTTCTAGCACAACACGTGCATTTTTTACATCTGCACGTCCACGGCTGAGCTGCATGACTTTACCCACCAGCTTGTTGAGAACTGGAGGATTACCTTGGTGAACTGCTTCCGCCTCTTCGGGAAGCGCTTCAACGGCTTCAACACACCATGCTCGAGTGGAGGCGTTATCATCTTCCGATACAGCCTCAAGAGAAAGTTCCCATGCGAGTACAGAGGGAACTAACAAAGAACGGTTGGCAATAATATGTTTCAATAACAACTTGCCCGAAGTCCCTGTTAATGATAATCAATGCATATGCCGCTGGGCAAAAAGAGAAGGCTTGCCAGTAATTTTGCCATCCTGCACCAGATTGATGAGTTCGCCTAGCTGCTCGACAGATACAGGATTATCGCTGAAGGTTTCTTTCCGGGCAGTTAATTGCCCAATAAGCTCGTGCGTCATCCTGGACGTAAATGCGTAAGCATAAGACGTCTGGGACCAAGAGAAAACCAAACAAACTAGTTGACAACGACTTTCGGGTCTCTGTGTTGCGCGAGGGAGTCAAAGTAGGTCACAGCGCCCTTTCCAAGTTCAACATCAAATCCAACCTTGCGACCCGAGTCGACGGCCACGAGTACATTTGTATCACATTCAGATAGCCCAAGCTTCAGCAAACGTGCATGGGTTGCATCAGGGAGGTCCGGCATAGTCTTGCGGATGGTCTCAACGTACTCCTATACAGGGCTTCAGGTGACATGAACGAAGTTACAAGCAGGCTATTACCTCGGATAACAGCAATGGAGGGATATTCGGATCCGGCATGTACCTATAATCAGGAGAATCTGCCTTGCTTCTGAGTCTGAAAGTTTCGGCCCTATTTTCATCGAATCCTCTGGTGTCTCTTCGTCATAGGAGGCAAAATGGGCTTGTAGTGAGGAAGCAGCCATTATCAATGAAGCCGAATGTTCGAATATAACGTTGGAGTATGTGCGAGATCGAGGAACACTGCGGTACGGTAGACAACTGTGTCAGTGAAAGCGGCGATAATGAAAAATTATTAACACATACCGGCCATTCGTCAGTCAGCCATTCGTCATGCAGCCATCGTGAGGGTGACGATTCAACAGGCCATAAGCATTGCCAGGGAGATTCGAGAAAAGAAAAGTCCTAACTAAACTATCACAATGAGATGGGTTGGGATACACTTTGAAAACTGTGGAAATGCCATGTCAAGGAAGGCGCTTGCGAAGCATTCTTGCCGTAGACTTGATGGAGTGTGGAGACGAAGAAGGTTATATCCTGAGTGTCTATAGAAATACAAGACAGGTTAATGTAATGAAGCAGCCATAAATGTGCAGTACACGCACCTCAGCAGTAGCAACACACTTGCAATCCTCAAACCCTCCTGGACCGTGACTCAAGACCATCAATCTCCGGTAAAATGTTGGAGCTCATTCTAAGCATCCCACTCCATTGAAAATCGTGAGAGCACTGTGAGCATCTGGAGAGTACAGATTAGATAGGATACAGAAAGGACCAAGACGGTATACATACCAGCAGGGGTCTTTCCCTGCTCGAGAAAGATGCTGTGTGCAAGTGCATCTGCATTCTGACGGATTTGATACTGAAGTCTGGATGCAGTGTAAGTGGGTCAGGTGTTGGTAAGGTGGGTACTCAAAAACGCACTCTATGGCAAAACGTTGGTGAGCAAGAACACTTTGCTTACTCATGACTTGAATGCCTGACTCACTGGGACCTTCAATGGAGTCGTGGAATGGCAAGATGTGTATTGGCTTGTTGTGGATAATAATTCTAGAGATTAGAGGTAGAGCGGGATAGAAACAATCTAACAGGTAAGAATAACTACGCTGAGTCAGTTAGGTGTAACAATAACAATAAAGGTATAGACTCACGTCTCAGTTTCTGGAAAGAACTGAGACGCTCGTAACGTTTGGGCGCTGGTATTAATACGGTAAGCGCTCTCGATTATTTTGAAGGTGAAAATTTACTTTGGACCATTTCGGTCCCAACGTCAACAGGTACTCCCTGTTCCTTCCGTCCCCGACCTCCCTCGACCAATGACTTGCGCTCGTACCTGCTACTTGTCATTTCCTACTCGTCATCTCGTGCCTGTCCATCGGGTCTCTCGGTCTTCTTCGACTCTGGCGCTTCGGATGCCAACACTCCCCCTCGAGCGCAAGCTAGTCCCATGAGGGCTCTCAGCTTCTGGTGCCTGGGGCATGGGAGCGGTTTCGTAAACGCGTCGGCCACATTGTCGTCAGTGGGACAGTAGATCAACTTGAAGGTGCCGGTTTTGATATGGGTACGGACGAAATGATAGCGTAAGTCTATGTGTTTTGTCCGTGACTGGAACTTGCCGTTTGAAGCTAACACTATGGCAGCCTGATTGTCGCATTGGATGGGGATGGGGACGGTTGGTGGTTCGTAAAGTTCGCCAATGAGCAGATGGAGGTACAGGAGTTCACGTACGACGCTGGGGTCCCTGCTCTACTGACAAACTCGCAGCAACTTCCATAGGTGTAATTGCATTCTTGGCGTCGGCTAGGTAGAAGCGGTCGACTATGGTGTCAATGTAGGCTTTCTGGGACAATGTTAAGGTGCGTGCGGTGCGATCTCTCGTTACCTTTAGCCCTAACAACCAGTTCAGCTCTCCTAGGTCCGTTATCTCGAAGAATCACTTTAGTTTGGCCTTGAAGTGGTGGATATGAGAGATATGGTTGGCGGTGACGGCCATGTCATCTACTGACATGGTGATGACGGTATGTTCCTTCGAGGTGCGCCTGTAGTACACTGCTTGGTCCACCTTCGATCAGCTGAATCCCAGTTTTGCGAATGCACCTGCCAGTTCTTCGGCCCACTCATAACCGGCCTGCTTCAGGCCTGGTAAGCTGCGCCTCAGCCTCAACACCTTCCTCTCCTGCCCCGCCTTCAAGTATCCGGGTGGTGCCCTCATATAAATCTCCTCCTGGACCGTGGCATACAGGTAAGCGCTCTTGATATCCACTTGGTGGATTTCCCAATCACGCTGAGCGGCCATCGTCAGTATGGTGCGTATGGTGCTCATATTTGCGGTGGGGGCAAATGTGTCGAAGTAGTCGACGCCGTAGTGTTGACGCTGTCCGTTGGCCACGAGGCGTGAGCAAAGTTTCAACTTCTCTCCATCAGGTCCTCGCTTGGTGGCAAGTACGAAGTGGCAAGGGATTATATTGGCTGAGCGTGGTGCGTCCACTATCTCCCACGTACCTAACTTCTCAAGCTGACTGATTTCGTAGTCCAGGGCCTCTTGCCATTAAACGCCATCAGGGCCGTTTAGAGCTTGTTGGAGAGTCGGTTCAGGTTGGGCTGCGGCCAATGCAAGGTGAATGTGCGCTTCTTTGTCAAGTAGATCTAGCTCTGATGCCTCCAACAGGGAATGATGGGCTACAGTTGCTGTCTCCCCCTTATGGAGGGCGGCATAGTACCCTGGTCCTGGCCTGTGCCTCGTGGGTCTTGGTTCTGGAGGGGTAACAGAGTGTTGAGGATCCTCTGGGGTGGCAGGAGGAGGTGACGGGATAGACTGAACATGAGGTGAGTTATTATTATTACCGTTGTCATTGTATTCGGGTGAGTTATTATTATTACCGTTGTCGTTATATTCGTCATTCCGCGTGACGGCTGGCTCCCCCTTGTTCAGGGTATCCTCGGCAATCGGTACATCCATGGGTGCAAAGGTGAGGTTCCTCTCCACTGAAATCCTCCGTTTTGACGGCCAGTACACTCTATAGGCCTTGCTCTCCACATCAATCCCCACAAACAGTGCTTCCTCAGCCCTCGCCTCCAGCTTCCCGGCCTCCATAAGATGGACATACACCCTCGCGCCAAATTCATGGGCCTGTGCGAGGTCGGGCTTCGTCTTCCGGACGAGTTCATATGGGGTGGTGCCGGGGGTGGCTCTAGAAGGTAAGCGGTTCTTCAACCAGGTCGCGTAGCTGACGGCCTCTGCCCACAGATACTTGGGCAAATCCTTGGCGAGCAGCATTGCTCTCGCATGCTCCACCAACGTGCGGTTAAGCCGTTCGGCAATGCCATTCTGCTGCGGTGAGTCGTGCACGGTCAGCTGGCACTCAACGCCTTGCTGACGGAGGTAGGTGTCGAACTCGGCACTAAGGTACTCTCCCCCTCGGTCCGAACGGAGTAAGCGGATGGCGGCCGTTGGTGCCTGCCTGGTGACCCAGGCCCCATAGGCCTTGAAGGCAGTAAGTGCTTCACTCTTATGTTTCAGGAAGTAGAGGTGAGTCTGACGGCTGAAATCATCAGTAAAACTGATGTAATATAGGCTGCCGCCTATGCTAGCAGTCTACGCCGGGCCCCACAAGTCTGAGTGGACCACTTTGCCATAGGCCGGTGTGCTGTCTTAATAACCGAGGGTCTTATATAAAGTCGTGTAAATGTAATGACACCACAATTACACTTTGGATAAGACTGCTTGCCAGTCCTCGATTAACACGGTCTACGACTTTTCCTATTTCGTGGTAGATAACGTGTGAGTTCTTGGGAGGCTCGCTAAACTAATCTTTTTATAAAGATCAACCTAGCCGGAGCTTTACTTTTCTTTATTGAAACTCAAATCTCGTCTAGGAATAAGCTTCTAGACACGTAATTCAGTTTCTGGAATGTATTTGCCTAGGAAATCTCCTTCTAGGCTCTGGACTTGGATACTGGAACTAGTGAGACGTGGTCTCAAATATACAAAATATGACCAAGATCGCTTGAACAAAGGGGACTATAACTTGACCAAGATCGCTTGGTCTATGGGACAACTAGTGAGACGTGGTCTCAACAATATGATAGATGACTAAGATCGCTTAGTCAAAGGGCACAGAGCAATGAGACAAAGGGGTCTCAAAGACAATATATGTGACCAAGAACGCTTGGTCTATAGCACTAAATAAGTTTCTAAGGTAAGAAACTTATAATCTCAAGGGAATTCTTTTCCCTGCACTTGTCTCACTTCAAAGGGACTAACTTTGCAAGTGAAATATCTGAGAGGCAGATTGCTACAAATGGGAGATCATATTTTTTTGGGGGGAGAATGGGCTCTCCTTATATACATTTTGTGTGGGAAAGTAACCTAGGTTCACAAACAATAAAAAATAAGGAGGACCAATCAAAATATTGGGTCAAACCCAATAAAAGAATAAAATACAAGTGAAAGATGGAGCTATGACATCATTGTGGAGCAAAAGATTCCAGAACCTTCCATGAGTGAGTCAGAGTGAGTCATTGTGGAGCAGAATATTCTAGAAGGAAATGACATCATGAATGATGTCATTGTAGAGTAGAATAATCTAGAGCTTGATGACATAATATCTTTCAACAGAATACCTGCAGGAGTATCTGTGGAGTCTTATGACATCATAATGACATCATACCCTATGGGTACAATTTTATGAAGTGTCAGGTGAGTCAAAGCATCCTAATGAAAAAGTAAAGTAAAGAAACACTAGAGAAAAGTAGGTAGCAAAAATAAGACAGTTGGCAGGAATTGAAACACAGTCAAAAAAAATAATGCAGTTGGCAGGAATTGAAACACGGTCTTTTTGGATAGGTTTTTTATTGGCTTTGTACTTTTCTCTATGGTTTTCTCTAGCCAAAGTGAATAAGCCAAAGGCAAGGCTATACCTTAACCTTCATTTCCCTTCTCACATCAACTAGGTCTAAATGTGATTCCCATCTCACATTAGACTTTTTCCGTCAAAAACGTATTCAGATCATGAAACTTGGGGAAAACTGGAAATATGGACCATGGTTTGAAACCAAGGTATGGGTTGACTAGTCTGAGGACTAAGCTAGCAGACTTTATCTTTTGAGGGTCACCTAGTATTCATGTCCATGCATGATTCCCACATCATGCAGGACAGCGCGCGTCTTGGTCTCGTCGGGAAAAGGTTTCCTGGTGGATTTGGCCTTGGTGCATGCCTCACAGAAGGTAGGTTTCGAACTCTCATCAAGTGTTACGCCTGTGACTACTCCTTTCCTGACAGCCTCCGCTGCTGTGCTCTGGGACACGTGCCCTAGTATATGATGCAGTTCATCGACGGTAAGTTTGCCTTTTGCTATGTTGGCATGATGCTGATGCATATTTCAGGCAGCTGCAACACTAGAAAGTCCCTCAACCTGCGGGATCTCGGCGATCACCCGGCGGTTGGGTCCTTGTGATAGGACCTTGCACATCCGTCCCTCGAACAGTACGGCCATGCCGGCCTCAGCGATCTGGTGAGTCGATATGAGTGTGAAGGCCATTTTAGGTGCGTATAATGCATTTCTTAGGGTGACCTTCGTTCGTTTCTCACCAAGTGGTAGTTCTAGCTCCACATCGCCCCTCCCTGTAGCATTAAGTGTGGACCCATCTGCGGTGCGTATCTCCTGTGGGGAGATTGGGGTGAAATTACTGAATTTGGCTCTATCAGGGCAGAAATGGGACGTCGCCCCCGAATCCACGATAGCGCTGCGTCTTTTGGGAGGTACATTGAGGACTTTTGCTACGCTGGCGAGATCCGCCGTGACGAACGCGTACTGATCCTGCATTTCAGCCTCTGCAGCCGTATTGGCTGTCTCTTTTTGCCCCTTCCGCCTCTGCTGGTTGGGACCTTGTCCTTCCTTGCCGCCACCCTTCCTCCAGCAGTCTGTCTTGTAATGCCCCTTTCTGTCGCAATTGAAGCATGTGACATCCGGATCAGCTTTGGAGCTCGAGGACAAAGCCTTCCTGCCCTTTCCCTTAGTCTCTTTGGCAGATAGTGCCGAGTCCTTGGACTTCTTGGAGGGGCGGCGCTCTGTGAGTAGGCGGTGCTCATACTCCTCGGTGACAATACTGATCAGTTCTTAGGACGTCAGCGGGGTCTTTACAATTTTTGCTGCGGCATTAATGGACGAGAGGAGGGGGCGATACAATTCAGGAAGGGAGCCAAGTATGATGGCATGGAAGTCGGTATCGAGGATGGCTGCGCCCATGCCAGCCAGCAACTCCTGCAAACGTAGGAGTTCTGCGAAGTGGGCTTTGATGTCACCTGATTCTTCGCACCTTGTTTCCTGCAGGCATCTGCGCAGGTCAATCTGCACGAGTTCTGTTTTGCCTTTGTGGATCTGGCAGATCTCTGCCCAGACTTCACACGCAGCCTCGAACTTCTGGACCCTCAACAGGAGGCGATCTGATATTGTGCAGAATATCTGCTGTTTTACTAGTGAGTTCTTTTGGAGATACTCATCAAGTTTCTTATCCAGCTTGTCAATCTTGTTTTGAGTGGGTGTCGAACCGTCCGCCTTCAGTGGCTGGCCTGTCTTCTCGTCAAGGAGGAAGGGTATCGGCTCGACTGCACGACTGTCCACATATCGCATCAAACCTCGAGCGCCTATCACCATCATTGTTCTTTCCTTGTAGGTGATCCAATTTGTGCCGTCTTTGGCTAACTTTGGGACATTGAACAGAGTCGACATGGTACTGGGGAGCGTATTATCGTTGGTCATGTCAGGGCTCATAACCTTTAGAGATTAGAGGTAGAGCGGGATAGAAACAATCTAACAGGTAAGAATAAGTCTCAGTTTCTGGAAAGAACTCTTATTGACGAAGCGTGTACCTAACAGGTAAGAATAACTACGCTGAGTCAGTTAGGTGTAACAATAACAATAAAGGTATAGACTCACGTCTCAGTTTCTGGAAAGAACTGAGACGCTCGTAACGTTTGGGCGCTGGTATTAATACGGTAAGCGCTCTCGATTATTTTGAAGGTGAAAATTTACTTTGGACCATTTCGGTCCCAACGTCAACAGGTACTCCCTGTTCCTTCCGTCCCCGACCTCCCTCGACCAATGACTTGCGCTCGTACCTGCTACTTGTCATTTCCTACTCGTCATCTCGTGCCTGTCCATCGGGTCTCTCGGTCTTCTTCGACTCTGGCGCTTCGGATGCCAACAATAATTTCTTGCTTCTCCAAAACGTGTTCAAACTTCCAACCATAAGGTATAAAGTAATGGCAGGTTGTGATAACTGCGTCGAAAATATGTGAAAGTTCTTATGGAGACCATGCGAGCATAGATGTAAAGTCTAGTTTCAGAGTCTCCATAACAAGGTAAGGCACCGCAACTGGAATTTCAGAGGATATGTGACTCACATACAATTCTTCATCAAGTTGATCATCCTCGCCATCAGGATCATCTGACGAGAAACCTTCATCTTCCTCGCAGGAATCCCACCATTGATTCTGTAGGCCAAGCACTTTTGAGATATTCTCGTGTACGCTTTTCTGTCTTCCTTTACGTTTAAGTTGTTCATCCAATGCTCTCTGCTTCTCTTCCATCCTGCCTCCCATCCATCCTTGGCTCCGCATTGCTGCTTCGAGTAACAGTGCAGTGTCATCACGCCCTGGCAGGACGGTGTGAGCAGTCACTATATCCAGCAATGTCAACCTGTACAAAAGTGAGTTGGGGTGAGTTGCTATTCCCACATTAGTAAGAGTGAATACGACACAGCGAAGAAAACACCTCGACTTAAATCCCATGAAAGGGCCGGTATAGATCAGACACGGACGAGTCTGAGCGGGAGATGGACTGATGTTCTGGAGTGTCATGTCGACTCGGAGGTGCTTTTGATTGTTCATGACAGACTGGTAGAGAAGAAAGATAGTATCAGTTCAGGTGTCGCATAGAGTCAGTCAAGCTGGAGATGGATGAAACTAAGAGTGAAATGTGTTGATTTGGTGCGGGTGCGGCAGTAATGCGTTAGTGGTGCGGCAAAATACCTGAGCCTCAACTTGAAGGCTCTGCTCTGTAGCGGTCCGGTAATCCCGGTACAACATACGTCTGGCATCGAGGCTAGACACAATGTGTTCAAACCCTTGTCAGCTTGCAATGCACTTAAAGCAAGATCAAAGAAACCCCACCAGCATTGGTCGCCGTTTCCTAGCTGCACTCTTTCGTCCTTTCATGTCAGAGGCCCCTGCTCAACTCCCTCAACTCCGGTTCAACCCACCTGATGGGAACATCACCACCCCTGTGACAGAATGGTGGTCCTTGATGGCCGATCACTGGGATGGGGGAGAACAGAATCTGTATCTGAAATGTTCATTGTGTCGCATCGAATTTTGCAAGTGTTCGAATGGAGCGCATCATGAGTTCCTTGTGTTTTTTTTTGGACATTGGGTAGACGGTTGTTCTGCGGAAGCGGTAATTTGTGCAGACCGCACTTTCCGCACGCAAGACGACAATTCCTCTAAACAGTTCCATGGACTCGTCTCACATTCATCATCTGATCCTAGCCCTGCCCTCGACTCTGTATCCATGGTTGGTTCTCCTCATGATGCAAAGCCACGCCTCATCCAGAGCCACAGACCCTACACTACACTATGCACACTCCGATTCTCTCCATCTTCCGCACCTTGTGCGCTTGAAGTTTCTACTGTTATATTTCTCATACATCAACTAGCCCCAGCGTATGATCTCATTGGCAGCCAATGCTTCTGGTTTGCAGACACTGTGTGGAGGAGTCTGAAAGCACTTTTCCCCATCAATCAAGAACTCTGTGAACAACCACAGTTTGCGCGCTCGTTATGGCGCGTTGATAGTAGGACCTTCAGACTCGAGTGTCAAGGATGTGTTTGATGCTTACAAGTCAGAGTGGCAGAAGGTGTTGAAAAGGGTTGAGCAGGTTAAACAGTACCATGAAGCTGAACTAGCACAGGTGAGCTATTTCTCAGCAAATAGTCTTTTATTGAGGGTCGTTTTTCTTCGCAGGTTCTGCAGCGTGGTCGTGCTGAAGGTCTCACTGAAGGTCGTGCTGAAGGTCTCACTGAAGGTCGCGCTGAATGACAAACTGAAATCGAGCAGATGCAGGCTGAACTTGCGCGATTGCATGCACTTATGGGGGTTGCAGCTTCTGAAGGCACCAGAAACTAATATTTGGTATCTTCTCGCCACCAATCACTTACACACTTTTTCACTTTGTTCTCATCTATCTGTATATACCATGATGGTTGGTTTGTATTGACGAGGGTGCAGCTTGCACAAATATCTGGAACTCCTGGTTATTCTCTGGCACGTTATCATATCTAGCATACCATCAGTTACTCATCATTACCCTGGCTGTCCACGAGATCAATCTACATGCGCCCACTCACCTGTTATGTCTTGCACAACATTTGTTTGATCTGTCCATATTATTTGATGTGCAATGTTTGCTCATTCACAGGAGAATATCATGCGTCGTTTGTGCCTACATAAATCCCACGCAGAGAACCTTACTAGACATGAGAACGTGTGTAATTGTATACTTCAATCTGTATAGGCTATATTACATCGTGACCAGGGTGCAACATAGATATCAATGGAAGCATGAGATTCGAAAATTGAACTGCAACAACCAATAGTTTAGATGCCTCTCCTACCAACCTTAGGGCCGCCATTCGCTCAACCAAACATCTCTTGGTCCTGGAAGCAGACTCTGCTCCCTCCGGATGTACTGACCGTACTTCATTTCCCCAACTACCTCCCCATGGCTGAATACCACCTTACCCATGATGATTGTGTACTTCGGCCAATTCTTGAACTCGATACCCTCAAAAGGTGTATAGTCGACAGCATGGTGCAGCATCTTGTTCGTGAGCTTGAATGGCTGGAACTTTGCTTGTGGGTGCCAGATGACCAGATCAGCGTCGAAGCCAGGGGCAATGCTGCCCTTTTTCTTCAATCCGTATAGTTTGGCTGGGTTTGTGGATGTGACCTCAATGAACTTCTGTGGGGAGATGCGTCCGGAAAGGACGCCGCCAGAGAAGAGAAGCGGAATACGGGTCTCCACACCAGGCAGCCCGTTTGGGATGAGATGGAATTTTCCATATGGAAGGTTTCCGTCTTTGAGCCCTCGTTGCTTTCCATTTGGATGATTGAATTTGCTAGGGGCATGGTCTGAAGAAACAATGGTGAACGTTCTGTTCTTGACCCCAGCCCAAATAGCATCTTGGTCGGACTTATCCTCATGGATCGGAGGCGAGCATATGCACTTTGCGCCTGTGTATCATAGTCCGTAAGGCAATGAACAGAAGTGCAGAGGTTTCATCACCTTCGAAGTCTCCCTTTCTCTTTCTCATCTTGGTTCTGCCTCCCCGGGACGATTTGCACCAACGACCTACCCAAAGACATTGCCACAATGCCCGATTCACACAGCCTCGCAGCCCAGTAGTCAATACGGTCAGCACGCCGCCATACCCACCCTGGGTGCAGCTGAACAGTGCGAAGTCCAGGACAAGTACGGTTCCATGCGATTTACGGGCAGAAGAACATGATTAGCGCCAGGAACACAATCAAGAGAGAACAAAGCAGACATATGATAAGTTCACGAGTGTAATCGTCAAATGGCTCCAACATTCGAGGTTCTTCGGACTCAGGATCAGACTTGCATTTAGATTAGAGATGTAATAGACATTTACCTTGCTCGTCCATAAAGTCTATGGCAAGGAAGGCAGCTGCTGCAGGCTGAGAACACCCTCCATTAGCGTATTGTTGATACCAGGGGCACCGCATAAGGTATCGTCATCACGCTTCCTTGCTTCAAGGACACTTTGAGGGGGTGGGAGAAGTGGAATATGGAAGATGTGTGCGGATATGAGGTGTGGAAGAGTGTATAGTGTACGCGAACCCATACCGAGTATAGTATCCTGAAAGTGGGTCGGGAATGGAGAGACAAGAAATGAGAGAAATGTAACACACCTCGCTTGGCCCTCCTCTTGCATACCTCACTTGTAACTTAGTTAAATTGGGAAAATGCACGACGATGGCCAGCACGACTTCATCATCCCACTCCCCTACGAACAGTGAGAGCTCTTGGACCCTCGACAAGTGAGAGTGCACTTCTATAAATGCTTGGTAGAGTGGCGTCAGCATGGCCTCGTCGCGGATATCAAGCTTGATGATGCTGCGTCCGGAACAGATAGAAGATATGGCAGATAAAGGGGCAGAAATAGCACAGAGGGTTGGAAGAGCGCTCGGTGATAGTGAAAGGGTAGGGACGTGGTTTCGCAAGATGAGAGTGTGGAGGGAGGGAAGAGTCTCGAGGAACGAGATAAAGCCTGGGGGAACTCTAGAACAGTATTTATGGATAGGGAACTTTACGTTGAGAGTAGTGAGTTGTGGAGGTGGGGAGGAAGACGTGAAAACGCGATATAACCAGACAGTGTGGTCATATGTGAGAGTGCGGATGGTGGGGACTTGCGCAAGCATTCGTAGACGAGTGCGAGGATTGCGAGGGTTGGTGTCATCATCATTAGATGGGAAGACAGCGCAGATATCGAGGAGGGTAAGTGATTGAAGTTTCAGAGAAGTGTGATCAACATCTATATAGATACCAGCGAAGTGAACAGTGCAGTGTACGACTGCTAAATCACGCAAGTGTGGAAGGTCACGCAGAATGGAGTGTAAATCTCATGGGAGAAGCATACCACGGAAGACGAGCTGTCTGAGCGAAGTAAAGATGTCACTTGGGTAAGGAGATTTTCGTAGACAGTAGTGTCGGCAAGGAAGCGTGGTTGGTAGGCATCCTTGATTTGGAAGAAGCAATACCAGTTTGTTTGCCGGTTGAGGGGAATGGGTGTCCAGTCGTCAGCTTCCGCCAGGGAGATGGCTTCTTTTAGTTGCTCCACAGGACGTTCCACGAGGGGGGATATACCAAGAAGAAGAGCACGTGGTAAAGGTTGGATGGAAGACAACGCTGAGCATGCTGCTACAAACAATGTTGGAGACGTCAGAATCAGATGCTTGTAAAGAAGACGAATAGCGATTACATGAAAGCTCTTCGAGGTCAAAACAACATTACGAAGTGACTGTGAAGGTAGATATTCGAAAATTGAAAGCCAGAGTTCATTTGAAAGTGTCATTGAATAGATGACTGTCGATGAAGATGCAGGTGTAGACATTCATAGACAAAATCTTCACATGCAAGATCTCGGGACTTGAGTACTATGATAAAGCAAAGTTATAAGGTTGTGCTTCTGTTTCGTCGTATCACATGACTGACCAATGTTTCGGACTAGAAAGCTTGAAAGACTGTTAACGCCAAGACAAAGACACGTGTCGAGTGAAATGCAAGTCAGATGGGAATCTGAGGAGAGATGGAGGATAGTTGTGATATCAATGAGACTTGTTAAGATACACGTTAGACATGGATAGTACATATTGGTTTATATTTAAGGCATATCATGGAGATGGTCAAAAGGATAAAGGTACTAGTCGACCAGTAACTACTGATCAAAATACAAACAAATAATATTCAAGTTGAAACTCTCATCATGCACTGTCAAGTGTGCAATGCTTTCATTCGTTTATGTTCTGCTCATGGGCTGTGACAATGCAATGCAACCACATCTAGTTTATGGTGAGGGACTTGAACTTGAGCTTTGGTAAGACTTTGCTACGGAGGCGCGGACCAGCCTTGAAGGGCAGGAGTCATTTCACTTACCAGTATCAAGAGGACCTGCAGGATCTTTGCATCACCATCGAGATCAAGCTGATTCAGTTATCTCCAACAATTCTAAGGCCTACGGTGCACGCCATTGGAGACTTGGAGCGGGCAAAGACTTGCTGCAGACCCGGGTTGGAGGATAGTGGCTGAGATGAAGGTTCTCCATCCAGAAACTAAGTGCTTCACCCATCGCAATACCTTTCTTGGTTGCATGGAACATGTTGAATCCATGTATCAGGATCAATCTTCGAATCTGTGGCCCGGACACATCATGTTCTAATGAATTGGGGACCGGAGGAAAGACCGATGGCACTCAAAAACATCAACGACACAAGTCAGGACTCATTTCGATCTTTGTGATGTTGTCAGCTCTTTGTATCCATATGTGGTGTGTCTGGTTGCTCATCAGCACAAAGTTAACTTAAAGTCAGCCCCACACCTTTAGATCAGGGTTCAACTGATGTAGTCACCGTCCTCGACTGGATGATATATGAGAGCATCGTTCACCATTCCCTCCAAAAAGCTTCTTAACCCAAATGCAAAATCATCTGCACCAACACGTGTATTTTCGTCGGTCGGCTTGGCCACTCGCTAGGACATAACACCAAACACAAAGTCCTTGTTCCTGCATTTAGCATGGTGCTGAATGATTCGTTCATCTAAGCTCACGTGGCAGGTGTTATGGCATTCATGGCAATCACGGAGTGCTTCAATGTTGATGATGTGGCCAGTAGAGTCATTTCAGCTGTTGTAGGTGCTACGTTGGATAACGAAAGGTGAGTCTACAGGTCTTGTTCTACTGATTTGTTGTATGTTGATGGCTGCAAATCTGTAGGTTGGTTTGTGATCAGGCATTCAAGGCTGTCAAGCTTTTCATCAAGCGTTTAGAGGCTCACACTTTGACTGTGGTAGGTCTATTGTGTATGATCCAGTTTGTATTGCCTATATACATATTTACCACAGCTGGAGACAGCCTTCACAGAAGACAGCGGAGAGGATTTACCTGCGAGGCTTCCAGGTGCATTCACCCAGGCTGGGCTTGCAACAGGCGCAGCAGCTGCTCTCACAGGGCGGGCTGTGTCGTCCCTTGGCAAAAAGGCACATTTTATTTTGTTTATCAAAACTGATAGCTTACGATATCCACCGCTCAGCTTGCCTCTGCTGACGTGCAAATGACGATTTCGAGTACCATCAACTCATCAATATTGGCACTAAACATCAACTGAGTTTACAAAGACCCAACCCAAACGAAACACCCACCACACTTGCTTCCACGCCTAAGAGATCAAACTTAGTTTTTATAGCTCTTCCTCAATTTGCTAGCATTATTGGGGACAAAAAGAATTCGCTTTCCTTCATAACATACATGTCAAAAGGTCACCATCATCATCATTTTCAATACCAAACATTATGCGACTTGGCACGCACCTCACTTCCGAAGGATCTCCAAAACCTCTACAGCGCCTTCAAACATCCATGTGTCGTATCTGTCAATTAGGAGGGAGTATTCTGGGCGGGCTGTGAGGTGTGTGGGCAGAATGGATTAGCATCGAGAGAATGACCCAGACTCTCGGAGAGTGAGGGATCTTGTGTTGGAATTATTCATATGCTCAATATATTAGATTTATATCAGCAAACCCCTCCTAAGCTAATTAGACACCAGCTATTAGTATGTATGGCTGATGCTTATTCCCCGTCGTAATATATAATGTCCTCGAGGTGCCCACAAGCATGCATAGTGTCCTTTAAAATTAGGTTAGGTGCGCGGATGTAACTTCCGCGTGAAGATCTATCTGATAGGTGGGAGAAGATAGAATTACTGAGACAAAACAAAGTAAGAACATACAGAATTGGTGACAAGCGGGGTGGTGGAGTAATGTGACAAACGGGCCAAATATATGTAAAAGTAAGAATGGAAGATACAAAGAAAAATCATTTCCTATCCTCTCCAACACCTCCTCGTTCAGTTTCCATCAAACAGCATGTTGTTGATGTCAACGAGACATGCAAGAATAGCTGGGTAATGGGACGAGCAAAATTGTGGTAGAGTAGGTGCAAGTTAAAAACGTAGCGGGTATGAGGCACAGATTGAAAGACGAGTTTGATCATGGTGAACGGATGAGGGTGCCGTTGATGTCGTAATGAGTGCACCACAAGGGCAAGGCATGAAAGTGAAGCTTAATGGGGTGGCTCCTGATGGTGTGCATGTGGAATGGTAGGTGGAGTGTCAGCTGACAGGCGCATGGAGGAGGGGCGTTCAACGTGGTGGGCACTCAAGAAGTGTAAACATGAGAAAAACATGGTGCTGGCGGGGGCGCGGAAGCTAGAGAACAGATGGGGGATGGAGATGCTGGGAAAACAAATGAGGGCACTGGAAAGTTGAGATGACGAGAGCCAAGTGAGACGGCAAGGGATGCGAGTAGCTGGCGCTAATGCAAGTGCTGCTGGCCTGAAACCTGCCAGCAGTGAAGGTGAGGAGTGCAAGGTGCAATTTGAGGGATGATGGGGTGCTCCATCGAGGTCGAAAGATGGCGAGTAGTAGAAAATGACGAACCCTTTAGTTTCCTGACCAGGAAACTGTATGGAACAGCAGCGAGGAATGAGTGCGTGACACCTTCAAAAGTCTGAAGATGAGTTTCAAGCTCGGGGATACCATACGTAACACCATGAATGATGTCGATAACCTTGATGCAACTGACAAGGTGCATAGAGTTACTGTCGATGATGTCTAGATCATCAGTGCGGTACCAGCCACCCTCGATAAAGCTTGAAGATGTAGCCTCGTGGTTTTTGTAATAGCATACAAAAGGCATCGGTCTGCGAACCTGAAGCTCACCTACAAAAATAACAGCAAGATTATATGGATCGCAGATGGAATACGATCACAGCACTCACGTTCTGTCAACAGGCGCAGCAAGGTATGGGATCATGAGCATAGGTTAAGTACTAGAGACCGTCAAGGCGTGTACCCACTGTCAACAGGCCAGCGGCAGCAAGGTGCTAGGGGGATCATGGGCTTGGGCTGAGGATTAGGAGCCACAAGGCACTTACAATCTGTCAACGGACGAGCAGTAAGTCATGAAGATCATGAGCATGTGTCAAGGACTAGAGACCATCAAGCCGCTTGCGTTCTGTCCACAGGCAAGCAGCAGCAAGGAGATCTTGAGAATGGGTCGTGGCCTAGAAACCATCAAGATGCATACATCCTGTCAACAGGCAAGCAACAGCAAGGTATGGAGATTGTCAAAACGATAGCCAGTATTCGAAGATCCTGGGACTTCTGCTCGTATGTAAATGCTACTGTCTGTATGGATATGTGACTATGGTACCTCTGCTGCGGCATCCTCATTGATCCTGCGAAGGTAATCGAGAGAGAATCTATGTGAACGTGTCAGCGTCTCAATCTCTCAAGCTCGCCACTTCTCTATAGACTTAGAGAAACGAAAACTAGAAAATACATTTAGCAATGGTATCCAGGAGTGACGGATACAGCTCACCAGTCAGTAATAGAGTATTGCTCAGACATGCATAAGTGATCATAAGGATAGGTCTGAACACAAGGCCAAATTCAACTGACGATGTAAATTCATTCTCATAGATCAGCACCAGAAGAACGAGAGCTTACAAGCTTTAATGGTCAGACCGAAAGTGATTCCGGCTCAACCTGGAGAAGCCAAAATAAACAAAAGAAGAACATCATAAAGACCACTGCACTTACTACATCCATACTATGCAAACCTCTAAGCATTTGCTCCTGCTGGTATAATTATATGCATCTGGGCCCTGCAACCCCAATCACTCTGTAGATAGCCATGAGAACTCAGCAAGGACGGACAGGAAAGACACACCTCACTGCTCGTCTCAAGCAGCCTTCGTAAACTGATAGAAGATGTGGAAATCGCGCTCGTTCTCTAACTGCCAACCACTCAAGCTTTAGATAATTCATCATCTGAGTCCCGTTCAGCTCGCTGCGAGTATTGAACATGATCTCTGTATATTTACACTGTCAGACCACGAAATCAAGATCAAGGTACATATGTAAAACAATTGTTCACGCACATGATGACTTGAATTGTATACTTCCATCCTTCCCTCCTGACATGGCTTGCATGATGCAGTCTCGCCGGTCTCGCCAGATATAAGAACATATTGGTATGCATCCATGTTAATAGATTCTGCGATGCTGAATACATGCAGAGGAACCTTGAGTCGATTCTTGCCCTTGTACTTCTGAAGGTTGAAGGTTTTCATGCATATAGATCTGAGAGGCATTTCACCCTGACTTGAATGTTAGCCTGAGAAACCAGAATTTGAACAGGCCCAAGTCTCACCTCTACTAAAAGGATTTGCAGATATCAATACGCCGCCAATAAAAGTATAGATATCTCCAGCGGTCCAACGCTTGTCAAGGTTGTCGCCGATAATTGTCAGAAGTGTTATATTGGATACCTTGACTTCGGCTTGATTCTTGTTGAACCCCGGGGCCTTATTTCCAGTCTGCCTGTTTGTACCGAGATCATGGCTGTCCATAGTGTGACAATGCCTGACAACGCACCTTGACAGCTTTACTAGTAGTCGGCCTACCTGACTAGGGCGGCAATCTTCCTGCCCGCTTTTTGAAGTTTTGGCATTCAAGTTAGCCTACACGGCATGCCGATTAATCATTCAGCATTTCAAGGCAACTTGGATCTCACCATGGCTGATGCGCCTTAGCTTAAATGAGAGTTACTGGAAGAAGTCCGCACTGCACAGGCACAGTGGAGAACGGCAATGTTGCCCGCAAGTAATGGTATTGGTATGGTTGTAAGTTATATCCATACAACCCTTCCCACGGATCGGCGAGGGAATACAGGTCAAATTCTTGGTGAACATCCGAAGGCGAACAGATTGCTTGAAATACTTAATGCTACTACCATACTACTGCCATACTACTGCCATACTACTGCCATACTACTACCATACTACTAGTACAGTAACTGTAGTAAAAATGCGAAACAAATTACAAGATGATATGATGAAAGTCCAAGTCCCTGAATAATAGTGGTGGTAACGTGATATGAAATGATATTATCTTCAGCGATGGCGCGGCGCACCACCACCACTTGTGGTATTACGCCCCTTACTCCTACCCGCACACTTAGGACTGGCGAGTGATTGGAGGGATGTATGGAAATCCTGGATGTCATCTGACTCGGATTTCTCAAGCTCGACTGAGTTGATCTGTGCACAATCACTGCGACAACTCGAAGCATGGCCCCAAGTCCCACTCCCGCGCTTGAGGCGCGGTCAAAGGACCATGTGAAAGACCGGAAGCTCCTTTGAGTAAATCTGCGCGGCATGGGCATCACGCTTTGCGAGTTCGACTACACGCTGCTCCATGTACCATGCCATGTAGCGGTGATGAGCTGTTTCGGACATAGCCCCCGCAATTGTCGTGACAATTTCATCGTTATCGAGTATGAAAGGGGGTGCTCGCATGGCATTGGCATCGACGTGAGGGTTCATTCCCTGAGAGAGACTGATGAGCTGCTCCCTGATCGCCCAAACGCCCTTCTGGATCATTGCGTGTAGTGCAATCATATCTTCTACGGGATATAAAGTCTATAATAAATACAAGTTAGTCAAATGCAACCCATCAGAGCACAAAAGTAAATATTACCCCGCACGCGACCAAGTTCCTGTCCGTTGTATCAAGGTCGATAGGCTCCACCCCATGCACCCATACTTCAAACCGAATTGACCGTATTGAGCACCAAGTATGGCCCTCAACCTTAACCGGGTTGTCGAGGGCTGGCAGTGTGCCTGTAGCGCTGTTGAAAATGTCCGATGAGCGTGGCGACGTCTCCCGCAACATAGACATCGCACACGACTTCTTCTTTGGCGAACGATACCCGGTGATTTCGTCAACCTCGGCCATGATCGCCATCAATAAACCAGGGTTTAGTTTTATGGTGTTTCTGAACTTCTTCAATAATGTGCGCCGATTTTGTGAAAGAGCAGTCTCCCTGAGAACGGAGACATAGACTTTCTTTGTGATGCTAGTCATATCCTGGATGGAAACTCTTAAATCCGGAATGATGGGGTTGTTCGAGGACGTCTCTGTATTGCATAAAACACGAACATTTAGTAATAAACGGTTGAAGTCAATAGACCGGAAGAAGCATATAAATGCGGCGTGAAATGGGACCAATGGGGCTTCGTGAACAGCGGATGGCATCTCTACTATTAAGATATTTTCCTCGGCAATATAGCTTAACCTGTTGCAGTAGTATGCAACGTAAGAACCAGTTGGTAACGGTCGAACTCGGACTCACCTTGTTTTCAGCCTGCTCTCCTCGAGAAAGTATGCTAACAGTTCGTATTGCTTGGGCTTGATACCAGAAAATTCCTGGGACAAATTATGATGAAATCGACGCCACTATGAGTAGTAAAAAGCTGACGCTTACCGCACACTCGGCTTTAGTACGACCCGATTTCCCAATAAAAATGAGTACCATCTTGCATATGTGTTCACCTTCAAGAAGAAGTAGTATCGGATTTCACATGTTCAGATTAGTGAATAGTACGTACCTATTGTTGAGATGTCGGATTTGTCCCGAGCAAAACGACTGAAGCTGTCCAGTAGACAACTCAACCGGTCTGATGTGCTCGTAGGAGCAGTAAGCGTAGCTGTATGATGTGCTCTCGGTGGAGCAAAACCGTGACTGCCCTCCGCCACTGGTTCAAGCTTGCGTCCAAATGCGAATCTGGACGATCTCCAACTTGAAGTTGTTGATTTCTTTTTGTATGAGGTGCGGAAGAAGGAAGGAGTAGACGATGAGGTTTTGGGCAAGGTTGGCATGGTGTGACGATTATTAAAGGCTGGAAGGGCAAAGGGCAAACTTGAAGCTGCAGGCTGGTATATAAATACCATTGAACACGATGGCAAACAATTAGTACCTGAATGATGTGCTTAGCTAATGGTGCCCCTATCAATCAACTCTCTCCTAATTTTTGTAGGGAGACAAGGTGGCGAGGCTAGATGTGCACTGTGCTAATACAGAGATCCCTGGAAAACATTAAAACTAAATTTCAAAGTAAACCTTTCACGTCGCTCACTTGATTGTCAGACGTGACTCGAGCTCGGCACATGCGGCATGCCATGACGATGACGATCGACTTGGCAGAGTCACATCAGTGAGATCATATATAATATTAATAGACACTGACCTCGAAACGGTATCACAATGATGTCAGTTGGCTAGATTGAGTAGTGATGCGGCATACCTCTGTCGGCTTGGTTCCTCCGACAATCATTACTGATGAGTCTCTCTTGCATCATCCGAGTCACAGGCCACACACTGGCAGTAGTAGTAGGAGTGGAAAATGAGAAGGTTCGAGTACTAGTAGCGAGTCCATTGCTCAGGCTGACTCGGACTTCAATTGCTTGAACTTGAATTAGCTAGTAGTAGTAGTGCCAAGAGAAAAATTGATGCACTGACTCGGACTCGGAGAGTGAGCAACGCGACCGCCGCGGCTGTGGTCTACCAGTGAGAAATGGTTGAACTTCAGCCTGAATTTCGAGTGCGGCCTTAGTGGCCTCAGGCTGGTGTCTGATTTGGAGTCAAGGCTGGAGAGGATAGAAAGCTTCCGAGTCACGGTCAACTTGAACTTGGTCACGGTGAGATTCAAAGTCTGTGATACTTACTATTTGTATGCGGCACGAACATAATCCTTAATCCGGTAATTTATCAGACTCGGAGGCACGTTCAAGTTCAACCGAGCACTGCGGCTACTCTGAATGTAGTACTAGTAGTAAGTCACGGTAGTAGTAGTCACTGGTGTGCACTATGATTGGCAAGCAGCTGTGTTGAGCACGCTCGTTTATATCATTTATTGGGTGGGTACTGTACTTCAATTTGAATGACTGAAGCTGTGAATAGTCGATCATATCACTGACCAACAGGAGGACCACCGGTGACCGTGACTGTGGTGCCGCCACCGAGTCCGAGTCAGGCAGAACTTGAACGCATCTCCAATTTTGCGAACGGACCTGCCAGACAGTCCGGCTGTTAGTTAGAGTTGGCTGACACCTAATAACTTCAATTTGATGGTCTAAGATGAGATCTTCGCATAAGATGAAAGTATTCAATACTACTACTACTACTACTACTACTACTAGCTGTCCATGTCCGACTTGGAGTCAATCCCAGGATTGCGGAACACGTGTCTCGATGTTCGGACTTGCCAGTGATCATTGATTAATTTGTCGGTCATCACACATCGCCGCATGGCGAGCCATTGTACATAAGACACGGCTGCTGCTAGATAGCTCATTAATATTGGAAGTCGCTAGTCAGACTCACAGAAATAGTGATAATAAGTATAGTATAACCAGGGACTCGGAGTGGCAAAGGTGCGGTTCAGCTCCATACATGCACGCTGAGTGGAGCGGAGATCTTTAAGACCAATTGTAGATATAGATATATCGACGCTAGAGGGGGTGAAACCCAATATTCGTCAATAGTGATGACCAACGTACCCATCAATGGTGATTGAACCGCCAGACAACTCGACAATTTGAAACAATGCGAGCATCAACGAAGATTTGCCAGCACCAATCCTAATGAAATATCACATTAGCATGTGTGTGTAGCTCCGACAAACCAGCTGACCTTCCCACAACACCTATCTTTTCGCCTCCCCTGACCTTGAATGAGATCCCCCTCAATACATTGGGAAGGCCTGGCCGATATGCCATTTTAACGTTGTTGAATTCGACCGCACCATGTCCAGGCCATTGCGCTAGGGGCTTTCATTCTTCAATCTCATGCGGAGCTTCTTGAGGCATCGTGTCGCTTGCGACATACTGCACCACTGCTCGGTGTGAGCAAAATATCATGAAATTAGTGACTCACATCGTTCCACTGAATCCATATAGTTCTGAGGCAAATGACGATTGAATAGCCTGTGTTAAAAGATAAGGAACGCCTCACCTCAACACCTGCTGCTAGTCTGGTTAACTGACTACACGTTTGTGACAGGGAGGCTTTGATACAAGATTTATCACGTGTACTTTAGTGGCGACATCGAGAGACCCACTGGTATATGTCAGCATCAACCCTATCTGGGCTGCGTTTATCCCGGAAATGTCCATCACTGCGAGAAGAGCGACCTAGCATTCGTTGAACATGAGATCACAGTTTTTGCCATCGAATAGATTCCTACAATGAAAACTAATATGCTTCCCATGATGTCCAACCTTACTGCAAGCCATCTGAGAGAAGCTAATGAACCAACAACCACTAAGATATGTATAAGGACACTTACCTCTGGTTTGTAATCATGAGGTATAGAGCTCTGTCCTCCAGATCAACGTAGTATCTCTTAGCGGCAATAAATCGCTTCATTTCTCCGTAGCTTCGAATAGTAGGAAGTCCTATCAAAGTCTCTGAAAAATGGGCATATAGAAGAGAGCAAAGCATAGCGCCTGATCATCATCATCAGCAGTGGATTTCTAGGTCAGAAACACAATAACAAACCCAGGTGTTTGACCTCACGAGCACTGGCTCGATAGAATGCGGCAAAGTAGCTATAACCAAGAACGTTGAAAGGCACAACAATAACTAGACAAGAATGAGCCATATCCTTGCAAATGATGTCTATTCACTGACCAAAGTATGGTTCAAGGACAGAGATGATCATGATAGAGGCCATAAAGCTGGACAGCATATAGACAACTGGATTTCCATAGTCAGTTTCCATAAGCAAAGTATGCGGTTAACATATGCCATCTCATTGAAACTAGACCATACATCAGTGACATCTCACCGTGCGGTAACAAATGACTCACATGGTAATTGATTATCAATACCTGAGCGAAAGTTTTAGCAAAGCATAGAAGAGCACAAATTAATGAGATGCCGACTATCAACATCTTTGCCAAAAATGCTCAAGATTCAACCTATAGGCTACATGAAAATATTATGCATCTGTTTGCGCGCTTCTATACAAAACTACTCACTGTAGTGTCGAAGAAGGACAATGGTGCATGAAAGACCTTAAATATGGACTTGTGGTGCAGGTTTTGAGACACATAATGAGAAATGATGTCCATTCCGATACAACTACATTGAATGAGCATGCCGTGATCTGCGGTGTGAACGGGCTTACAGGAAGAATGTGAAGATCGCTTGAGCAAGTTGGCAGTGCTAGTGATGTTCCAGCCCGGCTTGGCCCAAAAGCCGCGGCTTTGGCCTGCAAAAAATCCAGGCCGGGCCAAAGCCGCCAATGACGGCTGGCTTTAGCCCGGCCCTGTCCTGAGCCGCGGCTCGAATAGTAAAAATGTAGTTAGTGATCTGGAGGTCAAGGCTGGAGGGTATACCTGCAGGTCAGCTGCCGGTGCTTAGCACACATGTCCAGCACATGTCAGCAAATGCTGACATGACTCGAACATATGTGGATGACACCCAAGGGTACCAGATGGAGGAGTTGAGGCATGAGCAAATGCAAACATGACATCTAATGCACGGTGATCAGTATAAATTAGCAATGCGAAGGGATGAGGAACAGACCTGAATGACGCCACCACCGCCGACCTCAGAGATATTGTAGAATGCCTTGTCAAGCTCGAGTAACTGAGCGGTCCAGTCCATGACCACAGCCTCAAGCTCTGTACATGCGGGGCTCGCAGCCCACTAAAAAAAGTTACAAAGACATCGTAAGGATTGCATTAGAGAGACGTACATTGAATTCAGGGTGAGACGTGCTAGACACGTATAGTTCGTAGTTCGAACCTCTGTTGAACTGGCCTGACAGTCTTTATAGCTCCACTCCATTCCATTTTTTTGAGTGAACGAGTGTCGGAAACAAAAGATGAAATGATCCAAAAGCCGCGGCTCGAGCCGGCGGCTTCAGCTTTTCATAATGTCAGGCCAGGCCAAAGCTGTCACCAGGCCGTGACTTTGGTCCGGCTTGGCCTAAAGCCGGGCCATGCACATCACTAGTGATATAATACGTGTCTTCCAAGTCCGAGCTACTTCAAGAGGCAAGGACGAATGTAGAAAGTAGTATGCACTGTGTCGACTGTAACACCAACAGCAATATGATACAAATGAGGAGCAAAAGCAAAGAAAGCAAGTGCGGGAGGGACGACAGCAACGGTTAGTGCAGTGGATACTAATAAGCGTGCAAACCAGCGAATCAGACATTCTGCATCATGATAAGCTTGCCTTGTCATAAGTGTTTTGTTCGCTGCAATGAGAACTAATGGACTCCTGTATAATCTGTAAGATCGGGGGACATCTTCAACACCATACGACATGAACCCACCAGGTTCTGGTCTGATTTGCGTGCTTCCTCGATTTCACTACCCCAACCGGTCTCTCCCTGGCGCAAAAAGCTCAATGACTGCTGTGTCCGAGGATGATAATACATTAGCGTTGGATCACTGAGTCTCAAGGTGTGTGCTCGCTGTCTTTATGTCGTGAAAACGGAGCTGACCTGGGAAAGGATCGTTTTGAGATTCGTGTCGATCAGACAAGGTCTCTTCTTCGTTGAGACCGACACCGTGTTTGACTTCCCAGGTATTCAAGCTGCGAAAAAATGAGAACAAGTGTATGATGAGATGTTAGGTGAATGACTCACAGTCCCAGGACAGCATTGGTGTAAACTATGATCTGCTATGAGCCTGTGCGCGAGGTGAGTGGATGGCGAAAACTCACCCCTGGGCGCCACCATCTGGACTGCTATCCAGTATGGTTTTCCTGGTAAAGCAACAAACTATACAGATGAGCTATAAAGGTATGCTGACCAAGTATCCACGTACTGTGCCAAGATACATTAGATGAATAATGCTGAAAAACATGGTTAGGCTGAACTCGAATGTGGAGTAAACCCACACGAGTCCTAGGCCATGGCAAACAAACAGCACGACAAGGTTTTCAAACACTCCCTCAGGCCTGAAAAAAATATGTCAGCAGTTGCTTGTGTCTCATAATACAAAACACTGACTGAAGCATGTCCGGATAATGTGCTGGACGCAATGACCAACACATCGCAATAAGAATGATGATGTTCGCGACTGCTGCGAAGCCTTGGCTGATGCCAGCGATGATCTGCAATTCCTGGTTGAGAATTCTCTGAATCAAGCAAAAACTGACACTCACTGCCATAGAAGGCAAAGCAAATGTGGATAACTGCCTCTGCTAGAAGCTGAACGAGAATCAGCGACAGCATCCAAGGATGCTCTTCGAATATTGGCTTACAATTGCCCTACTGAAGCTGCACTTGCGTCAATAAGGTTCAATTGAATATCATACACACCAACTTAAGCTGAAAACTATAATCAAAAGTCACGTCAGGCAAGGCGAATACACGCGAGAAAGGATACTAACCAAAGGCGATGAAGGCGCAAAAGAGCTGCAGCGTTGTCAGTGCAAGTGATCAAGTATAGTTACAAAACACACCTGTTGAGAAAGTGAGGGTCAGACGCGTAGTACTTGATGAATAGGGAAGAAAACCATACCAGGAGTTTTGTCCAAGTATGATCATTGGAGTATCGAGAGAAATATATGTAGGTCTCTGCAATGATTGGGCGACATGAGACAGATTTGACGAGAGGATAGAATACTCACGAAAGAATGTCAAGCCGTACTATATGAATGTCGCAAAGGCGAAACCCACGAAAAGAACAACGAGATTCGATTCTCTACTTCAGTCGGAGAGGGGGAGCTCATGGTGTAGTGAACCACAGATCGAAGAGAGGACTAAGAGATATGCATGAATGAGTGAATCATCATCTGTGCTTATATTGCGAAGTTCAATTAATATTCTTTCGATTTGGATAATAGGCAAAAGTCAGCTTGATTTGGAATTGAATATGAGTTAGACGAGTGTCGAAGCACTTCAAGTTGTCGCGGGCACCTTCTTTCCATATTTGGGATATGGTGCCCGCGACGACTGCGACGGGAGCTGCAACACTAGCAGCACTATACTTACTTGCTGAAAATACACTCGAGCTGTATAATACATCCTTCAGCAGTTATTTTGCACATCATAGTATTGCAGACTCGCATTGGAATAAATACTTCAATGGTGGATTTGCATATCACACAAGTTTGAAATTGGGACTTGGAAGTTCGGAAGTTGGAACACGCTGTAGATTAGTCTCCAGCAACACAGTTCAAGACAATGATAACCAAGTGAGTTTATATTAATCATATAAAGTCCTTCAAGGCAGCAATCAGAGTCCAGAGTGTCATCACAAAAATTGCTTGTACTAGACCTAACAATACATAGATATATATACGGTGTCGACGCTGTCAACAATATCAGGGTACAATATCAGGGTTAGGGTCTAGTATGTCTGAGCAGACTTGGAACCTGAAACTTCCAATGGACGGAGTGTGTACGACGTGTTCCAGGCAAATAGATTATATTCAGACATTGGAAATCACACAGAGATATGCAGTTAAAGTCAGATATTGATTGTCATCGTGAGAGTACAATGTATTGTAAGGCGCTGCAATGTAAGGAACCTGCTGCACTAGCAGGGTATCACTAAATAAGAGAATCCAGAGATAACATCATGATGGAAAGCAATGTCAGAGGTAATGAGAGCGCAATGCCGAAAGTCCCAGTGTGAGAATATGAGTGCAACGAGGCAAAGTCCAGTGTGAAAATGCGGTGATTCGAGAAGGGGCTGCCGAGTCCGAACGAGTGATGAAGTGAAAATTCTAAAACTGATCAAGGAAAACCGAGTGACGACATAAGTGTAAGGCAAAATGGACATACCGATACCATCTATTTCCTGTGATACTTTGGACTTGACTGGTCAAATTGGCAGCTAATTTATTGACGACGCCAGTCAATTCCCGCCAAGTACCTTTGACATCCAACACGAGAGCCTGTCCACCGAGTTTACCACGGAAGACTGAGCAAATCGTATAAGATCCGGGTTAGTAGTCACTTTACCCTTCTGTACCGACTTCTTGACTGACACGAGCGACCTCTTTGGTGAACAGTCCCAATTTATTGACCTGGTAATGATATGCATGAGCAAGATCTTGAGATAAGATTGTGGACAAATACCATAGTATTGATGATGTCCTTCAATTAAACCATGACCACGCCCTGCACAGAAACCGTAATTTTCTGGGATAAGTCACCTCTGGCCATAGCGTTACGCACACGAGCGACATCTTGGACCTGAGCCTTGAGCAACCTTAGTTCTTCGCGGGCGCGAATGCCGCAGCAGCAAGAGCACCAGGAGGGACGACGAGAGGAGATCAGTTAGGCGAGCCATCAAAGCTACTATTAATTTGGCTCATCATTAAAGTGTCAGCGCTAGCCTTCCCGCACATTGGGCAAGCCATGTGTTCGATGTGCGACGTTGGGGGAGCTGAGTTCGAGCTTCCGTTTGAAAATGACCGAAGGAATGTTGCGGCATCAATATGACTTGGAAGTCCGTCGAGTGATAAGGACGTTGAACCTGCACGAGCGGGGTGTACTTTATTGGTTGGTGTGCGATCACTGTTGGTGACACCATTCACATATCGGCATCCTGCATGTCGACATCAATTGACTCTATGTGGGCGCACTGAGAAGATGAAGATGAAGACATGAGAGCGCCGCCTACATTGCGTCTTTTCTTTGTCTCTGGCCCATTTGTTTGCCAACGCTCAGAAGCTTTGATTGAAGCCACAGTCTCCTCCGCAGTGTATATTCTGCATTTTCTGGTGTCAGTTCGCTGGGTGCAGGTGGCTTTGGTGGGATGGGGGCCGTCTGCAAGAGCCTTGGAGATTGAACAACTGGTGGTGGGGGAAAATTCTGGTTCCGGGGTTTGATGTGGCATTGGGATAGTCAGAGTAGGTTTGGGTGCTGCAAATTGTTTGGCAGCACTGGCACGAGTGGCCATCTGCATTCGCATTTTAGCCCGCCCATTTAGCAGACCTGAGGACGAGCCAGTCGAATTTCTGGATCCAATGTCATTGGATAGGGTCGGTCCGCCTTCACGTCTGTTCTCATAGTAGTAGTAGATATGAAACCAATATTGCATCATCCGAACGTGATAGCATTCATCTAAATAGTATATCAGTATACAGTATATACGCATATACTCACCTTTTGTGCAACATGGCTGAGTTCTTTAGACTTGGTGCGGTCAGTAATAAGTGATCGGAGTCCCAGAGCCAATTGAAGCAACTGCTGATAGTTGCGCTTGTACCGATTGAGGGTATTGTTGAACTAAAAAAAAATGAGCGTAGGCTCAAAAAAACCAAAAGTGGGACTTACAGTTTCGAAATCTTTTCCTTGTGGGACTTCGGCCTCAGTCTCTTGAAGTTTTCCGTGGCCTGCTCTTCAAGTTGTTGCAGGAGGACGCCTACCCTTAGTAAGAGTTTCTCCACGTTGCAAAACAAATCAACAATATTAATGTGCCATTGCACATGCTGCCACAAGGGACTTCCGTAACTTTGAGATTCGAGTCATCATTCGGCTTGGAGATCTGTGCAACATAAGTAGTCTATAGTATCTTGGCGTAAGGAATTTAAATAGGAACTTACTTTGCCTTTTGATCAGCTTTCAAGTTGCTCGAGTGCCCACATTTTTTGGAAGACTTCTTAGGGCAAATATATGTTCGCTCTATTGATGAGATCGACGAGTCACTACTGCTATCGTCATCTGAAGAATAAGGGGATCTGGAGTGTTTGTGTAGCATACTTAGTGATGAGAGTAGTGGAAGATAGAGTCGCAGTGTCACACAGATCGACATATGGGGATTTCAATCTCAGGTAATCACTAGCGCGTGATTCAATTCCCATTTTGCCTCCAAGTCAAACTTGAACGTTTTGATCCGATCATCAGAGCCTTCTTCATGATCGTCACAGTGCACTGCCTACTACAATTCTACTAGTAGATGGCACTCCGAGCACTGCCACTGAGTGATAGCTTCAATTCACAGGTTGTAATATGTGCATCTATTCTGATATAATGCAGTTCTTTTCCTGTTATTCTAGTTGATGAGGGTCATGATTTCATAGACCAAACCAGCAGCGTTAGCTCGACACACCGTGGATCCAGTGTTGCATTTAGCATGCTTCTTAACGGCGCATCAAATTTTCGTTTTCATTTTCTGTTGCGCAAACTTGAAGACTTTGATTACAGTATCTATACCACATTATGAATATATTGTAGTGTCTAGGATATGTCATGTAGATACAAGAATCATCTATTTAATGTTGTTATGATAGTATCGCGAGGTGGGAGGTATCATTCTGAGTTAATTGCTTCAATCAAATGTCGCGTCGGGGTGTTGATGATATCACGCGGACTTGTTTAGTCATATGTTCAGCCACACTACCATCCATATTGGGTAATCTCTCAGTTGTGCAATTTTTGTGATGTGCACGATCATCGTGAGAATGACCTAGAGTAATGCTATGAAGCACGCCAGAAGCCACCGCTGAGCATATACTTACCGAACATCAGTGAACCGGTGAGGAAAGTAGAAGACCATATATAACATTATATAGTACATAGTCACAAGAACTGGCATAATTCTGCTATCGACAATCACATTGTTATATTTGGCCTTGTAGAGGAAAGGAGATTCGCTGATTTTACTCAAACTCACAGTCGAAGTGAAGGTGTCGCAAAAGTCGATGGTTGAGCTAGATTAATAAGAATGCCATAACAGAAGGGAGGCTCACAACTGCGAAGCTATGAGTGAAGGTCAATACTTCCCGGTCGACGAGCATGTGTTGGCCCATGCGGGCGACAATAAGTTTCACGACCGGATTTGAATATTAACATCACCGTGCAAAGTGCCTAGCATCAGAAGGCAGGCTCACAACTGCGAAGCTACTGAAGGTCAATACTTCCCAGTCGACGAGCATGTGTTGGCCCATGTGGGCGACAGTAAGTTTCGCGACCTGACTCGAACTTCGACATCATCGTGCAAAATGCTAACATTAGAACACAAGTGTGGGATCAGGAAGAGACAGAGATGTTACTCGAACTCGAACTTAAAGGAAAGGTGGGGTAGAATCCAATGGTGGTCTCAGAGACATGGCAATTAGCAACTTCAGTGAACATTTTTGCCCTTTCAAAGCTAAGAGTGAACATTAGCAACTTGCAAAGAAAAGTAACGTGCCCACCCAGTGAGCGAGAGTGTTAAATCCTGCGAAGGTAATAGTCAAGCTAAAGGAATCAGAATTGTTAGTTCAGGAGTGATGTTTGCTATTACGACGCCGAAAGTGAAAGTCAGGATCTTCCCAAGAAAGGCAACTTTGAACTTATCCAACAAGTGAGCGAGAGTAAATATACATGCCACTTTGAATCTTAATGCTATTGGCTTGAGATGCTTGATATCCAGCAGTTGTAGGACAATTTTCCCACTAACGATAGAAGACAGTATCTTCCTGAGAACGGCGACCTGTCCAACAAGTGAGCGAGAACAAATGGACGTGCTACTTTGAATTTCGACACTATATCTTACAAGACACCTAATAAATGTCAGCTATACTTCAATTGGGAATCCGTGTGAAAAATATTTGCCTTGGCCGGTATAGATAGGATCATGTGACGAGTGAATTCACCAGAAACATATGTGCTAATTACCAATTTGGAGCTGAGATTTTACTATCAGCGATTGGACTAAGAACCACCATCAGAAAATTCTCACATTCCTTAATCTCCTTAATCAGCTTAACCTACTTATCTCAAAACTTGTTTGCTCTCTCTCACATTATTTACCTGGCATATTTCATATTTCTCTAGTGTGAAGCATAATAAAACATATATATCAATATACCTCAACATTTCCTTTCTGAATATATTCAAGTTGAAATGTTGGACAAGTAGATCCACCTTTCAACAAGACACTTAAGTGTATTAAGTCTGTTTAAGGACAAATAAAGTAATGTGAGAATTTCCTGATGACCAGACATCATCATGAGCGCATTGTATTTCCTGTATCCTTCGTGAGTGAGCTCACCAAAAATATATGAACTAATAACCAATTTGAAGCTGATATTTTGCTCTCAGCGATTGGACTAGAAACCGCAGACGTTGTCATGGTTGTGTTGTGTTTCCTGTATTCAACCTGTTCAAATCGATTATGTGGATGAACAATTCAGGGCGTAACTTGTGCTATCAGTGAAATGAGTAGAAGCTGTAGACATTGTCATAGTCGCTTTGTATTTCATGCATTCAGCCTGTTCAAATCAAGCAGGTGGATGCACACTTTGAGGCTTAACTGATGCTACTAGCGAAAAGACCAAAAACTGCGGATGTTACCATAATTGATTTGTATTTCCTGCTTCCAGCCTTCTAACACTAAGCAGGCGGATCAAAGGTGCTTGTCATGCATGTTACATTGTTGCAAATGATATTCAATTAGATCATTATGATGTTAAAAGTAAACTACATGGTAAAATGACTTGTCGAGGCCAGTGATTGCTTGAAATAGTGTGATATATTGACTACCTACATCAGGAAATTCTCACATTACTTTATTTGTCCTTAAACAGACTTAATACACTTAAGTGTCTTGTTGAAAGGTGGATCTACTTGTCCAACATTTCAACTTGAATATATTCAGAAAGGAAATGTTGAGGTATATTGATATATATGTTTTATTATGCTTCACACTAGAGAAATATGAAATATGCCAGGTAAATAATGTGAGAGAGAGTAAACAAGTTTTGAGATAAGTAGGTTAAGCTGATTAAGGAGATTAAGGAATGTGAGAATTTCCTGATGTAAGGTGAATCAAAAGCGGCATCGTCACATTGTGCCCTCTGCCTCACGAGAGTGTTCGCTGGCGTGTTGGCCTTTGCCATGTCGCTAAGCTCATTACGATGATTTCTTCTGAAGACTTTTCTAAAAACGAGAGTTCAGCTGAGGTTGGTCAGCAACGTAAATGACACACCTGGTCCACCAATCCAGGAGGCAATTGACTCTGCACTGCACTTCTCGACCAGGAGGTCTCTCAAAGAAGTCCACAATTGTCTGCCAGAATTGAATATAATCAAAATCACCATCGACCAATTGCCACGAGGTTACAGATGAAAGCGCGAATCGTACCTACAAGGGTGGTGATTATTTGTGAATAATCACAAGAAACGTTATCATACAGCGAACTTACTTGACAAGCGATGTACGCAATCAAACGAGGAGTAACCTTGTCCATTTTGATAATTTGCGCAATGTGTTTCTTAACTTTGATGGTCGAGAATGCTTTCTTAGCGTGACAGTTGTTCTCAATTATGTCCGTGCCATCACCGTCACACTTGACGTCCTTCGCTGACAAGGGAGACGTAAAGACAGCTTTGTAGGCCTGTAAGATGACATGAGATCATTGTCAGGCAACTCGGGTGTGACGAACCTGCAACAAAAATTTTCCCTCAAAAATACCTTCCTCCAAATTGTCAGGATTGGCAGTGTATGTTTCATATAAAAACGCTGGGAAAGAAAGGTCCGTCACGATATAGCCCTCCGATCAGTCCCAAATCCCTGCCCGTACACTAGTAAAAAGTCAGAGTTGTGTGAGATGTGAAGTCTACTACATACACTGGGCTGTTCCAATCAAGTTCAGCCGGGCACAGTAACCTGCCACACACATCATTGATGAACCCACAGCAATGTTTATCATCGGACTCGACTGGGGAAGTTGGCTTGAGTGCCATATTCACCCAGTCTGAAACAAGAGTCTTCAGTTTTGATGTGTCGTCTCCTCGAGCACCATTGGCCCCTTGCCTAAGCTGAATAAAGTCTCGAGATCACAAAGTTGATCACTGACTCGGATAGCATCAAAACATACCATTTTCAGCATGCACATATAGTCATCGTGTTCCAGGTCTGTGGCTTTCTTCAGAAACCATGGTAAGGTTCTCACCAAGGTACTATACCCTAACTGAAGCCGATCTTGACTATACAAAGGAACCGATGAGTACATTCGTCATGGAAAACTGAGGGTGAAAACTCACTCGAGAGTAGTATCCTCGTTACTATTGTCATCATATCTTCAGTCATTTTCGACAACCAGGTCCTCAATACTATCGAACAAAGCGACCATGCGCCGTAGCCCTCTTCCTTGAGCTAGGTAATAATTTGTTTGCCTGTCAGATAGTCAGTGAAATCGACCTAATGCATACAATCATGATGGGCTTCATACTTTTCCTTCATCACGCGCCCTGACTGCATAGCCTCTAGCTTTCCCTCGAGTTCAGCAATCTTACGTCTCTGCCAAGCCTGGGCAAATGTTGACTCAGGTTGGGATGGTTCTGAAGATTGGCGAAGGCCGTGGTTGCCACTCTGCTGGTCATTGGTGTCTACGAGCGACTCGATGCTGCCCTCCAAAACGTGCAACATTGATGAAGAAGAGCTCGGAGGGGAGGGAAACTGTCCAGAAGGTAGATGAGGAATGAGAGACACAAGATGGGGGGATGAGACTTAACCAGCACTCATTTTATACTGTTGTCCCTGTGTGATGACCATTTAAGCAAGTCTGGCAAAATAACAGGAACATGGACTCACCTTGCGAGCTGCTTAAAATGGACAAAAGAATGCCATACATGCCGTGATTCAGCTCCAACTCTCGCCGTAACTTGTTTGTCTGATGATTAAATCATGGCATATCAACAAAGAATAAACTGTCAGACAGCACTGGATCACACTCAACGTGGGAGAGAAGTAGAACATGGCACCAAATAGAGAGGATATGCCCATTCATGAGCAACAGCAGCACGCCTGTATATACGACAACTCATGCCCAACCGATGACATCACAATAGCCTGTAGCAAGCGAACACGATGGAAAGGGCTGGTAGCGGATGACTAATAACGCAGATGTCAGGACAAGGAAGGCAAATTGAGATGGCAGTAACGCACAGGACCTTTTGCTGCAATGAGTCTCATTGGTGCCACTGGTAGCGCTCTTATTAACACTAGGAGACACAGCGAAGAAACAGCACCATGCGAATCCATTGTGCACAGTCCATCAACATGACAGGCACCAGAAAAATAATGCTTGAGATACAGGATATCCCAGCTGGAAAGTTAGGAGCTGATGATACTAATAGTAACTAGCAGTATACGACACGCACCTCCGTCGACCTTGGATGTTTCATCTTCATCATTTATGACATGCTTGTAGCATGCCAGAACGATAATAATCACCAGTGACCCCACAAAGCTACCCCATCCTTGATTTGCAAAGATGTATGCGAGGATGGTTCCACACTTATGGAGGCTGACATGGGGTAATTGCCACTGACACCCACACCAAGTAAGATATGAAATATCATCAAGTAAATGATGCATCTGTTTGGGGAGAGCGAGCCTTGGTAATAGCTTAGCGCTAACAAATACAAATGGAGAATCAAAGGACATACCTGTGGGTGTAGAAATGCAGAGGATAGTTGCAATGATGATGAGCAAAGCTCTTTTCCATCTGTCAATGCACATGAATGCGGATGCTAGCAAGGAAAATGTGAAGAACTGACAGATAGCCTTTCTCACAAAGGCATCAGCACAGTATCCTATATTGTTACGAAATCAGTATGGAGCGTGATGAAGCATAATGTATTATGCAGCTCACCAAACAGAAACTGGCTGATCACACTTCCGATGTTGGCAGAAGCTTTCAATAATCCTTGCAGATTGGTGGGCATGGTTCCACCTGGGTAAAGCCTGTATTGCAACATAGTAGATACAGGCTGCGCAGATTGATTTAATCCCATATGCCACCGTATGAAATAACGCACTTACATTGATGATAGACAAGTCATAAGCTGTGCCATAAAGATATGAGGGTTTGCATTCGAGAAGGACCAAGTACCTACCATCCAAGAAAAAGCCAACCTGGACGACAGATAAGTTTACACAAGGCAGATGCGACACTGATGGCACTCACCCAGCGATGCCCAGGAGTTTCACCTCGGCATATGTCAGAATGAAAGGAGGCCTGCCCTCACCAGATTGCTCATACTCCTCGAGGGCAGCTCTCTGGCGAGTATCATTGCTTCCTGCGGCTTGACCAGACATCCTAGTGCACAGATAGGAAAGTGATCGATGATGCAATATTTGTGCCTACTCGGTCAAGCTTTTATTGAGTGTGGCGCTGGCTCAGGCCCAGCATCAACTAAGCTCCAAGGGTCTGTCACAAAACGCAAACATGAGTGATAAACGCTGGTGGCAGTATAGTGCCATGTGTCCGAGTCTAACCAATTGATCTCCTCAGGAGAAGGTACGCTGATAGTGATGTACCACTGGTTTCCATAGTAGGGATTTGGGCGAGCCAGTCGAGGGGCACAGATTGCCCACGCCTTCTCAAAACCTTGTGCACGGTTGACAGCGGCAATGAGCACGGGTGTTGAAAGATCAGAGAGGCGCTGGAAGGAGTGGAGGAAGTGGCCTGGATCTAGCCAGTAAGTCATGGGCTAGCTGTCTATATACGGGTCTGGTAAGCGTGAACAAACGCAAGGACTTGCAAGTCTAGCAGAAAGATTGAGTCAGTTATAAGATCATATCACGGTAGAGACCAAAATGTACTACTGACCGCCTGGAGATTGTGCACATCATCAATTTCAAGATCCTGGGCGGTATTGAATAGAAGATCATACGGCAAGAACTGTAACGACATGGACCAACACTTAATGGATGACTGACAGTCAAATGATGGAAAATCATCACTGCCTACTCGTTGTCCATTCTAGTGGATCACATGCTGGCAGCTACCCGGCTGCCTTGCTTGAGTGTTACGCTGTCGATGTGTTGCCCATGTTCCAAGTACACCCAGTTTGTTTAATTACAGCACAGACAGTTTAGATCTGATTTGCATATATTATTGTACTTCAGCTGATTGAAGGAAAATTTACTTGGTTACGCTAACTAAACCGAGGGCTGATGTAATAAACTTCGGACAAAGTTGAGCCGGCTCAGCGACTCTCAGACACAACTCAGACATACTCGGACTCAGACAATACGCCTGGACTCTTGAGTCTGTCACAGACTTGCCGGGCCCAGACTGTTTATTTCACGTAGCATTATCGAAGGTGCACCTGAGGACATGAGGAGACACTATAGTTTATCTTGAGAAACGAACAAAGGACAAGATTGTGCTAACAATGTATTTTCTAAGTTGCTACTGTAAATACAATCATGTATCGTTGAAAAGCCGACCCAAAGAGTGTTCTCATGTCAAAAATAGGCGGTAGCCTCCATCTGCGAAACCTTCAGAACTTGAGTGCTGATCAAGTTCATCATCTAATGTAAACAGCGCCTGTGAGAAATCAAAGAATTTGTCACTAAAATTATATGGTAGTTCCAAGTCTACATCCACCAATTCGGACAGCACACTAAAGTCGGTACCAGTGAAGGGGAAAACAGCCTCAGACAAGTGCGCTGCTGCCGAGATTTGCGGGTGCACAGGCAAAGGTGGGGCGATATCAGCTCATGGAAAGGTTAACTCCTCAAGGGAGAAAGGGACATAAACAGATATGGAGTAGTCTGGCATTAAAGGATCGCGATGTGTCGCCATCGCCAATCCTTCACTGATTTGTGGGAACAGCAATCCAGTGGCCTGTGCGTGTTGCAGGGCCTCAGATACTATTTGCAGATACTCCTCCATTGAAGGATCGCTTATCGCTTTCATGGGTGCTTCCAGGCCCATTGCGCCATGGAGGACACCCCTAGAAAAGTGTGAACATAAACTCTGGTTGAACATAGCGAGAATTACTCACATGCCTCTTTGGTGTACACCTAGCATATGTGCCTCCATTGCAGGCCCGTGAGTGGAGGACCCCAATGCCAGCAACATTGCTTCGTTGACCACATCCTGCTCATCAGCATATGGGTCTGTCGAGAAGGGGAGGGGGTTTCCTGATGCTGTCATCTTTCCACTTACAGCACGTCGGATTGCCAGCCTTACCTGAAAATTGTACATTAACATATGGACACTGGAATCATAGTCAGCGACTTACAGAAGCTGCTGATTCTGAAAACATCTGAGTCGGAGTAGTGTTAATCTCGAGCCTTATATCCTCATCTCGGAGTGGCGTATCTTTGTCGGCATACCAGTGTGTTATATGACTGCTCTCCACCACGGGATTTGCGAATAGAACGACGAAAACAGACATGTCGGTGAGTTCGTGACCGTGAAAATAATAAGTGAAGTGTGAAACTGAATCGAACAGTTCAGTTTGGCGATGATTTTTAAAAGCTTGGCGGTCCTGGTCCAACAAATCAGTGTCTGTGGGTGGTTGAATATTGTAAGGACCAATAAGATTCTCCGAAGTTTTCGAGAGCCGTCGACGATTGAGCAAGAGGGCCTTGTTGATGCTATCTGCCACCCTGTCAGACATTTCTAACTCTGGTGTTTGTAAATCATGATTAGTCCTGTCATGATCCATAGAAGGAGGGAAGTACGTACCACACCCAAACTTTATGTTGGCCTGGTTAACGATTTCCGAGATATAGATTTTCAAGGCTTTTTTTTCTGTTGAAGTGATGTTTTGAAGCCAGCCTGTAGTTGTAACGGAGTTAAGAATGATACGCCTTTTCACCCATGTGAGGGCGACTTGTTCAGTTGGACTGTACGGCTTCTTTGCAGAGTCCATGCCTCCCAAATGAGCACCAGTGTCAGTCGATACAATGCTAGTGGATGCGGAATCAGAGTTCCTTGAACTTGAAGCACCATGGACGCTAGTAGCACCACGATTGTAAGGGAAAATGTGATGTGATAAACCAGCGACGGGTGGCCGCGCAGCCGACCGCCATCTAGTACAGCTTGTAGGATCATTTGGGTTGTATGGGAAAGTTTGGAACGACATGGTGGTGGGAAAGACTCAGAAGAAGGCAAATTAAATAATGGGATGTCACTCACTTACTAGATCAGCCTGAGTATCCAAGTCCGTAAACTACAATTGAAAAATAAATAGTCGCATTATCTGAGTCATAAGATCATGATCGATGATAACGGTCGAAGATGAAAAAGCTCCATGAAGTTAAGCTGAGGTGTGATGCTTCCAGCCAGCTTGGGCACTTCGCTCAGATCACTGAGTGGACCTCATGTAAACTTACCAGAAACCTGGCTATAGGGGAATGATATTAGGGCATGGACATGTAAAAAACTAGGCGTGATTGACGGTAATTAGTACTACCAGTTGCGCGCATAACATAAGTTTACGCACTCGCCTTCATTGTGACTCAAGAGTAACAATGCCAGTGACCATGACTTGATGGTACTAGGACCATGATCTCCCCCCAATCTCCGAATCATACTATCTCCAATGAAGCTCGTCTGGTATAAAATGAACCGGGGCTTCCAAATTTGTGTTATTCAATAGAATTTTCAAATTAATTGTTCAATTAACTCACTGAGGGTTTATACCATGAACGGTCGATATAGTGCACTGTCTTTGGTCAGGTAGAGTGATGACGGGATCAGACCTGTGACTGACTCAGAAGGGCAGGTCCCACGAGCAATTGTTCCATATATGGCAGCTCACATTCAACGACATTGCACAATTGGTTACTCTTCTTCGAACCCTTAAGGCCTTACATCTGAGACACAGCTTTTGAAATAAGAGTCCGAGACAGATCAGTGCCCTAATTTTTGGAACATAAGTCGACATTGAGGGAGGCCGCTGTCAGACCGCTGTCCTGCATGATGTGGGAATCATGCATGGACATGAATACTAGGTGACCCTCAAAAGATAAAGTCTGTTAGCTTAGTCCTCAGACTAGTCAACCCATACCTTGGTTTCAAACCATGGTCCATATTTCTAGTTTTCCCCAAGTTTCATGATCTGAATACTGTTTTGACGGAAAAAGTCTAATGTGAGATGGGAATCACATTTAGACCTAGTTGATGTGAGAAGGGAAATGAAGGTTAAGGTATAGCCTTGCCTTTGGCTTATTCACTTTGGCTAGAGAAAACCATAGAGAAAAGTACAAAGCCAATAAAAAACCTATCCAAAAAGACCGTGTTTCAATTCCTGCCAACTGTCTTATTTTTGCTACCTACTTTTCTCTAGTGTTTCTTTACTTTACTTTTTCATTAGGATGCTTTGACTCACCTGACACTTCATAAAATTGTACCCATAGGGTATGATGTCATTATGATGTCATAAGACTCCACAGATACTCCTGCAGGTATTCTGTTGAAAGATATTATGTCATCAAGCTCTAGATTATTCTACTCTACAATGACATCATTCATGATGTCATTTCCTTCTAGAATATTCTGCTCCACAATGACTCACTCTGACTCACTCATGGAAGGTTCTGGAATCTTTTGCTCCACAATGATGTCATAGCTCCATCTTTCACTTGTATTTTATTCTTTTATTGGGTTTGACCCAATATTTTGATTGGTCCTCCTTATTTTTTATTGTTTGTGAACCTAGGTTACTTTCCCACACAAAATGTATATAAGGAGAGCCCATTCTCCCCCCAAAAAAATATGATCTCCCATTTGTAGCAATCTGCCTCTCAGATATTTCACTTGCAAAGTTAGTCCCTTTGAAGTGAGACAAGTGCAGGGAAAAGAATTCCCTTGAGATTATAAGTTTCTTACCTTAGAAACTTATTAGTGCCATAGACCAAGCGTTCTTGGTCATATATATTGTCTTTGAGACCCCTTTGTCTCATTGCTCTGTGCCCTTTGACTAAGCGATCTTAGTCATCTATCATATTGTTGAGACCACGTCTCACTAGTTGTCCCATAGACCAAGCGATCTTGGTCAAGTTATAGTCCCCTTTGTTCAAGCGATCTTGAACATCTATCGTATATTTGAGACCATTGTCTCACAGTCAGGTGTCCATAGACCAAGCGATCTTGGTCATATTTCATATATTTGAGACCACGTCTCACTAGTTCCAGTATCCAAGTCCAGAGCCTAGAAGGAGATTTCCTAGGAAAATACATTCCAGAAACTGAATTACGTGTCTAGAAGCTTATTCCTAGACAAGAGATTTGAGTTTCAATAAAGAAAAGTAAAGCTCCGGCTAGGTTGATCTTTATAAAAAGATTAGTTTAGCGAGCCTCCCAAGAACTCACACGTTATCTACCACGAAATAGGAAAAGTCGTAGACCGTGTTAATCGAGGACTGGCAAGCAGTCTTATCCAAAGTGTAATTGTGGTGTCATTACATTTACACGACTTTATATAAGACCCTTGGTTATTAAGACACCGCTGCTTTTGTTTTTGCGCACATGATTTTTCTAAGTGTTAGCAGATGTTATATAAGCAACTCACACCCCTATCATCACCTATCGTATACACCTTCCAGCCTCTCTTAATACATAATTCTTGACTCAGTCATGTCTCCTCATATTTTATGAATATTATGCATATTGAACTAGAAATATAGTATTTTGATTTGCCTCGTAAATTACAAGATAAACACGCACCGTCAGGTCAGTATGATAAAGTTTATGAAAAGAGAGACCATGATTGTCACAGTAGGAAGACTGTGATAAGGTTTAGGTAAGTACTGACTTGCCGGAATAGTAGTTTTGTTTGAATTCCATGCTTCATGCATCATGATCCAAAATGAGGTAAAAGCAAGGTTGCTGTGCTGAAGACTTGGTTAGGGTTGGTTCGTTCTTCAGACGACTCAAAGAATTACCGCTTCTTTGATGTCAACGCTTAAATCATCTTGGTGCTATTTGCAAGCTACGCATAAATACATATTATCACTAACATGTGGCAACAGCGAAAGCGGACAGTGGTGAGGCTCCCTGATGATCTGATGATCAGCTACCCTATTCATATTAATGTCCTATGATATGTATTGTAACCTTGCTTCTGTGAATCCATACCAATTGCTCAATATTTTAAAACTAATAACTACATCTAAAAAGACATATGCGATCATGGCAAATACAAGATTATTCTTCCAAATCTGATGTACATGCTGAACTGCGAAGGGATTTAGAGACCATTGGAGCCAGCCCAGGTCCATCCGACTCATCAGAAGAACTTTCACACCATGGCCCGATATCGCTAGGCTCAAATCTACAACCTTTGTTTCCTATTACTGTAACTCCTGCATCCTGAAGTATGTTGCAGAGAGAACCTATTTGCACATCAATACCCTTCATCTGTGTTTGTGCCAAGTCTTGTTCATCTTCAAGAATGGACTTTATGAGATCTAGCTCACGGGAGCGAAGACGCCGGTACCGCATTCTTGTGGCGATAGCCCGACGAGTGATACGTGACAGTTCAAGCATGCGTTCATTAAGATAGTTTGTAGCTTCTGATGATGGTTCAGGAGTAAAGTTCCACTTTGAAAGAAAATATGAACATTTGGACATCCGAAGTTGCAATAAACATACCGTAGTTTGAAGAGTTTTGAGTCTCTTTGTAGGTGGGTGGCAATCCTCATCACGGAGGCCACCTCAAAATAAACCATACTGGATGGGGCGCTTGTGATGACCACTGTCACCCACACTCTTCATTAGCACTACAGTGCTAAACTCATCAATTTGAAGGGCAGGATCATCGACAGGAGTCTTCGGGCATAACGGAATAGGAGAGCTACACTTGGGAGGGGAGCTACTAGGTGCAATGGATGTGGGAGGTGTGGATGCAGACCTGTAAAATACAGTGAGTGAAGGTGCAGTTTTTGTCCTTATGCGAACAAACCTAGGTTTATTGAACCCACCTCTTGATTCTGATGAGCTGCTCATCACAAATGCTGGCTAAAATGGTCTATTGGGTTGTTGAAACTCCAACCAAGGGAGAGGGATTGAACAGTCGGCAACACCTGAATGCGGAATTCTTCCGTGAGAAGCAGAATTTCATTATTCACAAGTCAAGTACTAAGTCACTATGTAATACCAAATATATTCGAGTACTCAGCTATTACAAGAGTCCTAGCCAGGAAAGGGTACATTCATCAAAATGACTCCTGGAAAGTTAGGCTCGGCCAAGCAAAAGTAGAGGCCTTGAAAGTGCGGGACTTGTCTATCTACCGCTATGCGATCATGTTTGAAGGAAGGATAATAGGCTATGTCAAAGTCATTCGATGACAACTTTGCAATTGGTGTCGGAATTGATCAACTTCGAGAAGGGTCGGACCGGTCAGGACCTCTGAGAATGGCACAATGCACTGAGAACACAATGGTGATCAGTCCTAATCACTTTTCAATGACTCTCGCTTGATCTTACCAATGACCAATCAATCATATTAAGGGAATAGTACCCATGGTGAGTCACGAGTCATCCTTGGGATGGGAACTCACTGGCATGTTTCATCTAGAGGAAGTCACTAGTCACCTATAGTCAGCTGCAATAGTACCGGCCTCAGATCATCATGAAATACGTGCGTTTTCAGTTTTAGGAAGTTCAAGTTGATTTGGGAGTACCGGCACCATTAGAAATCTGCCCGGGGTACTAATGATCACGTCCGCTGTGTTTGGAACACATTTATTGTACTGCCCGCAGGCAGCAAGAAGCACAATGGTTCTAGTTGATGTTGGCCTGGGCAACTTGCAGATTCGGAATGTCATAGCCTGAGTGTTACCAAATTGTAATACCGTAACCACAGTAGTACAAAACAAGTAAGTCCCAGTCAGCTCTATTGAAATTGGACCGTACTACTAATACTAGTACCAACTTTGAATTTGAAGGACCATAACTATCTAACATTGTATCTCAGAGACTCGAATGACCACCATTGCCTCAGGATTAAGGCTGACCACGTCTTCAAGTTGTTAGCAATTCCAACGTGCAATGCGTTGGGGCCTCGTGGCAGGATCTCTTTGGATTGTCACCCTCTTTTCAAGCTTGTTTCTATTAATGGTGTTGTGTGGTGCTACATATTGCTCTTGGGAAAAAGCAACAGACGCACGTGGACTCAGCAGGCATCACACATCATGTCATTCCTACAAGAAATCTAGCTTGCTTGCAACTCATAAGAGACGGGAACGCACCAGAGAGGCTGTCTCCACGATTTTGGCTCCCAGCTGTGACCTGCCATGATCATTCGGAAACCATTCACATGTAGGTGACCCTCTTAGCTGCCATGGTTGTTCTTAACTTACATAAACTCAAACATCAGAGAGTTGACCGTCCGAAACCAATTGCTCCTCGCCGATCACTAGCAGAGCAGAGGCGAGGGTCTGCCCCTCACAGATTTGATACACCCGAGTCCAGTCTTGTCGACTTGCAGCACCACATCGGGCCAGATGTTTCACAAAATGATAACAATATTGAGATGGATATCGACTTAGATACCTCTGGTTTGTGTGTCTGTGAATAGAAGTCATAATGTTCTAATCATTTCACTCCTTCAGATAAACGGGCACGCCCTATGAGACAAATTCCAAGGCAGTATGCTGACATCAAGCGCTCAGAGGAGGATCTCAATGTCTCCGACAACACCAATAATCACAATACATGGACTCAGAATTCGGATACACTTCCAGCTTGAGCCAGGATCCGACGCATTCTTCTAACACTCGCGGATACACTTCAGACCACCATCAACTTGTTTGGTCTCTGCAGACTGTACCCTCATCAACCTTTCTTCAAGCCGGATAAATTTGTTACATCCTTGTTACTTGCGAGGATGTCCCCCACTGCTGCTCAACTTGAAGACATTCATACTCCACCGCAGGTCTTTGCTCCCCTGTACCCTTTCACAAATATGACAATTTATTGGCTCATCTCATGGATGAATTCTGGCAGTAGTCGAGTATCGGAATCTAAAGTTGCGTCCCTCGTCAAGAATGTAATTCTAGCAGGGGATTTTGACCGTGAAGACCTTCAGGGGTTCTTGGTGAGGCAGAGCTTGCAAGAATTAGACAAAGATGAGAGCAGGAAAAGAATTACGTTTCCAGATGACTGAGTCGAGACCTCTGTCACTATCGACATTCCAACAAAGGGGAGGGAGGATAGTCCCAGGCCTTATACCATTCCCGGGTTTCATTACTGGCCTCTCGTTGAGGTTATACGCGTGGCATTCTCTGACGCTCAAGCAGGGGCATTTCATCTTTTGCCCTTCAAATGTCTGGAAGGATCCTCTAGACGGGCACAAAGAGTGGATATACGACGAGCTTTATACCTCAGATGCCTGGTTGGAAGCACAGGATAGTATTCACAAGCAACCAAAGGAACCTGGGTGTTCATTGGAACGGGTCATTGCGGGTTTAATGTTCTTTTCTGATGCAACCCACCTTGCAAACTTTGGAACCGCAAAGGCCTGGCCGCTTTATGCGTACTTTGGGAATCTGACAAAATATATACACTCTTCGCCAACATCGGGATCATGTCACCTCATAGGATTCTTACCTCAAAGATATTCTCAGTAGCCTGCCTCGGGTATCAAAGACGGGTATGGCCTCCATTCAGACTCATTGCCGCAGGGAGTTGTTTCATGCATGCTGGGAAATAATACTGGACGAAGAATTTGTTTATGTGTATCAACATGGTTTTGTTCTCAAATGTGCCAATGGAGTGATGCGGAGAGTATACCCTAGGATCTTCACGTATTGCCAAGGTGGAAAACACCCTCGGAGAAGGCTCGTGGGTGCCCATCATGGTAAGCAAGATTGGTTCTATACTGGTATGATTAGCTCAAACCAGTGTTTCAGAATCAGTTTGTTAAGAAACTTGGGTGGCTCAGACTTGATTCATTTCATATGCTCGTTGTCGACATTATGCACGAATGCGAATTAGGGACCTGGAAGGCTCTATTTACGCACCCCGTGAGGCTTCTTTATGCCCTTCCTGGGGGCACTCAAATTGTCGCGACCCTCGACACCAGGTACGCAGAATTCGTATGGAGTGTTATTAATTAACGAGTTGTTAATTCTCATTCTTACCCTAGATTTCGTCAAGTCCTGACATTCGGTAACGGAGTAATACACAAGTTTTCCAACAATACGTCCGAGATGAAAAGGCTGGCCACTTGTGATTTTGAAGATATTTTACAGGTTAGCTCTTTTTTCATTTTATACCATCCTCGCTAACATACCTACTAGTGTGCTATTCCAGTTTTTGAAGGGCTGTTCCCTCCTAGCCACGATGCGGCTATCCAGTCCCTCCTATATTCATTTGCGCAATGGCACACACTCGCTAAGCTAAGGGTACACTCTGACTCTACCTTGGTTTTTCTCGATGAAACCTTCAAGAAGCTTTGCGGAAGTTTCGGGCTTATACCTGCACTGCCTTCAACATGGTGGAACTACCAAAGGAGAAAGCAGCTCAACAGAGAAGGTTTGCAAAGCGCTCGGAAACTGGTAATGCTCCTCCAGAATCAAGTGGGGTGAAGGGGGAAAAGTTCAATCTAAATACCTATAAATTTCACGCCATGGGAGATTACATTAGAAGTATTAGGTTCTTTGGGACCACGGACTCATTTACCACCCAAATCGTGCATATCGGCTGCATTTCATGAATACAAACCTGAAGTCTTTGTACAGGGAGAACTTGCCCACCGAGCTCTAAAGGCTTTCTATCCGCTGACCAGCAAGCTTGACACCCCTGTGCAGTTAGCTAAACATGAGTGCAGGTGTTGTGTGCTACGGAGGGTGGAAGAAGCAGGGGGCACATCCCCCTCTATTGGTCTATCTCCAGTTGAGGCCTCCTCCGGAAAAAATCACCATATTGCAATCAGTCAAAATAATCCTGTTGCTATATTTGCGTTCCTTCGAGACCACACTGATGATACAGCTCTCAAGGTAGCAGTAATATCACATTTTTCAATGTGATGTACTCATGAGTGGTTATCAGAATTTTATACTGAAACTTAAGGATCACATTCTTTATAGGCTGGGCAAGCTCGATATCAGCTACTGCGACCACACATTCACGGATGAAGAGCGAAACTCGGTCATCATTCCTAACAACACAATCTACACTGTTCAGACCATGCAAGTACATTACACTACATATGATATGAGGTGTGAGTATGACACAATTAATCCTAGAACACACACCGATGTCATGGTACTCTCAGGGGAGACATCACCTAACCACCCATATTGGTATGCCTGCGTGTTGGCTATCTATCACATGGAAACATGGTTAAATAATGGAGGCACACCTATGAAACATCATCTAGATGTTCTTTGGGTTAGATGGTTGGCTCCGCTAAAAACCATAAATCTGGTATGAAATGTGCTTGTCTTCCAAGGATAGCCTTTGTGGATGAGTTGGACACGGATGCATTTGGTTTTCTTGATCCAGGGCAGGTGATTCGAGGAGCACATTTGATTCCAGCCTTCAATTCGGGGCATGGTGTTAGCTCGCTGCGAGGTGGAAAGTCATTTGCACGTCCTGAAGGAGTGCTAGATGACTGGGAGGCATATTTGGTTGGCATGTGCATGTAAATATCCATTCATGCTGCAGCCTTCTTCCTAACTTCTAAAACAGATTTGTAGACCAAGATATGTTTATGCGGTATACACACTTTGGTGTAGGACATCCAGCAATGTTGCACAGGATAGCTAGAGACTCTTTCAGAAATGACTCACCATCCAGCATTACAAATGCCGTAAACAACAGTAACATTGTCGTGCTTGAGGCAGATATTGGTTATGGAGAAGATAATGACAGTGAGGGCTATGAAGGATGTAGTAATGAAGGAGAACTGAGCGATGAAGAGTGCAGTGATGAGGAATTGGAAGATGAAGATGAAGGCAAGGAGAATGAAAGCGATGACGGCTGTGAAGAGGATGGGCACAAGTTCAAGGATGAGTTCAATGACCTCCTATCTTTTTAAACTCCCTATTAGCATGATACAGGCCATCATGCGTGCATGTCACGCCATTCACTTATCCCTAGTTCTATCTCAATCTCCTTCACTGCAAAATGCAACATCCACGATGACAACATGCGCTTCGTATTGATTGTTTCTCTATCAAGCCTGAAAGGCGCATTAGTGACGAGGCTCAGTTGCAAGAACTCAAATTCTGAAGACTGGATTTATGTAAATCACATTCTTCAGCTGCACATAAAAGATGAGTCACACTTCCCGAGTTTATTTGTATTTGTGCCATTCAAGTTCCATGATGTGACTCCCATTTTCTCCAATGCACAGGTTCTCGATCATGATTGAAGCCCATTGAGACCTGTCATTGAAGGTGGTTTTTGTTTCCCATTTTATTCTGAGATGGGCTTACATGATTGCAACATGCTTAAGAGGGTCACCTGCAAGATTACCCATGTACAGATGGTTTCATCTCAGACTTGGTGATGGTTTTTGGCTTGCTTGCTAGTTCTGTTTCCCTGCGGTGGTTCACCAATGCTGATTATATTCTGGTGGTCTATTGTGGGCTTCTTCAAAAGGCCCTCTGGTCACTGTAACAGACTCATCGTGTGGTGGACTGAGCATCCATGACATGCGGCTCCCACTGCTGTGGTCTAACCTGCAAGAATAACTTGCCAATTTCTTCAGCACGGAGATCACCTCAACTCCACCTCCTACCTACTCAAGATCAGTAACTTGCGACATTGTGATCATCCCGTCATCATTCTACCTGATCAACAATGGTGTGACCATTTATGTTAAGGTTTGGAGGCCCTGGTTCATTTCATACCAGATGAACTTCATTGGAGATAGTATTTTTCGGAGATCGGGGGGAGATCATGGTCCTAGTACCATCAAGTCATGGTTACTGGCATTGTGATTGAGTCACAATGAAGGTGAGTGCGTAAAGGTATGTTATGCGAGCATTTGGTAGTACTAATTAATCGCGCCTAGTTTTTTACATGTCTATGCCAATGATATGGGATCCTCAGACAGCCAAAAAAAAGGATAAAAAACTGGCCCTGAGTAATCAAGGAGCATCTAGTCGTTAAATGGCTGCAGAAGCGCCCAGCGACAGATTTATTAACCATGGCGAATGTAAGTTTCACAAAGTTTGAGTCGTTTTTCACTGTGACTGATAACAATGAGGAACAGCTTAAATTTAACCTGGAACCATGCCTCTGAGTCACTGGCATGTGACTGTTGGAGCAGGTGATTCGGAAAGTGGTTCACTATCAAAAATATAATCAAGAAGCGGTGAGTTAATACACTTTCATCATTCGAACGCTCACTCAGATCCATTGTTATCGTGGGGTATGAGATGGGAAAGCAGAATTGAGGCCCACATCTTGTGCAAGATTAGGACAATGGATGGTGAGCAGTTCTCATTGAAGGATGCTGTGTGGAATCTCACCCACAAGCAGACGAAAGAGAAAGTTGCACAGGTGTTCCTCTGTGTTTCTGATGGTTCAAGCAAACTGATGTTAGAGGTCCGTTGGCTCTCTTATTTGATAAACATTCTCTCATTTACATTAGTTCATTTGACCACTTATGCACCTCCGTGTTGGTACAATATATGAGGAGAGCCAGTTGATTCTGAACTTATATAGATACATTCAGCCACAAGAGAGCTCTTGAATTCAGCTCATGTTTGGTGCGAATACTCTATCAAGTGGAAGGAAGCCAATACCCATGATCATCGTCTGACCCCCGAAGATCTTGAAGATAGCTGGAACTGCGGTGTTCCTCATATCAACACCCCCTTCCAGAAGGATCATTGAATCTTGGCATTGTCTGGGGTCTGTGTGTGTACGGATCGGAATTGAAAACAGTACCAGTTACTGAAACAGTGAGTCACTCTGGCTGTCTGAGTTCATTGTTGACTAATAAAATATCGTTTATAGCAACCCCTTCTGGTATACATCTCAACGCTGTGTCGATACCATTGCTGTACTGGGTAGTTTTGAGGGGTTCTTGAAGCACACGCTCTCGACAATCAACTGGAATGATACAACTGCATTACTCTTGCACCGCAGGAAAGTGGGCATATTACTTATCTCTCGAATTTCTCATGGGTCGTGTGCTCGACAATGCCCTCCTCAATTTAGGCCTCAAGCAGCAATACAGGCTTGGCTTCAACATGGAAGATCTCCTAGCCCAGGAGTGTGACGCCGGCCTTGGCAACGGTGGCCTCGGACATCTTGCAGCACACTACCTTGACTCTTCCGCAACTCAGGAACTTCCTGTGTGGGGTTACAGCCTGCACTACAGGTATTTGTTCTTGCAGTGTAAGTAAGACAGACTTTATTCCAATCGAGTGTTCGACTGATCTTTCCAACAGCTGTAGAACAAAAGTTCCCCAGAGACAAGGAACAGCTTGCACGGGTGTCATTAATCGAAGGTATGTGATGTTACAACCAACTAAAAGGTTTTCTGAGTGAGCATTCCTCAGAACATTCACATGGCTCACCTGGCATGCATCGGTGAGCATCATATTTACGTTTTAACCGTCTTGTTTGGTCACACATGTACCTCTTCATCTGTCTGCCAGCATGCCCAGAAGATACAAGCAGCTAAAAACTGCATCCTTGAACGAACCTGAGCATGAATCAACACGAGCAATCAGTAGGTTTTGCTGCATACACTCACCCTCGTGCATTGTTATTTGCAGCAGATGGGTTTGCAGATATCATTGGTGCATGTGGACCATCTCTACTTGCATCATGAGGAGTACACCTTTGAGCCAGGGGACCGTTGGAGCTATGAAGAAGCGTTGGATCAATATTCGAGCTGTTAGATGGGCCCATATACACCTCTGGTGTTTCTGCAATCATTCTCTTCAAGCTGTCTGGCCAGCTACCCCACACTTCGGGGGCTATCGCAGGAGGACACCTTAAATCTTAATGTGCTGATTCAATAGGGTGGTAGGGGCAGAAGGGGATACAAGTGCACAGAGGAAGAGAGAAGGTGGACGTGAAGCAGGGCGCGGTCGATATATCAAGCGCGTGATGTATTCATAAATACGAAAATGTTCATTATTTCAGCCTTACATTGGGTGGTCTACTCTTATTATAATAGAAAGATATTCAAACGTAGCTGAGATGATAAGTATGTAGTCTAGTGTCATCTAGTTGTATCTCGAGTAGACGACATGGTTTATGATAATTGTCATTAGCACAGGTCATCTAATAGGCCCCCAAGTATGTCACGTCCTTACACATATGCGAGGCTACTTCAAAGCTGACTAACAAATCTATTTTCATGTCTGACTAACTCAGACACACCTACTTCAAGTGCTAATAGCCTTGGTATTCACGCAGTGAATGGTATACGTTTACATCAGTAAAAACAACATTGAATAGGATGGAAGTAGGGCATGAGGGATTAGATTGCAATATTTATGCATATTGCTGTCACATCAGTTAACTAACCCGCTCTGCACAGAGATGTATATGGCCACACAGAATACAATGCATGCAGCCCAGTCTCCTTTGGACAGATATGCACAGCGTCTCACAGAGCGCGCTCTTGTGACTCTGTACATTATGTTCCCCCAGGGCCTTCCAGTGATATTATAGAGGGCTAGTAGTACTAACGAATACCCAATGGATTCAATCAGTATATTGCACCGACAAACACCATATAGCTAATACAAGTAATATTAAAGGATCCAGCGAGCGACATGAATAGAATACAACCCTCTACATACCCCAGATTGACTGTGCCTTCAAAGTAATTGTTTCATTCAGTCCAGAAGCAGGAACTCAATGTTCGAAAATGTGTCAGATTGTGACGCTGCGCCAGTATCTGGTTGTGACACAGTTTTCTGCCTTCTCTGTCACTTACACTTCAACCACCATCACAGTCGAAAAAAATTGCAGGCAACAAGGTCTCAAACGCAGCTGGCGTCCAACTTGACGTCAGACGCATTAACCACTAGACCATGATGCTGAAATCTGAAGCAAGGTAATTCTATGATGAAGGTTGGGGAAAATTAGAGGGCGCTCTATATTGACCAACATATCTTTATTCTGAGAGAGAAATATTTCTCTGTATAGAGAGACTTTTCTGTACAGAGAAGTAATTCTCTCTTGAAAAAGTCTTTGCGTACGGCGGGTGCCCCCTCTGTACAGAGAGACTTTTCTCTGCAGAGAAGTAATTCTCTCTCGAGAAAGTCTTTGCGTACGGCGGGTGCCCACTCTGTACAGAGATACTTTTCCCTACAGGGAGGTGTGTTTGGTGGGCAGGTGGCACCCGGAGATTGGGATGGCAGAAGGTGGAGGATATTATGGACGCCAGATATGTTATTATTATTACCGTTGTCATTGTATTTGTCGAACTGTATATTGTATATTATTATTACCATTGTCGTTGTATTTGTCGTACTGTATATTATTATTACCGTTGTTGTTGTATGTATCGTACTCCATGTTATTACTACTGCTATGGTTGTACTCGTCATACTGCATACTATCACTACTGCTGTGGTTGTATTTGTCGCCCCGTATAGTACTAAAACTGTTGTATATATATATATCTTGTAGCCTAGCGTGTGGAGGTTGAATCAGTCCAATACTTCTACTCCATGTATGTACTAGTTTCAGATGTGGCAGTTTCCGGCCGTAACTTGCAGTAGACAGCCATGACCAACTCCTCTGTGCAGAGACAACTTGACTGTACAAAGGGGTCCAACATATCCCCACTGCTTACCAGATGCGTCATCCACTTGACCATGATGCTCATATATCAGGCCAGAGACTTCATGTAGTGCAAGACTCACACATGAAGAATGTAAAAATCTGGTCTTACGGTGCGAAACGTCAAAGGGGCTACTAAGCGAATAGAGTGGGGCTGAGCATATTGTAGTGAATCCTAATATCAAACTTAGTGACTACATGATATGTACCTAGAAAGACTGATTAAAACAATGTTGTACATATGCACACATACTATGCTAATGCAATCAATCAACTATATGTATTCTGAAGACAATATTAATTACAATGATTAATCTACTTCATATGTCTCGTTTTAGCTGCCGTTGGAACTGTCTGAACGGCTACCATATTGGGGGTTGACCGATTATAGACGCTGTTCAGACGGTCTCCATGGCGTGTGTTACACGCTCAATGTTTAGAACGTTTATGCTGTACATGCTCTATGACCTCGACCTCCGAATCAGACTCAGGGTGGGGTGCTGGTCATTTCTTCAATGTGATAGATGACATCGCTGGATGATTGGTGTATGTCCCTGCGGTAGTGCCTAGTTCGACGGCTTTGTCTAGACTGAAGAACATGACAGCTATCTTAAATGGTCCGTATTGATGGTCTTGCAGACAGGCCATGATCTCTTTGTACTTTGCGCTCAATTCCTCCTGGGTGAGCAATATCCAATCAGACAGAGGGACACCACCCTTGAAGATGCGGCTGGAGCGAGCTCTAGCCAGGCCCATTCGTACGAGATTCAAGGAGCCTATGCCTTTTGCGCTGTTCTTCGAGTTCCACTTGCTTTTTTCTTTGAATAGTAGTCGCGCAATGGACTATCTCGCTCATACACGGAGATAATGTAGGCAGGAACCATGGCGATGAACTGGGGCCTCCAAGTGCTTCCTTTTCTGCTGCCTTTATTGGGCATCCAGGGCAGCGATCTCACAGTGTTGGTGGTAGAGCGTTCACTAAGAAGCTTCCCAGCAACACTCTGTTTTCCAGTAACTCTATTTGGGCCAGAAGTTGCCAGATTACATCAGTGGTCCATTCAATCTTGGGAATTGCGGCAGCATGGTTCTTCTTCTGCATCACAAAACATGATGATGATGACAACTACAAAGAGTAAGATATTTAAAGCTTATTTTCTGCGTGTTTAATATCAAGCGATGTGAAAAGTACATTTTGACGAAGGATCATAGGCATGGGCAAACTAAGTGCCCCCATTGAACTTTGAGCATTCCTATTGCATGGTTGGAGGATCTTTAGTAGTCAACAGATTGGGGATGGTGGGATATTTGTTCGACAAGGGCGAGCAAGCAAGTACTAGAGTGATGAGCTGAACACATGTTTTCCATCTCAAATGAAAATGAAACTACCATGCTTGGAGGATCACATCCACGTGTGCAGCGGCTTGTCAGAATTCTCGTTCGTAGAATGGAGGAGGTAGGCTGACGCTAGATAAAGGTACGAATCTCAGTATTCATTACGAAACTGTTTTATTAACAAATGTTTGTACATAGATAAAGGTACGACTACGAAGGTGCATTAGACTTCTGTCGAATGCACAAGAACAACAACACTTACATCTCAGTATTCGTTACGAAACTGAGATGTTTGGGGCGCTGGCGCATCAGCCTTTATAGGTGAGTGCGCCAGTTATTTTGATATAAGCGAGAATATACTTTAAAAGATGGCAGAGTCTTGCCGACGATGACACGTATGTGTCCATCTCCGTTTGGAGGCGCTCGCAACAGTTATCCTCTATTCCAGTTCCCTCTCTTGGCCATTCCTCCATCCTCCCTCTCAGCTACCAGCCGTTTGCCCTCTTCTCCTTCGGATTCTTCGGATGCCAACAAGAATACAAGGTAAAACTTGGCGCAGCTCCTGCTATGCTCTTCTACAATGGAAATGTAACTAGAACATCTTGGTATCATGTCAGGACTGAAGCATAACACACCGTTTTTGAGGCAGAAGAAGTAGGACCGACACCAGGAGCTCAACTGCTACTGACAGAAAGGGAGCTCTCCTCTCCTTTCAACAGGTTCTCTTCATCAAAACCAGGGTACCGTCCCATACTTCTCACTGTACCCTAACTTGACTTTGTACAAATGGCCTGCTGGAAGTGCGGACTGGTAGGTTTCATATCAGGGCATTCACAAACAAGCGCAGAGATGAAATGGAAACATCAGGGGTCAAGACTAGATGGCACGATCCTCTATAGAGTATGAAATTAGAATAAATATGAAAATGAACGGAAACAGATGAAGCAAATGAAACACACAGAAACCAACAGTTTCAGGATGACGGAAGACAAAGCTCATTGCTCAGCATTCCTTTTAACTAACTAAAAGCTGCTGGTGTGACGCACTGAGGTACTGTGAAGGAATTCAACATTCCTCTTATTCCGTTTTCCTCCTTCATAGATGCCATTCCTCTTCCTTCCTCTCGTTCAATTCCTTCTTCCTTATATATCATTCCTTCCTTCCTTCTTCTGTATCAATCCTTCCTTCCTTCTTCCGTAATCATCCATGTTTCTGGTAGATCTATATTTAGCACCCTAACTAACCATTTTGATACACTTACCAAACCCAATTTGTCAATCGTACCTGTTCATTCTGATCGAATTCCCTCTTCCTTCCATTACCTCATTCCTTTTCTACCATTCAAGGACATTACTAACCAAGAAGGAATCTGTTATGACTTGGATGGTATCTGTTGGCGACGCTCAAACAGAGCGTGTGTCATCAACGGTCGAGGACGTCCTTGGGCTAGCCCAAGGTTAGGGGTCTTACTTGGCAACGCGTCGGCAAGTAAGATTTGACGCCTATGTCCGAATCGGGTAGCTTACGTCAAGTGGATGCTAGACGATGAGCTGTATCTGCCAAGGCTTACGACACCCGAAGGTTAATCGTAAGATCGTCGTTAATTAGAAGGACGGAAGTCTGACTAGTTAACAGGGGCTTTGCTTGTCGACGAAGTCGATGAGCAAAGATCGAGACTATAGGCTTATCCGCGAAGAGCAGATAAGCTCATCCATCCGCCAGAATGAATATATGAGCAGGAAGAAACTGTAAACTGGGTACCTGTAATGACAGAAAATGATATATAAATCTAATACGGAACAGCTTAACTCGCGAAATGAGATAGACCACCATCCATCCAACAAGCATGAACTCTCTTCTGATAGGAAGATAAGAGCCTGGAAATTGACATTGTAAATTACTTTCTCTTAATTGAACGACCCACCCACCTGAAGACCATACACCGCTGCTAACATGATTATAGAAATCAGAGGGAACGGAGACTGTCCAGTAGCAGCCTCGACAATCAGCCAAGCCAACTAAACACAGTGTTAGCTGGAATTCGATAATAGAGAAGAGGTTGCGGCTCACGTAAACGACAGTGGAAGGTAATATCTAATAAAAAACATCAGAAATCGTACATTGACGCTTTGAAAGGACCTCACCAAAGTACCGATCAGATCGAGATAGATGAAGAACCTCATCGAGAAACGACAAATTCTGCAGAGGTCAGGAAGAATAGCAAACTCGCACAAGTTGTGAACGGTCAAATTGATCCAACACCGGCGTTGTGAAAATAGTACTCTCCAAGATACTGGTGCCATGGTAGGCACAATTGCATCCGGAATGAACTTGGTCTTGAAGGTGGGGAAATGTTTCGTTAACAGCATCATCAGGAATCGATCTTCGCCGAGGGAGAACAGGGTCCTCTCGTGCAGGGTATCCACATTATTATCTGCATATTCATCAATCACGTGGTTGGAGATGATAAGCGGTCGGCCTTTATCATTAGTGCGGACGCGGTAGAGGGTGAAACATCCAGGGAGGCATGAGACTGAGCCGAAAAGACTCTTGAAAGCTTTGGACAAGTTGTGCGAGATGTAGTACTCGTGTACCTATGGGTACATTAACTTGAATACACAAAATGCATAAATTTAAACCACTTGCTTCAATCACGGTCCACCCCCCATTCTGCAGTCTTGTTTCACCACATATACCGATTATGTTGGAATCTGATACCGAGGCTGCCACAAGACGGTTAAGAGATTTTGCAGTCACAGACTGCAAAAAAGATGTCAGAGCTTCGCGGGATAGCAAACAGCAAAGTGTACCGTGTCTGCGTCCACAGTGAAAATGCACTCGTAGAATGTAGGGTCATTCTGCATCTGATGATAGATCTTGAGCTCTAGTGGGGACATGGGTGCGTTGAAGTGCACCCTATTCAAGTACCGCATCAACAAGATTTGACTGTCACGCTTGCCAGGGTTGCCGGCTCTCGAACGTTCACTTGGCTTCCCGACCTTCACAACGACTATATACCTAAACAAAAGTGTCAGTAATTCCTCAGTCAATTCCGTCTTTACTCGTTTAATCTGCGGTACTGTTTCTCCAGAGCTCAAGGATTGTCTGGGTAATGTAACAGAGCCAGAGTCGCAAGTGTGTGATGCTGGTCGAGAGTTCGATGCTGCGCCACTCGTGCTTGTATGCGAAAGTCTTGACATATTTGGTTTTTTCAATAGCGGATGTCCAACTTGAGGTCGAGCCAGGAGGTGAGCAGGGCACTCATAAAGACTGTCCCCGTCGACAGATGTACTCGAACTTGCTTGCGACATTGAAGTTTCGGTTAGTGACTACTCAAACACAGAAAGAAACAATGGGCGTCAACGGAGAAAGCGGCCCACTGTGAACCTTGATGAGTACTCGAATTTCATTGCTGTTGTTTCCTAGCCCCAATTGTTGTGCTTGCACTTGAAATTTGCTTACATCAGCAAAAGCACCCAAATCTGGTGAGGGCCGGCAAGGTCCGGATAATATTCCACGGCCTCATGATGCCTTCTGAGGCATGAATCAATTCGTTCGACAACGTGCAAGATGTGCCTACTCGTCTCGCAAGGCATTGCTAGACTCCCTCAACCTCACGCCAGTCTTGCAAGGCATTTCAAGACTGGTACTGTCTAGTACTATGTGGATGCGAGGGAAACTTTATCTGTGTGGGCAATGGTATGTTATTTTGATATTTTGATATCCACTAACCTCAGTGACCATACCAAGCATTCGACTCCCAAGTTGCAGTGGACTGACACATTTTCGATATCTACTTCAACCCTACTCGACTTGAAGCCGTGTAACATACCAGGATCCCATCATCAGGTATGTCCTATGTTTATTCCTTCGTGTCATCTCATTTTGCAAAGTTTCAAGCTGCCTCCCTGAGAGGTCATAAACGTTTGTGCGATCCCGATTCATGATATGCGCTATAACTATAATATACAGTGTTTTTGCTCATCGATGGTGTGAAACGTGCAGTTCGGTCCAGGATGATTGGTTCTAGAATGAACTCGACCCTCTCTTAGCTCCACATATTGAGATGAGCGCTATCTTTGGTATCTTGTCACTGAGCAGAAGCACAGCGATCTTGATTGTGAACTGATCTCAACCGTCATCCAGGTTATCTGCCCGGACCTTATCCTATCACAATCGATCTGTGGATCTCGTTGTGAGGAACTTGCATTTAAGGCCGCGATCACAGCGTGTTTCCGCTGTCGCTCATGCTGCCCCACTCAATCTTTGTCTTGTTACTCACTTTTCTCTTGATGACACAGTGTCCAAACTGCAATGTAGAGGTGCACAATCGCGGCCTGTCCGTTCACCTGAGCAGATACTGCAAGATACGTGATATAGCCACCACGTCAGCTCTCGCTGAGCGGCGCGAGCGCGGGGAAGCTAGTGCTGAAGCTACTCGTTTGGAAGATGAACGCCGGCAGGAAGAACAACGTGAAGAAGAGCAGGAGCACCTACGGCAACTACGGCAGCCTCGAGTGGATGTGAGTGTTGTGTGTTATTAGATGTGAACCTGATGTTCATGGAAATATTTGCATATGAACAGGAGGTGCCGGACATTGAAATGGAGCCACGGCCATCAGGGCGTCCAAATCGACAAATCCGCCTCCCCATGTGTTATCGTGATGAAGTCCCAGTCCTACCGATCCCGGCCCCACCTCCCATTGATCGGGACGAGCCTGTATCAGCGCTCGGAGACCCACCAGATATTGAGATGGACTCTGATGACAGATCATCACATCATAGCCATGCAGAGCATCCCGAGTGGTTCCGCACTGATACAGACACATTTGACCTTTTTCGTGAATATCCTCATTCATTTCCAACATATGACCCCGAACATTTAGCCTACTTTGACGCACTTTGTGACTCCTCAGCATTCCAGCATGTTGATGGGGATGCCGATTACGAACGGCCGTGGTATGCTGGCTTCGGACAATCACTCAAGGCAGTCCACCATGATTACTTCGCACCATTCCTTAATGCCACTGTTTTTCGGCTCATGACATGGTTTTACAACTTGTCGATCTCGAAATCACTGCAAGATCTCAATTGTTTAGTCAACGATGTCATTTTAGCGGAGGATTTCTGCTGAGAGGATTTGCTAGATTTCAATGCATCTAGGGAGGCATCGCGTCTTGAGAAGGCACAACATGACCCTGCCTCCTCGATATTCTCCTCTGATGGATGGCATGAAACCTCGGTGAAGATCTGACTTCCTTGTGAAAAAGACAAGTTCTCCTCTGAAGATTGCGCGCCTGAATTTGAATTTAACGGGCTTTATTACCGCAAGCCATTGGAAGTGCTCAAGTCTGCATACCAGGAGGTTGCAGCGAAGATGTTTCACACAAAGCCATACAAACTATTCTGGCAGCCTGACGACAATGAACGTCCAGAGAGGATCATTACCGAGCTGTACACATCTGACGCCATGCTTCAAGAGCATGAGAAGCTCGACTCGCAGCCAAATGAACCAGGCTGTAACCTGGAAACTGTCATTGGTGCAATCATGCTCTGGTCTGACTCTACTCATCTAGCAAGTTTCAGAAACGCTTCTCTGTGGCCGATATACTTGTTTATTGGCAATCAGTCAAAGTATATTCGCGGCAAGCCAACATCATTTGCAGCGCATCATCTCGCATATATTCCAAAGGCATGTCTTTACTATTTGAACTCGAGACACGAACTAATTATGTGTATAGCTATCAGATACTATCCAAGACTTCTACAAGAAGACTTTTGGTCGTAGTGCGACGGGAGCAGTGCTCACACACTGCAAACATGAATTAATGCAGGCCATTTGGCACTTCCTACTCGATGCCGATTTTATAGATGCATATCAACATGGCTTTGTTGTCAAGTTCCCTGATGGAGTCTCTCGTCGCGTGTTTCCTTGTTTTCTTACTTATTCTGCTGATTATCCAGAGAAGTCTGTTTTACATCTTACTTGATCGCACCATACTAATCTCCACAATGTCAGGGTTCTACTTGCGTGCATGAAATTCCTTGGAAGGTGTCCATGCCCACGGTGTCTTGTTAGCAAGGACAACATTTTCAAATTAGGGACAAAGTTCGATCGACGACACCGCACCAGAAATTCTCAAGTCGACAATCATCCACAGCGTAGTTTCATTGAACGAGCCCGTGAACTCATATTTGTTCAAGGCTATAGTGTAGTCAGCGCTGCAATTGAGAGAATCATCGGTACCACCTCTGTGGCACCTATTCGTGTATGTATGATTTGAATCAAGCTTTCAAAGTTTACTAATTGTGAGCATCAGAATGCCTTTTCAGAGAAGCTTTCCAAGTTCAGTTTCGATTTCCACTCAATGCTTGTGCCTGACTTTATGCACGAGTTTGAGTTGGGAGTATGGAAGGCAACTCTTACTCATCTTCTCCGAATTTTGTATTCATATGGAGGAACTGCTGTGCAAGATCTCCATGAGCGGTAAGTCGTTTTTCTCATATACATATGCGTGTCCATCATAATTCAGGTATCGTCTCGTGCCGACATTTGGACGCAATACCATTTGCAAGTTTAGTGACAATGTGTCAGGTCTTACGAAACTTGCAGCGCATGATTTTGAAGACCTGCTTCAGGTAGGAATATAAGTAATACAACTGCTGTCATGTTGATCAATGCTGGCAGTGTGCAATGCCAGTATTTGATGGTCTTCTACCAGAACCGTTCAACAATTCAATCCTCAACCTTCTGTTTGAGCTGGCCACCTGGCATGCATTTGGGAAGCTTCACATGCACACAGAGACGACACTCTATCATTTCGATAACTGTACGACACGGCTAGGAAAAGCTCTCCGGCGATTCCGTGACAACACATGCAGAAAATTTGCTACTCATGACTTGCCACGCGAAACAGCTGCTCGTGCACGGTGTCAGCGTCCAAAAGTGTCTAAAGGCAAGAATGCAAGGTCAGAAAGGACCAATATTAATGTTGAAGGTGATGGCCCCTCAAAGCAACGCATTTTCAACCTCTCGACTTATAAACTTCATGCTCTTGGAGACTATGTCAGGTCAATCTGGTTATATGGGACCACGGATAATTACTCTACACAAGTAGCAAGTATTGGAATCTATCACATACATTCACCCACTAATGTTGGAATTAGGGCGAACTTGAGCATCGACGAGTGAAGCGATTTTATGCACGGACTAACAAGAACAAGTTCACACGAGGAATTGCAAGACTTCAGCATCGCGAGCACATTTTGCAGAGGATGAAAGAGGTGAACCGTGAAAGGGCAGCTGCACAAGAGAATCACGCACAGCCTGAGACTGAAGATCTCCATCCATCTCTTCATTTCATTGACCAGGAGCCGCTGCCACATTGCTCACCAGAGATCCACTACCAGATGTCCTCGTCACAGAAACATTACTGGGATATTTCTTCCTGGCTCAGAAAGAACAGAAATGACCAGGCCACAAAGGTAGGTCTCTGAAACTCATAAAATGACAAAAGTATTTGCTCACTAGATGTAATTAAAATTTTCTTCCACGTCTCAAAGACCACCCGCTGGGTCGCTTGTCGGGACTGGACTATGATGGAGATGAGACTTCATTTAGTGCAGTGCAATGAAACTCTGTTGCAATTATCAACAATCGAATTTATCGTCACAAAGTGCTTCGTGTCAACTACACTACCTATGACTTGCGGCGTGCTCAGGACTCTCTCAATCCCCGCACACATGCAGACATCATGGTTCTCGCTTGTGACCAGGAAGACTCCCATCCATACTGGTGTGCTCGAGTTATTGGAGTGTTTCATGTCAATATCTGCTACATGAGACCAGGTGCACGTCCCTCTATAAAGTGTGTCGACTTTTTGTGGGTCCGCTGGTTTGCCCGCGATATCACTGCACCAACAGGTTGGGCAGCAAAACAGCTGCCATGAGTTGGGTTTTATGATGGAGATGATGAATCAGCATTTGGGTTCCTCGATCCTGACCTCGTCGTTCGTGGTGTTCAACTTATCCCAGCCTTTCGACATCTACATACAACTGCACTGTTGGGACCATCCATTGCACGTCAAGCAGCTGACAATGATGAGGATTGGGACTGGTACTGCGTCAACATGTCAGTTATTTCCCACTAACAACATGAATCGAATCTGATAAATTAGCAGGTTCGTTGACCGAGACATGTTCATGGGCTTCCGTGGAGGAGGTGTGGGGCACAAATCCACGCGAAGAGAGACATCATGCCTGCTTGATGATCGTGATGAGTTGGATAGGATCCCCTTCCAAAGAGAGAAAGAGCACCATGGATCAGAATTTAATGAGGGCTCTGAAGAAGACAAGGATACGGATGAGGATGAGGGGAGTGGCAATGATTGCGAGGAGGAAACAGATGATAGTGAGGAGGAGACAGACAGCATGGACGACGAGGATGGGGATGAAATTCCAGCTACCTTTGAAGCGATGGTAGACGACACTGTTGCCAACGAGATGGATGAATATGGATACTCTGGCCTTGACCAAGTCCTTGATGAGGATGGTGCAGATGAAGACATCAACAAGATTGATGACTTTGGTCCAGAAGATGGGGAGGATGTGATGAACGAGTTTGAGGAGGGTAGCTTTGCAGACTTGTAATTGACGACGGTGCATGACAAGATAGCTCAGAAAATTAGCTCTGTTATTTCTAAAGTAATTTACATGCGGCCTGAATCACAGGATGGGTTGGGTCGTAGATGAAATGAGTACAATCAGGTAGTGGGAATCAAAATGCTTATTGAAATGCGCGAGGATTAATGATCATCAGCAGTCAGCTTCATTCTGGCAGTGCTGAAAGATCTTCTAGTTGTCGCTTTTTCTCCTCTGGAGTCCGAGCTGGTCCTTTATCGTTTTGGTCGCTATTAATCAACTGATGTCGTGACATGGCGTCCCTGTGTGCTGTCGCTAGGGAGAGTATTGGAAGTACGTGAAGTGTACCCTCGCCGACGCCCTAGAGCTGGCTGGGGTTAAAGTGGGCCAGGCGTTCTTGGGAGGAGGGTAGAGCTGCAAGCACCATTCATACTTTGATTGCCGATATGATGATGACGACAACGAAGTGCAAATTGTGTGTATGGTTTTTCAAAGTCAGCTGGCAAATGCCAGTCAACAAACAACATGTCAAATAAGACATATTTACCCCTTAGTCCTTGACCCTTCACGCATCATGTCTTCGCATCATCATCCTAACACATCTTCAAGCTCCTCTGATCCCCCTGAATGGTCGGAGTCACCAGAACCATCAAGGCCCAGCAAACGCAAGCACAGGCAGTCCTCCAGTGACACCAGCACCAACGACCTCATAAATTCCATATCGTCAGGCTCTCGGAAGCACACAACAAGGTATTGTAATTTGAATTGTGCCATGAGATTTTGACCTTTGGCGGCAGGAAACATGAAGATTCGAAAACAGATGACACAGAGCTATACCGAAACGCAGGAAGGAAGGCTTCAAGCCTTCTGGATACGTTCGGCATACCTTCTGCAGCCTTCAAGACCGGTCTTCAATTTGACCGAGGTGGTAAGCGCGACCCAAAACAGTATGTACCTTATATCTATCTCACAATACAGCTAACTCGTTACAGACCTGAAGATGTCACCAATCGGCATTTGTTACTGTACAATGGCGTCATCGACTATGTTCCTAGTCTCGAGAGCGAGCTCAACCACATATCAAGCAAAAAACTCAATGTGATCATTGCAATGGTGACTATATGCGCATATATGCACTTGTTTTTACTCAAATCCGACCCTGACAACTGATCTTTTGCATGGCAGGTATCAAAGGGTATGAGTGATGGCAGATCCGCAGATCTGAGCTCTGTCAAGCACAAGGGCCTGCAATACATTGGGCTAAATATGTATAGTAAGGCCGATGCTCTTGACCCGCCAGTTCCAGAAATCGAGGATAAGTCAATGCGTGGGCTCAATCACCCGCAGTTGGCCCGTTTACTTTGCCCTCGGAAGAAATTGGATTGGTTTGATGAGGGTCCTGATTCGTATGTATGTTTTACTTTTCATTGTTTGTACTAATGTCACTATGTTCAGCGCTATGGCTGCCTTGCAAGCTGGCGAAATCACCATGATGGCACACAACTGGCCAACATTCTTTTATGAACACGACATTTACGATGCTGCTGAGAAGACACACGGCCTGTTTCGAAACCATATTGTTCTGAGGGTGCGTATTCATTTTTACACTGTCATTTATTTATAACGAAGTTACTATAGTTTTATAAACATCTTTTTATTGGACCATCATCCGTCATGAACGACTCATCAAATGTTCGCAACTCTGCGAAGCCATCCAAAAATCGTGCATGGGGACTGACTGGCTGTTAACAAATACATCATCGCATATGTTCATATTATCGTAAGTTTAGCTCTTTTGCTATTGATATCAATACCTCTCTTGTGAACCCATAGACATACTTTACAATCAGCAGCGTGCAGCACTGGACATGGTGTATCGGCGACATGGACTTGGATGAGCTCCTCTGGGCCATCATTGAAATGCTAGACGACGATGACGATCCATGGGTCAAAGACACCCTTGCATGGTGGAACAGGTACATTTTTCTATCTGGTTAGTCTAGTGCTAATACTTTACAGGCACCTCAAACCAACCAAGGACAACTCGCACTCAGCCAAACTTATGTGAAAGGAAAGCAAGGACGACATCATGCAGATTCGTGCTCAACGAGCTGCACGCCGTTCTGCTTTAGCTAAGTCAAATGGTATGTGATGAATAAATATATGATACTGCTACTGATATTTAATTCTTAGCACCATCACGTCCAGGCCACCCTAACGAGCTTCAAGAGCCCTCAACAAGTGGCAAGCGCACCCGCCCTGTGGAGCACCGCCCTGAAGCGCAGGCCTTCCAATATTCGCAAGGTCGTGTGTGGTCTTGTTAGGCCTTCCAAGGCCTCGTCAGGTTTGAGCACTTTTGCTGATGTATGGATGCAACCAAATTAAACACAACAACCCAGTCTTCTTTTCGCTGGAAACGCGTTATTTTGCAAAATCGCGTGAAAAACCCGACTTACATGTTTCCAAGCTAGAAGGAGATGTGTCCCACATAGTTGAAGACTTGAGTTTTGTGTCGTGGAGAGTCTAAGTCAACCATTCAGTGGATTGACCTTAGAAATGCGCGGACGACCTGCCTCCAACAAATTTGGCGCTCCATCAACAACCTGTCGCTGAAGAAATGAAAACTGTTCATGACTGCAGATCTGAGGGCGAAGGCAACTTTCTTCTTCACATACTTCAACTGCCTCTACCACTCGGCCCGCAAGAACAAGTTGCTCCTCGGGAGAAAACCTTTGCAAGACAGGTTTCCCCATCAGATACATACAATAAAATCATAACAACACAACAGGAGAAGCAACTCATTTTTAAATGGCGACGAAGCTCCGTGGACTGGTCACAGGCCCACAAGACATTCACAGTACCATTGCAAACTCGAGCTACTAGTCTTGGTGCCTCAGTAACGTTGTTGTATTTGCCATCCGGCCTTGCAGTTGCTAACATCAATTCTGCTAGCTCCGCCTATACTGTCAATTTTATACCTAGCACTAAGCCCGAATTCATGGCTATCCGCCTAAATAATGTGCGGACTACTCAGGTGAAACTTACATGTTGCCGCTGCCAGATTCATCAGAGCACGTGCTGAAAACCAATTCCTCAGAGGTGGTTGCGCCCTTTGCTAATGTTGAGTAGGTACTACAGGCGCTTTGGTATTCAAATATTCAGGTTTTGTTCACTGTTAGCGCCATGATTGCTTTCAAAAATTCTCATGACAGCCGCAGTCTTCCATTGTTCGAAATGTCCTCAAATATAATTCTGAGTCAGTGGCTACAACCTCACATATACAGAGATGTAAGGACGTGCTGATTGACTCATTCTCACATCTGAATTCTGACAAGACCATTAGTGAGTGAAGGAACTCTGGCTTGTTGCACGCTGTCAGTATTACGGCCATCACAAACTGGGGTGCCTCTGCAATGGACGCTTCCAGGCCACCCATTCTGCATCAGCGGTACCGAAGTTTCAATCACCACAGCATCAGGCTTGGACGTAACAATTTGAAGTAGACTTGTGCCAATCAACGCAAAAATCAAGTACTTCTTTTTCAGTCCTATCAAAGGTATTCAAGTGTAGTAATTATAGTCTCTTACTAGAAATTGACCTGTTTATAGGCTATGCAAGATTGGCGGTGCACGCGTTGTCAGACTTCATATGAATTCCCAGAAAATGATCCAAAGGCCAAGGCGAAAGTCAAGAATGATCATTTTAAGTCTTGTCCACTCTCCCCCAGGATTTCCAAAGGTTGGCCTTGCGCATTCTTAGAAGGCAACTTTTGCTGTCCCTTTTGCTATCGTGGGTGTCCTACAGTGTCCGGTAGCATTGATGGTATACGAAAACATCGAAACAAATGCCAGATTGGTCCAAATTCTGGCGATTCACCGCAGAGTGTATATGGTTCAAGCATCAATGAATGGACGGCAGTTGCCTTAGGAGAGCATATGCAGAAGATATACGGTCATATGTTTTCTGGAGCCTCCATTTCAAGCACAGTATGTTAAAATTGTTTTCCTTGTACGGCGTCTAAGAGAGAGATGGATCAGACTAGGCCACAAGATGCTATAACACCAGATCCTGCACCGCCTACATTGCCCATACCACTTGCACTACCCCCACCACCCCCACCACCTGTGCCAATGCCACTGAAGGAGCTGCCACAACCACCAGCGCTGACGCCAGTGATGCTGACACCACCGCAACCATCACCGCCAATTTTGCCCACAAACATGACGTCCAATGATGGTGCTGAAGCAGCGTCTGATCTTTATGCCCTTCAACCAAACCATGATGACATGGAGTTTGATTCCGAACCTCTAAGTGAGCCTAACCACTGTACGGTCCGTAGCCTATCCTGATTCCTAGCATGGTACAGCTTCCGGTTTTCAAATGCAGCCAGCCCCCGATGGTCCCGGCGAAAGCAATCGAGCTGAGCCTGAAGATGGTCTTGGCCAAAGCAGCGGAGCTGAGCCTGGACAAACCGACACACTGCAACGCTCCACTTCAGATAGTCTTTTGGGTGGCTCACCAAGTCCCTTAGAGTCAGCTGTAGTAATTCCAGCACCTCATGTCGATGGTGAAGATCCACTCTGTGGCCTTAGAAATGTTCCGGAGTTGGATGTCTTGCACTTGAAAATAAAGTTTCAGCCTGATATCAAACTTTTCGTTTGCGAACGGTGTCAGTGTGGTATATGGGCGGACCATCTTGTAGGACATATATGCAATAATCGCAAACAACATCTATCGCACAACATCAAGAAAACCACTCTAGAAAGCGCGATCAAAGCAGCAAGCCAAAGACTTAGTGCTGTAGAATATTCTCAGCGCCCAATAGTTTTGCCAAAATGGGCTCTCCCTCCACTTCCTTGGCTACTGGAGCCTGTTCAAGGCTACCAATGCCACTACTGTCCCTACGTAGCTGGAACATTATTTTTGGTCGGGGAACATGGAAGGAGAACTCATCCACGCCACAATCTGGGACCATGCGTTTCTAAACAAGACCAAACCGCTTTTGTTCAGCGTCTATTTTCCAGGAACCAGTACTTTGTCGTCCATATCATGCTACAGGACACAGGCCCTAATCACATTTTCGCAAAGTTCTATTCCACCCTTTCCGCCCGCTATATCAATGGCACATTTATTACAGGTGACTTATCGCAAACATCAGATGTTGCCGAATGCTCGCCTTTTTGACAAACACTGGCTGGGCCAAAGCAACAGAAGGATATTCCCTGGCCATATTGTGAGATCTTTCTGTCTCCAAGGTTGTCAAACAGGATATTGCATACCTAGCTCGCATCAAGGGCCTTGGAGCAAAATACCTCTCCACAATTTCCTCTGCGTCAGAAATTGATCACACTCTCTTGGATGCGCTTATGAGCTGGCACATTCGACAGTAGGTTTTTGTCACCATATTTTACCTCCAAGGTTTACTGACATTCAATCAAGTTGTCCATTCCAGATACTGCAGGAAAAACACTCAGTGGAAGGCTATGGAGTCCACATTGATCACCTTATTATGATGATCTTACACATCAAGTTCATTCAGACTTCTCAGGCTTCTGATGAAGAAACAAGTGGCGAGGCTGGCTCCAACCACAAAGACTATGGAGAACTTGAGGATGATGAAGCTGTTGAAGAAGATGTTATCAGCCCAGGGTTGGATTGGGATGACATGGATTTTGCAGATGGAGACGAAGATGAAGAAGACAAAAGTGAGAGGGAGCCTGTTTTATGGCCTGATGAAGACGAACATGATGTGGAGACTTTGACTAGTCTGGATGCTATAGATGATCAGGCGCCTTACCCCATCTTTCTGAATGCCATTCAGAAGCAACGTGCAGAGATTCTTAGAGAGTTTTGTGCCAATCCTGACTCCTCCGAAGAGCAGCTCATGGAAGTGTATCATTTGCTCCTGTTGTCTGTGTTCACAACTCACAGTGACGACAATCCAAGGCCTCTTCAATCTCTTGTTGATTCATTTATCATGTCCACAAGCATTGATGTACAGGGTTGTTTTGCGTCACCTCACCTCATCTCCAGCCATTTGGCCAAGATCATTTATGGCACACTTTTCTGTCTCTTAACCAATGTCATGAAATCCCTGGATCCTTACCAGTAAGCATATCGACAATTTGACTTATCTAATTGTTAACTAGTATCAATCATTCATAGAGCATTTATGACAACCATGAAAGCTTGGATAGAGCCTGGTATGTGCACACCGTTTTGCACCATCAGAAGATATTCTCGGCTATGCTATACAATTTGCCGAGGCCATATAGGACTGCCTAGACTCCAGTTTACGACATCAGATGGACCGGACTTCACATTTGATGACAAGTCTCTGTCTGTGACTGCAATGACACAGATGTATCACAGCATCTATCAGGATATGGTCCGTATACTAGAACAAGACCTTCTATTGGGAGCTAGCAATGCAGATCTACAGCCTCTTAAGACACCAGAGGAAATTACTGATAAGCCTCATGAACATGTCCTTGGACGTGGTGTGTTGGTTTCAGAAATGCAGGCTGCATGGTGTTTGATGAAGTTTCTCATGAGCGACCAAAAGCTTATGAAGAAGTTCTTTACCATCAATCCAAGTGGACATCCAGTGCCCCGCAAGGGTGCATGGGAACAATATTTGGAGGATATCGAAGCATTCAAGGAGCGGTTCTATTTTTTATTCCATCAGATCCCTGGAATGCCGAAATGAGGTACAGAAGAAATCCGGGCCAAGATTGTAGATACAAGTTTCTGCAGCCGTAACCTCATGTATCTCTTTCACTGCCTGGCCTGTATAGGAGATTACAACAAGTCTTCTCGAAACTCTGGCAACGATAAGCTCATCCTTCACTTCTTGGCTCATCCTCTAGAAGTCATACTAAGGCGATTTCAAGCATCTGTGGCTAGCATTGGTGCATGGGCTATCGAGCTGGTCCTTCCTGCAGAGTCCATTGACCCCCCATCACTATTGTTATCTCCTATCTAGCAAGGGCCAGAGATGGACATCTGAGCAACTTACTCACATCCTTCAGCAACTCACTGGCAAATACCTTCCTGGCAATGTCTCCCTCAATATGAGTTCCTTGAGGCACATTCTGCCTGGCATCGCTGAACATTACTGGATCTCAGATGTCCTGACTCTGAGAACTGACAATGTGTTACACTCCCAGCTTGGTCATACTCAGAATACAAGCGATCAGATGTATGGCAGAGCGCATCAGGATCATCCTCAACTCACTAGCACCATGGCTCACTGAACAATGTTGTTTTGTGATCTCTGACAGGAACTATTAGGGTTCAAAGAAGATATTTCCAACGAAGATGCAGCCCTCTCTCTTCAGGCATCGTATGCCCACCAGCAATCCTCTTCTAAAAGGACTCTTTCATCCCTGTGGACCAGTAACCGCCCTGTTGCAGCCTCAAACTCTGACTTGATGCTTGACCATAATCTTCTTGAGGAGATTCAGAGTATGCAGGGCGCCTTGGCCCAGCTGACTCGCATGGTGTCATCCATCTACCAAGTAGTCCTTCCATCAGACAATGCAATACCTGCTAACTAGTTATCTGGGCTGTCTAACTCCAGCATCAGTTGCTTAGTAACTGCTGCCTCAGCAGATGGTCTGGGTCAATCTGACAACCTAGCTGATGTTACGGGCACAACTCTAGATGCCAACAGCCCACCTGCTGATTATGAGATATTCTATGTTACAGCCATTGATTACGATACTATCTAGCTAACATATGACTGTCTACCAGGCTTTCCATAACCGGCGACTGGCTAAACACCAAAGTATACTAAGGAATTCTGAGGTGCATAATCAGCCCAACCCTACCCTGCTGTGAGGCCATCTTATGACGTTGGGACAAGGTGGAAGGATGGTCTTTGAAATGGTTCAAGATGACCACTACACCTGCTAATGATCAGGGTTGCTTGGGCATCAACGGTCTGCCACTTTGCACTGAAGAAAGACCTGCTAGCGCTGGTTCTGAGGTATTGTGTATTACCCACATTTGCTCTATGTCATTGAGCTAACGATACAATTACTAGACTCTCCAAGAAGACATCGGCAAAGTACACTGCCCTTCATGCAATATCTACATCTCTGGCTCTGATTCTGACCTAGCAGCTCATTTTAAACACAAAAGAAGTCAGGAAGACATTGACAGCTGGCATATACACAGCTTCAAGGCTCCTGTAGCAGGGAAAGGGTATCAAATTTATGTTCACCGTGCAAGAAACCTCAAGTTTCTGTGTCCGTGCGGTTTTTCAGACTACGAAAAGCATGTGATGCAAGCTCATCTCGCTTCAGTAAGTACTGATGGCCAGGTAGCTCATGCCAAGAGTGGGCAGAAGCCAAGTTGGTCACGAAAATAATAGGCTACCATACCGTACGTGTAGTCCCAGAATCGGCTGTTATGCACCTACTCCCTCTTTCTCGGTCATTCCTGCATGCGATTGCAATATAAAGCTCGCTTTAATTTCGACCATTTAGATGCTACGTGTCTTCGTCGTTGTTTTGTAAAGTTGCGCAGCTTAACTGCACCGTTGGACTCGCTGGCAAGCAAAAGCAATTTTATCTCGTGACTATTATTCTTCAGAATGTGGGGCACAGCTTCGCGCACCGGGCAATACGAGCAGGCGTATTGCAAATGGCCAACTCCCCTGCCTGCAGCGATCAACATCGTGTTCTCCAAACTCTGCATCTCCAACAGACCGTGCTTTGCCCCAATCAAGCTCTTGTCGCTGGACTGACCGCCTGGGGTTCAAGAATTCTACCCATGATTTTGCAAGTCCATTAGAGTTAAGGCTGGGTTATGGTATATCTAGAACAGCCAAATTGCGCAAATATGCAAATGTCAGATTTGCGTGAAATGGACCCCCCCATATTGCGCAAATATGCACATGTCAGATTTGCGCACAATTGACCCTTCATATTGCGCAAAAATACAAATGTCAGATTTGCATGAAATCAACCCCTATGTTGCACAAATATACAAATGTCAGACTTTTTGAAATCAACCTCTCATATTTTGCAATTTGGAATTAGAATGGAGTCACTGGAATCAGTTCAGACATGGTGTGATATATGAGTGTATTATTATGTAAGCTTGCTATTGTGATATGAGTCAAACTGGTATCCTACAGTGAGGTCTTGAGATTTGGTTAGAATTAAAACTAGTGCAAGTCAAGAGGTGTGCATAAGGAAAATCCCACACATAGAGCTTGATATTACTAAGCTTGTAAACCTTAATATACAGCCATCCAAAGTTTCAAAAACACAAGTTCTGAGTTTCTCGATAGAGGCCTAAGAGTCTGTTCGGACATCATTTTTGCCAACCAACTTTGAAATTCCAATGTAGCACACACAAGACCAAATAGTCCGAGACCGAAAATAATGTCATGCTGATCATGCTGATACAATATGATAGTGGTCGCTGAGCCTATTGTACAACACAATGCATCCTAACGACCTCAATGCCAAATTTGATCTACTAGACCCACTAGACAAAGATGATGTCAACATTGAAGACAGTGCGGATGAAGATTCCAATTGTGCTGATGTGGTAGACTCTGACCAACTGGACGTAAATGAGCTGCACTGGATAGACAAGATGTTCCATGGTGCTGCTCGTGTAGCAATGGCTATTGCTGATGCTGCTGGGCAGGTACTCCAAGGTCACTCGCAAACTCACTACAACAAGCAACCCTATTATACTTCAGCCTTGTCTGTAATGGCATGGGTCAACGAACTCCTCGCACGACATCCAGACCACATACGATGTGAACTTGGCGTGCAGCATCATGTATTCTATTGTACTATTGAATATACTTCATGATTCAGGGTGCAGAAATTCAAAACATGTCACACTTGAGGAGTAGCTTGCCATCTTCTTGTATGCATCTGTCACAGGACTCTCTGTTTGCCATCTTGGTGAATGCTTTCAATGCTCCAACGACACAATAGCAAAATATGTTATCCCTTAGTGTCATACATTTGCTTATTTTTTTGAAGGCATTTCAAACATATTCTCCACACATTTTCCTCCCCCCTGATTTATTCATTGTATGTCCAGCTACCTAGCGCAGACAGTCCAATGCCTCTCAAAGTCCTTTGAAACCCGAAATTCTACTCATACTTTGCCAATGCTGCCAGGCACCATAGATGGTACTCATATTGCATGCCACCCTAGTGGCAAGGATTGCGATGCAACTTCGCGATCGTAAAGGCAACTTGACTCAAAACTGTCTTATAGCCTGCTTCATTGTCGCTTGGCACTTCTCTGTCTTCTTGACCATACAAATGCCTTTGCTCTACCTTCTCAACCATACAAACACCTCTGCTCCACTTTTCCCTGAGCTTGTTACATAATCATTATCAGACAGTACAAAGTCTTGCTCCATCTTGCAGTCACCTCAGTATTGTTTCCATGACATACTGAGGTGAGTAGATACTCCTATGTCCATTCTTCTTGAGTACTGATGTATCACACCAGTGTGTTCTCCGCTAGGTACTTATGAATGTCAGTATTGTTTCCACGACATACTGAACAGTGTTCTCCGCTAGATCTACTAGTGTCTACAGGTTATGAGCCCTGAGCTCTAAAGGATCTCTGACCCACATGCATGCTAACTAATCTCAAATTCATCTAACGGACGAACCCGCATCTATCATTTCTCTACTATGAAAAATATGATCATATCATCAAGCTCACTGGCTTGGACTGTTTACCCTGGCATGGCGCAGGACTGTAGAATTGGCCCTAGCCAGTGAAGGAATATGCAACCACTGTAGCAATGGCACTGACCCTGACGATGTCATAGAATTCGCCAGTGTGATGCCCAAGATCGCTACGCCAGGACAGCCTACGAGCACCGAACTTTCTTCCATCAAAGAGTGGGTGCACGTCGAAGATTCACAGAGATGGAAGTCGCCATTTCGGACCCAGAAGCTGTCTGGATGCTCTTACATGGGCTACCTGAAACCCCCCAGTGGGTCGAAGTCTTACTCTTGGGTTATACAAGGCTCCCTCATTCTCCACTTCTGCCAAGTCCATCACTCCCCTACAAGTCTCGTTCGAAGATGTTGCAACAGCATTCGCTGAAGAAGCTAATCGTCAATGTGGACAGCTAAAGATGGCATGCACCGGACCAGGATCAGAATACACCAACGTTGTAACTCCTACCTCGACTGAACGCAAAGTCAACCCCTCCAATGGCGTGTGGATACACAAGCACAAACCCAAGGGGGTGCCTTGTGACAACCCAGCCTGCACTGGACTACTGCAGTCCATGACACACGATCGCGATCACTGCATGCAATCTGGAGGGGGAATGGAAGGAAAAGCACCCTGGAGCAGTCAGCAACAAGGAGGAGGAGGAAAAAGGAAGGATGTCGCAGCTGTGGTAACTGAGGCAAAGCCTATGCCCTCACCGTCCATGTCATCTCCATCCGCTTCCAACACTCCTTCAACACCTTCAGAAATGACCGCTCTCATCATTACAGCACCTAGTCATGACTATGCATCGGACTGTCAGGGAATGCATCGAACGGTAAAGGAATGTGTCGGAAGTGTGTCGGGTTGTTGGTCAAATGAGTGTCGGATGTGTCGGAATGTTTCAAAGAAAAAGAGTGGATAGATATTTTGCAATACAATCAAGTACTACTAATATCCAATGACTTCCATCCTACTACTGAGTAGGGAAAAGTAAGTAATGCAATAGGTAGGAAGTACTAGATATTAAATAGTGTCTATGTAGAATTTCAGAGTGCATTAGGCGAAAACAGTGGCGCATGTGTACTGCACCTTTTGTAGATAACATGTAATAACGCTGTCTGTAATATTCAATAATGCGAAAATGAGTAAATATGCATCAGTGGGGATAGATACAACTGGACAGGGCATAGGGAGGACGAGTCCGATGCGAAAATGTCAGGTCCGAAACTTTCGAGTCGGGGTCTGGGTAAGGATCGGGATCGGAATGTCAGGGGATGCATCGGACGAATATGAATACTAGTTGACGTGAGTATCAAAAACATGGGTTTTAAGCCCAGCGCCATGACTATCGTTACATTGTGTCAAAGTCTTTCACTCTGACAATGGAGGTGAATTCCTTAGTACATCATTCACACAGGCTTTTGTGTCCTGTCAGGTATAGAACGTCAGCTGTCCAGTCCCTTATGCTCACCAACAGAACTGGCAAGGCAGAATGGGCAATTCGTACTATTGAGGGACGTCTCTTTGCCATGCTCGAAACTGCAAATCTCCCCCCAACTCTCTGGGGAGAAGCTGTGCTCACAGTCTGTTACCTTTGGAACAGGAAAGAATCCTCCACTCTACCTCCCGGCATCACACCTTACGAAGTTGTAAACAACCAAAAACCAGACTTATCACATCTTCATGTGTGGGGAGCATGTTGCTTCACACACATACCGATTGAACAGCAGATCAAATTGGGCCCTCACTCTCATATTGCCTACTTCATGGGATATCCAGATGGCACAAAGGGCTATTGCCTTCAGGATGCTGACACTGGTGTATTTATATGGTCAAAACAGAAATAGGTTCCAAACTTTGGAAAAAATGTCTTTTCCTGGGCTGGTACATCATTTAGAGGCATCTTCCAGGAATCATATGAACCAAGAATTAAGAAAAACAGTGGTTGGAATATGGAGATATGGTCGAAATACTGACTTTTTTGCCCCTCCACCAAACCACAATGTTGGCGACCTCTATACACCCTGGGACCATCTCCAATCGATTTGTATGACTGAAAAACAGTAGGAACACCATTTTCAGTATCGGTCTTGAGTCAAATTCAAGTGTGGTGCAATATAGTGGGTAGGAGGGGGGAGGAGGACATTCTATATCTCGACAACCTGATTTTTCCTGACATATTGGGCTTTACCATCATGTTCAGGGACATTGAGAGCCCCCCGGAAAAATGCTTTTGGAGGGCATGCAAGTCATGGGAAGGCTAGAAAAATCGATCTTTGAGGGGGGTATGTGACAAATTCGCACATGTCACTTTGTATGGTCTCAAATCACTCTGGTATCATTCTCAATCAATTTATATCATTAGAAAACAGTAGGGACACCCTTCTACATACTGGTATTTACATAATAGGAAGATATGTGAGTTTGGGGGGGGAGGAGGACCTTCTGTATCTTGACCACCTGATTTTTTCTGACAATTCGGGCTTGACCATCTTGTTCGCAGCTATCAAGAGCCCCCAGGAAAAATAGATTTGGAGTCATGGCAAGTCATGGGAAGACCATAAAAATTGATCTTTGAGGGGGGATATGAGGTCAACTTACACATTATATTTCATATTGGCCAAAAACACTTTGAACACATCTTTAATCTATTTTTATGCTCCAAAAACACTATTTAAATCCTTTTTACATCAGTATATACATGAAATCATGCTTCATGGTGGAGTAGGTAGGGGGAGGGGGTAGCATGACTCTGAAACATGATTTATTCAGACAAAATAAGCATTGCCATCGCGTCCAGGGTGGTTAATAACCTTAGAATCAAGTTTCATTTGAAGCCAGGCAAGTCATATGAAGGCTGAAAAAATCAACCTTTGGGTGAGGCAACAGGACAGGGGCGACCCTGCTTACATAAGCAGATGCGGACAGGTGGTCACACTTGAAGCAAGACACATATCAGAGACCTGTTGCTCATAAATGTACATAGATTGATTGTGGTTGTATTTAGTTTGAGATTGAGACATTAAAGTCATCAAAAGGCTAAGACAGTTGACCTTTGATTGAGCACCTCAGTATGGCAACCTTACACTCACTCTTCACTCATAACTTTAGAACATGATTTTTTAAAACAAAAGTAGCATTACCATTGGAATCTGATGGTTCAATAACCCCCATTGAGATGTCTATTCGACACAAGGCAAGTCATATGAAGGCTGAAAAAATCAATCATTGTGAGGCAATAAGACAGGGGCGACCCTGCTTACATAAGCAGATGCAGACACCTAAGCACACTTTCAGCAGACTCCACAGATCAGAGGTCTGATGCTTCTAAATGCACATAGATCTACTGTGTTTGTACCAAGCTTTAGATTCAGATCATGTCTTGTTTGGTAGTGCCTTGAATCTTTTACATATCTTATCTATGACTCATTGCGCCCTGTGCCCTTTCCATTCCACTGGTGCTATCTCTTTCATATCTAACTCTTCACTATTCTCGTGGTTACATATGACTCACTCCCCCTCTGCCCATACAATTGGTGACTCATTGCACCCTGCACCCTTTCCATTCCACTGGTGCTATGTCTTTCATATCTAATTCTACATAATTCTCGTGGTGCATATAGTTCTCCATGACTCATGCACTTTGATATTCCTACTTATTTCGCAGTTCTTCCCTTCCTACCTATACGTAGACGCCACAGATGCCCTGTATTATTGACTAATAGATATTCTTTTGCTAAGTATATGTTACAATTTAACAGGCAAGGGCTTTTTAATCCCAGCACACTCCTCTATTGGTGTCATCTTGTTGATAATTGTGCTGGCTATTGTCAAATAGCAGATACCATTATCAACAGGATGACTTCCATGGAGGAGTGACACCAGCAAAATAAGTGAACTCAGCTAAGTAAAAAGGTGCAAAATTGCGAAAATCACTGGGCCTGTTATCAACAGGATGACTCCCATGGAGGAGTGACACCCAGGAAAGAAATGTGGAGGTACAAAAGTGCAAAAATTGCGAAGCGAAACTGGGCCTATTATCAACAGGTTGACCCTCATTGAAGGATGACACCCAGGAAAGAAGCACAAGTATGATTAATACTATACCTTGCCTGCTTCTGACGCAATCCAACAAGTCATCAAATTCTCTTCTAGCATTCTGGACTTGACTTCTTTATATTCCGGCAGTGGCTTGTTGTCAACAAATACCGAAGCAGAAAATTGACCCAAAATCATGATTGGCCAGTAATGAGCTCAAGATGATGATGACAATGATATTAAGTGACTCTGTGAGACTTGAACTAATAAGTTAGTTAAACCAAACTTCACTTTGACTTCGAGCTCAGGAAGTCCAAATGAAATTTGTCGGAAAGTCTGAGAGTTCGTTTGCCAGACAGTTCCTAAGACTTTTACAAATCAAATTTCTGTTAGACTCCTAAATGTATAAGGATAATTTACCCCTGTAATTTGGCAATTTTATTTATAGAGGATATTTGTAAATGGGTTAGGTACAATATGTGGTTTTGTTACCCCCAAGGGCCCCAAAACATATTAATGACTTGTGATCATGCAGGATTTCCGTTATCTATGTCTAAAAAACCATATATATAAGGTATTTTAGACCCATTGGACTCACTCACAAGCATATATTTACCTCTATGTATATCTCTATAATATAACTTATCTTGTATATTACCATTCATTCAACAGATCACTTAGGCCACTGATAGAACCGTCCTAACGGCGTCGTATACAATGGATTACATATAAAACACATACAAATATACAAATACAAATATATTTGTAGTCAATATGGCCACTGTTGGAACGGTCTGGACGGGGGGACGAATTGTTGTAGTTGAAAATATTTCATACGAGTTATGCAGGCATGTTATTTAATTATACTACGGTAGGTATATATATATAGATCTACTATATGAGCGATAGCACAGGACTAATGTAAATTATAATATAAATTCACTATGTATACTAAGATATATACTAAGATTACAACGATCTATAAAGTAAGGGAGAACAGTTGCGGGAAGCACCGAGCACTCGCGTGAAGCTCGCATGGAGGCCACATTTGCTCGTGTGGGTGCCATGCATGCTCGCATGGATGCCATGTGTGCTCACGTGGCATCCACGTTTGCTCACATGGCGTCCACGTGCGGACGCCATGTGGTTTTCGCTTACCTCGCTTAGTTCTCTTTTTGGCAACTCGCGTGGCTTTTTCGAGTGCCGCCCGTGCTCGACGCCGCAACCCAACGCTGCAAACACCAATGCACCAGCACTGCCACGACCTCGCCCTTCACCTGCTGAAATTTCCCATCGCTTTCAAATACCTCCGGTTGTGTCCTGCTGCCCTCACATGATGATTCCTACTAGCACTCAGCCTGCCCCTGCCAGTACTGTCGACATGGGCACATTTTTTACTGTGTCACGTGACACAGAGCCAGCCGCCTCGAGGTGAGTTCTTTTTCTTTGTCTTCATCTGATTTGGAAAATTTACAGCAGCTGCTATCCCCAGTGCTTCCCCAGCACCTTCAGCAGCATCTTTTGCTGTGGCCTGTGGTGACTCCAATGTTGCACTCCCCATCGTGCCAGGCCATGTTGCCAGGTGAGTTCTGTTGTTTCTGTCTGTCTGATTTGTCATTTATGATGGCTACGAGGTACACCAGCTTTCTCGAGCCGACCCCTGCTGTTGACTGGAATGCCAGGGTTCTGCAGGGTCTGGACACAAGTTATGCTGCCCGACTGCAGCGACGTGCTCAATGCCATGTAGTTATTCCACCTGTTGCGACACCCACCCCGCCTGTTGCTGCATCCACTGCTCCATCAGTACCCTCAGGTACGACTGACTGGGCAGCTGAACTCCATCTCCGCTTTTCAGAGAGTCACTCGAGGTGTCTTGAATGGAGACAGCTCACTGACCCATACAGCAAGATCTTCACTCGGCGAGAGGGTCTCCATGCAGCACAGCAGCGAGTTCATGACCTTCGACAAGAAAATGCAAAGATGGCCAAGAGAATGATCAGGGCAGATGAGGAATTTGAGCATGCCCGCAAGCGCAATGACATGGACTGGGATGTTAGTTGTGCATGCTTGGATGAGGCAATTGAACATAGAAAGCAGCGCAAGGTTGCAGATGCTTGGCGTGAACACATCTTTGAGGAGAGGAAGGGGAAAACTTGGGAGGAGCGGCATCATTTGGACCAGGTACTCAAGGAGGGTCCTCCCCCTGGCTGGAAGCCTTCTTGACATTCACATTCACATTTGTCTTATAGTTAGTCTTAATTTGTGAAATGCCAAGTGTAATTAAATTTGGACTTAACCTTGACTCAACAGATACAATATATATAATTTATTTCAAAACCTATAATAATTATTGAAACACCCAAAGGTGGGATGTAGCCAAAGGCCAGGAAGCCAAAAAAGAGCGCAAAGTGCTCTTTTTTGCTTCCTGTGCCGAAGGCACAACGGGTGTGTGCTAGTCTATAAAGTAAGGGAGAACAGTGAGGGAAGGACCGGACACTCACGTGGTTTTCGCGTAGGGCCATGTGCGAAGCACATGGTTTCGCTTACCTCGCTTAAGGCTCGATTTGAAAAATTGCATGGCTATCACGTGCGTCCGCTGCCCGTTAGGGCAGCACTCATTGAAAAACATTTATTATTTACGAAATTCAAATCATAATAAATTTAACTACATATTTAAGAAAAAAATTTAAGAAGAAAAGACAATTGAGAAATGAGAATGGGGAAAATTGGAGAACAGGAGAATGGAGAACAGGAAAACAGTGAAAAAGGGAAAACAGATGAATGGGAAAAATAGAAGAATGGGAAAACAGGAGAAGTGGGAGGACGGGAGGAGGACAAGAGGACGGGAGGAGGACAAGAGGACGGGAGGAGGACAAGAGGACGGGAGGAGGACAAGAGGACGGGAGGAGGACAAGAGGACGGGAGGAGGACAAGAGGACGGGAGGAGGACAAGAGGACGGGAGGAGGACAAGAGGACGGGAGGAGGACAAGAGGACGGGAGGAGGACAAGAGGACGGGAGGAGGACAAGAGGACGGGAGGAGGACAAGAGGACGGGAGGAGGACAAGAGGACGGGAGGAGGACAAGAGGACGGGAGGAGGACAAGAGGACGGGAGGAGGACAAGAGGACGGGAGGAGGACAAGAGGACGGGAGGAGGACAAGAGGACGGGAGGAGGACAAGAGGACGGGAGGAGGACAAGAGGACGGGAGGAGGACAAGAGGACGGGAGGAGGACAAGAGGACGGGAGGAGGACAAGAGGACGGGAGGAGGACAAGAGGACGGGAGGAGGACAAGAGGACGGGAGGAGGACAAGAGGACGGGAGGAGGACAAGAGGACGGGAGGAGGACAAGAGGACGGGAGGAGGACAAGAGGACGGGAGGATGACAGGGAGGTAAGGGGAAATCAACACATTCAATTGTACTTTTACTTTTCTTATCTGCACAGAGAACAGGGAAACAGGAGAATGAGAAAACCAGAGAACAACAGGAGGACAGGAGGGTTCAATATGTCTAATCTCATTAATTGTAATATATCATGCTCAACTCAATGAATACAATATAATTTATTTCAAGATCTAAAATAATGATTATTAAAACACCCAAAGGTAGGATGAAGCCAAAGGCCAGGAAGCCAACAAAGAGTGCGAAGTGCTCTTTTTGCTTCCTGTGCCGAAGGCACAACGGGTGTGTGCTAGTAAATACAGACGGAGAGATAATAATCGTCACGTGATCAAATCACATGACCATCGCTGAAACTCAAAGTACTAAGAACATGAGGCATAAGTAAGAACATGAGGCGACAGCATAGCGTGCATGGGGCAAAGGGTCCAGGGTTATTAGAAAAGGAGCCGGATAGCGATAAAATCAATTGTTAGACACTTACCATCACATCGATTAAAGATCAGGACTGAAAATACATATCGACATGCACCCCAAAGCATCGCGCAAAGGGAAAGGAAAGAAATCTGAAGCAACAAATGTAAGTGTACAATGGGTATACCTAGAATTAACAACACAAACTGATGATCAATGGGTGTAACAGGAAGGAGGAGGATCAAGCTTTCACCTTGACACCAGACCGGTGGAGGCGGTCGCTCCCAAGCACGATGCTGGGAAGGAAATCAAATGTCTGGATACTGAGGTGATAAAGAGCAAGGTTGGTGTCGCATGTATCAATATGTTGGAGATGGGAGAGCGTCTAAAGTTCGGGGTCTACAACGACCAGCCTGAAAACGACACTGAAACGCACAAGTTAATACTACCATTCAAGTGCCATGGGATCGTGTCCATGAGAGAGATGAACACTATTCCACTCATCATTGAGATCGACCATGTTAAAAATGCGGAAACACTTCCCTTTGATTTTAGCAGCCCACAGAATGTACCAGAGTTGGAGCTTGTCGACATGAACCCTATCATAGTGGCCTCGGGACAGCATCGACTTGCAGCACTTCGACAATACCATCAAATGTTAACAGATGAGTACAGGACACTCGAGAAAAAACACGTCAAGATCAAAGAGTTGAAGAACCTGAGTGAGCCAGTCCTGGATGCGTGATGCGGTCATGGCACGTCAAGCCGCAGAACTTCACATGCGCGACCCCCATCACGAACTCACCTCATATCTTACTTTGCCGTTAGAAGAGACAGATGATGTCATCACATGGTGGGGGGTAAGTTGTTTTTTTATTCACACATTCTCAACTGACATTATTCATTAGCTACACTCGCTACAATATCCGACACTCGCTCATATTGCCCGTGATTATCTACCAATTCAAGGTAGTGCGGTTCCCTCTGAACGTGCATTCTCTAGCGGGGGAATCACATCAACCTTGCGCCGCAATGCTCTTGGATCATCCACCTTCTCTGCTCTACAGTTAATGAAGGCCACTTACTGTAATGGACATCTTTCGGCAGCTACAGAGGCAGAGGGGTATGCACAAATTTTATTAGACTAGTTACTCGATGTGTAGCTAGTATTTCGTCAATTATTTTTTGCTGTCCCTATAGAAAAATTTACGGTTTGGTTCGAGTTCGGACCACAAAAAAAACCAAACCGGACCGTTGAGAACGGTTCTCAACGGTCCGGTTCTGGGTTCGACAATTTCGCCAAACCGAACTGTTGGTCCGGTTCTCGGTTTCTTGTTGAAGACCCTCTGAACCGGACCACGGCAGCACTAACGAGCCGCACAAACCAATGCTGTGCGGAAGAGTATGATAATCGAGGGTGGGTGGGTGGGAGATGTGATAAACAGTGATGAATAAAAACATATAGAACAATATTTAGTAGTCGACAATAACTTAGTTCATCGCCTTTGTCGGTTTTAGCAAGGTCTTATATCAAATGGGGAAGACGTTTTACGATGGGGAGTAGAAAGGATATGTTCCGACAGGCTTGCAAATGGTTATACTTCACATATAATCTGGCATAGCGGCGGCCTGACCCAAACTCAATAAGCTATCTGGTGGATGATTCAGAAAACACAATGTAACACACGAAATCCTTAGAGAAAGCCCTCTGTCGACGTGGTTGCAATATCCACTCTGGCCCATGTTGACCGACCATCATAGAAAGGTTGAAGAGACAACTGTTGATTAGCACCCCCAAAGCGGTTACAAAGGAGCTCCGAAGAAACATTGTAGCAAATGATAAAAAATGGGACTTGTATGACGTATGGCCGCTGGACCAACCATTCTGTCCTTATATATGTCAGGCGTGAACTCCTGAGACCACGCCAAACCATGTCATTCTCACAGAAATACCATCCACTCCTAACAGTAGATAAGGGCGCTGGAGAGCAGGAATCTCTGCAATGCAGGGACCCTCGCAAAAGGAGATCTCTCCTCGTCATCGCTGTCATCATAATCATGTTTACTTCACTCCCTTTTGTACATATGATCAGGTCCAGGGGGTTTCTGGGGTGCTTGTCATGGCTCGCAGCATAACTCTTCTACATTGGCAAAGCTGCCTTCTCACTACACCTTACCATCGGGTGATAATATTCCCTCAGTTGCATTGGGTATGGCACTGGTAAATGCCTCAGCAAGTTGGTGTTGAACTCATTATTAATCATACAGGTGTATGGCAGGCTGGCAAGGGGGAAGTCGGAAATGCTGTGAAGGTATGCATACTCCGCACTCCCCTGAGTAACTTATGCTCACATGCTTTCAGACCGCTTGACAGCAGGTTATTTGTGACGAACTTCTTTGACGATAGTTGCAGAACGAGGAAGAAGTTGTCAAGCTCTTAAAACAAGTTCTATACCTTGTGAAAGAACTTTGACTCACATCAAAGGTAGTACCTTCGATTCAATCAGTTGGACCTCACATTGACCGGTAGCAGCTTTGGAACACTTTTCATGCACCTGAGGACATTGAGACTGTGCTAGACCAATCGCTTTCCATGCTTGGTACCAACTATCTCGACTTGTACTTGATTCATTGGGGCAGTTATTCACCCACTTGTGCATCTTGCTTATTCCGAACAAGACCTGTTGCATTTAAGACGTGCACTACTATTTTGGATGGGGATCTTACTGCCGATCCATATCCTACTTGGCAGAAGCTCAAAGAACTTGTTGACAAGGGTAAATAAGGTACATCATTATCAGCAAGTGAGTTTCATTCATGTTGAGTCAAACGGGTGCTGACATCTCACCAATAGCTTCAATACCAGAAGGTTCGAACGATCTCTGCTCCAAGTCAATCTTGCTCAAATCCAATTCAGGATCAAGAATTTGACCGCAAACAATCTGAAGTACCAGCCAGCTGTCAATCAAGTTGAGCTCAACTTTTGGAACCCTCAACCCGAACTATTGAAGGTATGTTTCCAGCTCAGGCAAGTAGACACTTGTGCTCGAGTTCATGAGCAATCCATAGTTGTCAAAGGAAAACGGGCTTCTTCTCGAGGCGTACTCTCCACTTGGTAGCGACAAGCAAGTCGGAAAGTCTCTCTCTGTCCCTGAGGTATCGTTTCACGTCATGGGGTCTGGACTTCATCATCTAAATATACTTACAGGTAAAGAGCATCGCATCCAAACTTAGAATCACCCCGGCTCAGGTGATTATTGTGGAGCATCCAGCGGTGTATGTCCATATCTCTGTAGCATTGTGTCATGACTCTCCTTTCCAAACCTCGATAGACGATCGTCCTACGAAGAGCATAACACCTTCTCGCATCGCAGAGAACCTTGAAGGTGAGAAGGTTTAAACTTTTGTTAGACAGTGCATAGTACTCACCCACATATGCCCTCCAGTATTTGAACTCCCACAGGAAGACTTTGAGAGGTTGGAGAAAGCAGCAACTTCGCACACTCCGCAGAGAGTGGTCAACCCTGACAGGTTGGAAGTTGCCTTTCGATGTATTTGATGGGCAGTAAAAGATGTGTCGCCAGATGTTGTTCGATGCTTGCACAGCATAAAGCCACAGAATATAGGCTGCGTTGTTTGTGGGGAGTTGTTGGAGTTGTGGATGTGTCGTTTGATTTATTATTTATGTATCGAAGGACAAATGATGCGGAATATGTTTATAATTCTATGTGCTTGATCAAAAACTACATTACGACCCAAATCGTTGACCAAATCAGCCTGAGTGCACACAAAAAGTACAAACAATATTTCATTGTACAGTAAATGCCATGATCTACAGTTGTGTTCCATCGTACGCATATGTAAACAGAGTCTCTAAGCAGGCTCGCTCTTGGAATTCCAGCTGCTGGGTTAGAACTGCGTGCCTAATATCCTCCTCCATTGCACTATGCGCAGCTATATTTCCTGCTCATCTAATGTTATTATATGAGCACAAAAAAAAGATGGACTGGTGCGGTGGAGTGTGTTGATACACCCTTCTGCTTAAGACCGTCGAAGATTGTATCGGAAAGTTCATAGACACTGCTTTTAGAGCGGAGACCTTCCCAGGTCTCCTGGCCGCGGTGGTGTCCAGAACCTTGTGGCGTGCAAGGTCGAGTAGGCACGCGAAGATGCAAGGGGGACTATAAGAGAGTGACCTGAGGAGATCATTGTCAGGGACGGTACTCAGAAAGATGGATGACTTACTTTCTTCTCTCAGTGTTTCAACGTCCTGAGTGTGTTTGACTCTCGCAGCATCTAGATCCTTGCGAACACTGGCAAGATCATTGTTGATGTGCTCGTTGTTGTCGTGCAAGCTCTCATTCTCATTGTTGATCCTCTCAATCTCAGCAGGCATGCTCTCGTTCTCGCTCAGAATCCTCTTGTTCTTGCCGAGAATCCTCTTGTTCTCGCCAAGAACCCTATCGAGCTTACTATGCATCCTCTCGATCTTGCTGTGCATGCTCTCATTTTTTCCTCGCATCTCTGTCATTTCCTTCTGCATCGAGGCCAGCATCTCTTTAAGCTGGTTGTCCATAGTCACCTGAGGGGGATTGGCCGTCGATGCGGTATTGGCCGTCAACGCGGCATTTCGTTTCTTAGCTTTCTTGGCTGTAGAAAACTGATTAGCGCATTTGTAGACTATTTGAAAGTTACAACACACATTTGCGAGGTGGGACTGCTGATGTACTTGACTGGGTTGTGGCAGTATCAGTGGCCAATGTTGTACTGGGTTCCACGGATGTCTGATTTGCTGGTGCATTCTTGGCCAATTGAGTTTTGATATGATGATTTGTCTCAGCATTAGGAGTGAATAGTGCTGTGAAACCACCGGAGCGGCAGACACTGAGCATATCTGAGGGTTTAACGTCTTTGAGAGAATTAGATCAATGGGTCTGTCCCTGCAGCAAACAAAGATGCATTGAAACTTACCTGGATAGTACTTTGCCTTCATGGCGAGTGGATCCAACGGAGGCTCCAGGCCGTATACCTCGCTAACATGTTTGCTAATGTGATTTTGTAAGATTCCCACAGCCATCGCCACTGTGTTGCCTGAGCCTCGCAGACTGTTTTGGATTGTATTTCTGTCGTCTGTCCAGATAGCCGTTACTGCGACAGAATCATCATTCGATGACATGGTGGATCAAGGGTATGGTATCTGAATCAGTGGTGCGGCCTTTTGATGCCTCGAGGGCCCTTTGTACTCCACGATGCAGCAAGTTACGGTCAACTGCCCCCCAACAGGTCACGTGATTCCAAGTGACTTGTGAACAACGTTTAACAATATGACCAACACATGCGGCACTGTCGAATTCTACCATATCGTCGGAAAAGTTTTGACCCAGTTCGTCGATCCTTTAAAAGACATGCCTGTCGTTGGGCCTTATAACATTTTCTACAAGTCATACATCTTCTGCTACTTTTTGAGAAACCCGCTAAGATTTCTGCCTGCAGGTTCATCTATAACAACCTTGATGGTTCCAGAGTCAGAGGGGGTATTCCCATGGGCGGATTGAAATTATTGATCCGGGCGATGAGTGACATGAAGTAAGTGTCGCTCAGGCATCAGATATTTCTCTAGTGTCACACTTCTCAGCTACGAAGTGCACTATGGGATCCTACAAGCTGGTCACTACGGCACTCCTCCAACCCGCGTGCGATTTTGTATGGTCATGGCAAAGTACGGTCGACCCCTTCCTCAGCTCCCTCAACCTACACATGCCTCCCTGGTGGACGTGCTGGGAATTGATTTGCCAATTGGACACCATATCAGACCTATTTGAACACAGACTGGCTATGGCTTTGCCCGTACTTTCGAAGACGCGCTGCTTGTGAATGGAGATCCAGACATGTTGTCGCCACCTTCATCCAAGCTCCCACTACCTACCGTTCTTTCTTGAAGCCCGCATCGCGCTCTTATTCTTCGTGGGGCATGTCGTGCTTACTTGAGGCTCAACAATGCAAAGAAGGGCGAACCTTGGTGCGACGCTCTCCTTGCGATGTCTGAAGATACCTTCCGGGCCCTGAATGATATGGGCGGCGATACCAATGTGGAAGTCGACGCGTGGGTGGTGAAGGGCGAGGCAATGCTGATTTGTGAAGAGTGGGAAGACGCAGTGCGGCTGGGTCCCATTGGCCCCGTAGGGGCGCAATGATGTGAACAGAGAAATAAGATCATGAGCCCAGCAGCGTCTGAATAAAACGCAGTGTAGCTGGATCACAACAAAGCAGCGGCCAGCCAGAAAATCTGACAGAGATACCGGGAACCTTCGGTCAGGGAAGGTACTACTTTGCAGATGCACCGAAGCATGCAAACCACTGCCATCGTGTCGGATTCTGTGGACTATCCTAGCGCGTTCTTGAATGCCACCAGCATCTGATACACGAGATCATCGTCGACATCCCAAGTTGCAAGAGTGCCTAGGACAAGGAAGGCGCGTAACTGGAATGCAGTTGATGTCGCTAGACTCATCCACTGTGCACGCCAGATATCGAGCAAGCCTAACACATTATGTTGAGCAGTCCACAATGCCAAGTGTTACGACTTGGATGGTATCTGTTGGCGACGCTCAAACAGAGCGTGTGTCGTCAATGGTCGAGGACGTCCTTGGGCTAGCCCAAGGTTAGGGGTCTTACTTGGCGAGGCTTCGGCAAGTAAGATTTGACACCTATGTCCAAATCGGGTAGCTTATGTCAAGTGGGTGCGAGACGATAAGCTAAATCGGCCTAGGCTTACGACACCCGAAGGTTAATTGTAAGATCGTCGTTAATTAGAAGGACGGAAGTCCGACTAGTTAACAGGGGCTTTGCTCGTTGATGAAGTCAATGAGTAAAGATCGAGACTATAGGCTTATCCGCGAGGAGCAGATAAGAAGATAGAATATAGACTGCTGGCGAGGCAGAAAGGATCACTCTGGTGAGAGTAGGAGGTCAAGAACCAAGTAGATTCAAGTTAGGGGATATGGTACATGGTAGCGAGTTTATATAGAGGACAGGAGACGTATTAGTGGGTGATAACTCATACTACCAGGAGAGGCAATCAGTAAAGGGTATAACCATAACAGGAAGGCACATTCGGTCGAGGTAGAACGTGCTAGATAAGAAAGTGAGTCAAAGATCGAAATAAGAAGTGAAACGCGCAGGGGCACGATCGTGCAGCTGCGGATCTAAGTATAAGTCGCATGTGTGACTGCGCACCGAGTCAGAGATCAAGAAAGGGAAAAGGGCAAAGGGGATGCGTTGTGCATCAGATCATAGGTTACCGTCCGGACGGTAAGGGCAAAGGGACTGTCCACAGGATCAGTCAGGTGGTGGAACGGAGCATGGGTATGCTTCGTCAGCAAAAGGGTCCGGCCAGATGTACTGGCTCTGCTGGAGCGACAAGTAGAGGGCGAAAGGGAATGCGAGGATGACAAGGATAACGAGGGTGAGGTCGGGGTAAGGGTATGATGCGAGGGCTGATACGAGGAGGATGAGGAGAAAAATAGTAGGGGCCCAAGCGTCTAGATGTTCTTGTAACACCTGGGGTTTGTACGAATGGACCGTCATGCCTATGGGCATATGGAACACACCAGCAGCACACCAACATCACATGTCCTCAGCCCTGCGACACTTGATTGGTAAAATTTGCCATGTGTACCTTGATAATATTATTATTTGGTCACAGATGCTGGAAGAACACAAATGAAATGTCCGCGGAGTTCTGAATGCTCTGCGAGCTTTGCTGTTCAACCTCAAGATTGATTTCCTCAGTCATCACATTTCCACACGAGGCATCGAGCCCGACAAGTCCAAGATCGCGCAAATTCTTGACTGGCCTACTCCTAGAAAGGCCAATGACATCAGAGCGTTTCTCGGCCTCATTCGCTACCTCGTGAATCACCTACCTGCCCTTGCAGATCATGCATGCATACTGACTCCCTTGACAATGAAGGCCGCAGAACTGGAATTCCCTCTCTGGTCCAACAAGCATGAGCAAGCCTTCCGTGCGATCAAGGACTTAGTGACAAGCCTGAAATGTCTTACCATGATCGACCACAATAATCCCGGCAACAACAAAATCTTCCTCACCTGCGATGTGTCCGATTATCGCATGGGTGCCATGTTGTCCTGGGGAGAGACTTGGGAGACTGCGAGACCTGTGGCATTTGATTCTACACAGTTACAAGAAGCTGAGTTGAATTATCCAGTGCACAAAAAGGAACTACTCGCCATCATTCGAGGTCTTAAGAAATGGCACATCAAACTGTTGGGACAACCAGCACAAGTGTACACGGACCACAGGACACTCGAAAATTTCGTCACACAAAAAGGCCTGTCACAGTGGCAAGCGTGCTGGGCCGAATACCTCGCACACTTTGACCTGACAATCTCGTACCTCAAAGGCGAAGAAAATACAGATGCAGATGCACTATCTCACCTACAAATTGACGACAGCCCAACAATCATTGCTGCAATCCCTACCTCTGTCCTTCAAATCGACCTCGACAAGACCTTCCTGAAAAATATCATCAATGGTTATGTGGATGACACCTTTTGTAAGAAACTGACCATGCTTGTAGGGTCCCTGCCAGGATTGTCCCAAAAGGACGGCCTCTTATTTGTTGTGGGTTGACTGGTCATTCCCCAAGTAAACCCCCTACAAGAACAGCTCTTCCACTTGGCACACGACGTGTCCGGTCATTTCGGGAGCGACAAAACATATGCTGCACTTCGGAGGTCATATTACTGGCCGAACATGCGCAGGGATCTCGTCGAGTCATACATACCAAGCTGTGTCGAATACATGCGGAACAAATTGTCCACATCCTCCGTTGCAGGTCCACTACATCCCTTGCCTGTTCCAGATGGACGGGGGGACTCAGTTGCGATTGACTTCATTGGCCCCCTCCCCGAAGATCATGGATACAACATAATCGTCACAATGATGGACCGTCTCAATGCTGACATATGAATCATGCCTTGTCATGACAATATCTCTGCAGAACAATTTGCTGCTGTATTCTTCAACCATTGGTACTGCAAGAATGTATTGCCATTGGACATTGTATTGGACCGTGATAAGCTTTTCCTCTCACATTTTTGGAAATCATTACACAAACTAACGGGCATTAAATTAAAGATGTCATCCTCGCATCATCCACAAATGGATGGCGCAAGTGAATGTACTAACAAGACCATTAACCAATGTATTAGATTCCATGTCGAACAAAACCAGAAAGGATGGGCACAAGCTCTACCGCATGTCCATTTTTAAATCATGAACTCCATCAACACCAGCACCGGAACATCGCCCTTCCAGTTGCATATCAGTTGTTCCCCATGCATCATACTCCCCCTAGCAAGAACACCCGCCACAGACTCACCAGAAGCAGAACACGCCCACATGCTCATCACACAGCTCGAAGCACGACGTGATGGAAGCCCAGGACAACTTGCTTGCAGCTAAGGCGACTCAGGCAACCCAGGTGAACAAGCAAGGGTGCCGGAACCAAAGCTCAAGGTGGGCGACAAGGTGACGCTGTCAACAAAGAACCAGCGCAGAGAATACATGCAAAAAGGTGATAAGCGTGTTGCTAAATACATGCCCAGATTCGACGGACCTTACATGATCCTGGAATCCCACCCAGAAATGTCGTCCTACATGCTCGACCTCCCGAATTCCCCAAACATATTCCCCACCTTCCACTCCTCACAATTGTGTTACTTCCATGTCAACGACACAACACTATTCCCATTGCGGGAGTTTCCAAGGCCCGGACCTGTCGGACCAAAGACGGACAGATGGAGAACTTCATTGAGAAGATTGTCCACAAAAGAAGGTCAGAAGAGGAAAACATTACCTCATGTGTTAGGTTGGTTGTGGTGCTGACAAAGACAAATGGCTACCTCGCCAGGATCTTGAAGATTGCAAGGCGCTGAACGTCTGGGAAGGGCAAAAGAAAGCTTCATAGGGTGGGAGGGTGTAAGCTGGACTTACACATCAAAGCATGTCATTGCTTAGATGTCGAACATTGATTGGTCACCGCATGTTGTTTACAGCTATTTTGTCTGGCTCCTATATATACTGCACCTGTATTGCATATACTACGCATTGCCTCTTAGTATCCTCCTTTAATCTCATACACTTCTACTTGTTACTCTTTGTCTGAACTTGAATGTAGTGTTTCTACCTTGGGGTAGTTTCCATTTACCCAACTTCACATGTTTTTCTTATTTTCAAGTTCACAGAAAGAATATATACCAATCAGACTTTTGTACACGCAGCTGGACTTTGGATTGTGCCTTTGAAGTCAACAAATGTGAACATGTTGAAAGGCTATGAGTATGTAGGATGAATGGCTGATGAATGGTAGACCCTCACACAGCGGGAGTCCTAGAAGGCCACATTCATGATAGGAGATGAACAACTGAACAATGTTTAAGACACCCCTACACAGCGGGAGTCCTGGAAGGCCACATTCATGATAGAAGATGTGCAACGAAACCCTGTTTAAGACACTCCTACACAGCGGGAGTCCTGGAAGGCCACATTTGATGATAGAAGATGTGCAACCAACCCCAGTTTAAGACACTCCTACACAGCGGGAGTCCTGGAAGGCCACATTCATGATAGAAGATGTGCAACGAAATCCTGTTTAAGACACACCTACACAGTGGGAGTCCTGGAAGGCCACATTCATGATGGGAGACGGTCAACTGAACAATGTTTGAGACACCCCTACACAGTGGGAGTCCTGGAAGGCCACATTCATGATGTGAGATGGTCAACCAAATCATGGTTGAGACACCCCTACACAGTGGGAGTCCTGGAAGGCCACATTCAGACCATGGCATATATCTCTGAGAGAGGCTCCCTCAGGGGACTGCTAGGATTACTGGTGCTACGCTGACATCTCACACAGGTGATTATGATGGGATTGAGCAAGGAAAGACACACAGTAGGCCTGGTATGACCATGGCATATATCTCTGAGAGAGGCTCCCTCAGGGGACTGCTAGGATTACTGATGCTACGCTGACATCTCACACTGGCGATTATGATGGGATCGAGCAAGGAAAGACACACAGTAGGCCTTGTAAGACCATGGCATATATCTCTGAGAGAGGCTCCCTCAGGGGACTGCTAGGATTACTGGTGCTACGCTGACATCTCACACTGGCGATTATGATGTAATTGAGCAAGGAAAGACACACAGTAGGCCTGGTATGACCATGGCATATATCTCTGAGAGAGGCTCCCTCAGGGGACTGCTAGGATTACTGATGCTACGCTGACATCTCACACAGGTGATTATGATGGGATTGAGCAAGGACAGATACAACCTGTAGGCTGCGTGGGTGGACAATGTGAGACAGCTCCCTCAGGGAGCCATACCCTTCACAGGAGGTCACCATGCACATGCATATCCCACCACATTCAGCAACACCACTAGCAATCAATTGTCTCGAGACATTAAGGCCTGTATGATAGCTGGAACACAAGCATGTACGCAAAGATGATTTTCACCGATAATCAATTAATAAAGCATTCAATCAACCCTCACCAACCATTATGCAGTGTCAGATCCAGACTCCTCCTCCTCTTCCCTCATGTAGATGCGCATGGGAACAGGCGGTACATTGTCAACCCACTCTGTGTCTGGCACATAGTCAGGATCATGGACTGTTTGTTCCTCTTCCTCTTCTTCCTGCTCCTGGAGTGCATCTCCAGTGACATGTTCAGGCACCCATCTCGGAGGTTGCCTGCTAGGGTTAATGAGCAGGTGAGGAGCAGATGATTTGTAAGTGGATGTAAGGGTGGTGAAGGCAGAGTCTTCTGTGTATTTCCACAGACGGTCATTGTATGGCTTGGGAATCCAATATAACTCCTTGAAAAGAGCCCAGTACTTAGTCCTGATGGCATCAATGACGTGAGCTGGTTTGTCTCTCTTCATATCCGCCCACTCCATCCAGTATGTCATGTTGGGATAATTCTGGGGTTGAAGACGAGGTGCCGTGCCAGGAGGGATAAAAAACTGATCGAATGCCTCGCGCCATTCCAGAGGATGTGCTCGTTTCCACTGGACACGGTTAAAAATGAGAGCAAGGTTGGTCTCTCTGTAAATGTCATCCGTGACGACCAGACGTTCGTGCATGCTGAGACGGCAATGGGAAGGGGCCAATGGGTTGCCCTTCATGTTGCCACATTTCTGAAGGACATCGCTACAGAATTGGTTCCAATGCTTCGTGATGGTGACGGCAAATGCCTCGTCAAGACCTGGAGGTAAGTCAAGTCGTTCATCGAAGGGCAAATCATCACCAATATCTTGTGGTGGACGAGGGGCGTGATATTCCAGGTCGGCAAAAGCAGCAGATGGCTCGGGAATGTCTGCCTTGTGGCGTTTGGACATGCCTTTCTGTGTGTTGACCCTAGATTTTGGAATCATACTGCGAGGGATGTATGCTGTGGGGTGGTATCTGTTGCGGAGCACGTTGAAATCACACCCGAAAAAATACTTATAGGAGGTATGGCTGATGACATTGGTCCGTTTCATGCGTGGGACGTCTGCGATGGGGGGGAACACCATCTCGCGTAAGAAGAAGGCACCATGAGCGCAGAAAGGAAGGCCATCATGATTATCTATGTGGTGCTGGCGAGGTACAATTTGAATGCCGTCTGCATCATAATCATGCGTGACGGGGAGAATTGCACACATTAAATCCCGTGCAGCTGAACCATCGTCAGGACGAGAGTGCAGACCATTGGCAAGCCACATGAGTCCTGCGGTGAGAGTGAGGGCAGGGGAAGTGAAACGGAGCTCAGGCGGTCCTTGGTTCTGTAGCCTTAAGGTGCGGATGATGGATTGGAGGCGGACACATCTCCATTGCCTGTTGTGGAAATGAGTGTCAATGAATGAATGTGATGCACATGATGGATGGAGGCAAGGGAACGACAGGCAGCTCCCTGAGGGGACTGGTGTGCAGTGCACATCCTTGCACGATGTGAAGCTGCTGACAGGGTCCCATAAGGGACCGTGCATTGACCAAGCTGATGTCTCGCGCGCATCGATTGGCCTGCAGCTTCCATCACACGGACGGGTCCCTGAGGGGACTGGAGATGAACAGGCCGACTCACCACCAATCCAAACGTGGAAAGACACATAAAGTCTCTGTCATCAGCCACCCGGGAAAGTCAAGTGCATGAGTCAATGCATCTCTCGCACGAATGCGCACCTCCACCCTCGCGGCACAGTCGTGGACGTCCTTAGCATCGTAGTAGAGCTCGAACAAGTGTTTCAAGTACGGCGGTGTCACCTCGTCCAGTGCAGCCTTGCCAGTGAGGACCAAGCCATGTCTGCCACCATCTTTTTGTTGAATGAGAGCCTTATCTGTTGTGTAGGCCTGGAAATAGACTGGATCTGTGTTGTTGCGTGGAGGGATGGAGACGCGACATCCGGCGAGTTGTATTAAGCCGGAAGAGTAATCAACAGCATAATCGCGAGACTTCAGCAAGGACCTGGTTTGAGCCCCAGTCATCTGGGTAAAAGCCAGGAGAAGCTCACGGTGAGCATCGGTGCGCCATTGAAATGCATATCCTGGCTCGGACAGCTCGAGGCCAACATCGACATAACAATGCTCTTCATCCATCAGTTCGTCAAAATAAAAATCACTGAGAGTATTGGCCAAAGCATCCTCTGCCCTATCCATGTCATCAGGATGATGTTGGTGAGCCTCTTTCACCCCTTGGAGCTGGACCATAAAGAGCATCCCTTCTGCCCATGGAAAAGCGGTAACCATTTCTTCGACGAGGTCGTGTCCGAAACGCCTGACTCGAGAGCCAGAGAAAGGACGAGTGCTGTACTGAAACATTCCACGAGTCTTCCTTGCACGTGTCTGTGCACCCTCATAGTTGACAGGCCAATTTGTCACGGTATCTGGACTGAGGTTCCGAAGGACTGGCAGCAAACCCTTTTCGTACAGGGCTTTCTTCTCCTCGAATGTCAACTCCACGTCCTTCCTCTCTGGGTCATACAGTCGCGGGAAGAACAAACGGACTTTGGTACGGATGCCAGCTGCAGCCAAACAAATGTTGGGAATGCGATGTGGAGGCATAGGTGTGTCTGCCTGATGGGTGTGCGACAGGGAGGCACAGGTATACATTAGAGTGATATCAAATAGAAGACGAGGAGAATGTACCTGTCCGTCCTTGATGCTCATTGGCACCTTAAAATGAAGACTAGAGTGCAAGGTGTCGACTGGATTGTTGATGGGGTATAGGAACAGATCTGCCTTGACAGGTAGCCAGTTGGTGAACGACAAGAAGCTATCATAGTCCCTGACGACAGTGACTTCCCTGGGTGCCTGGAATTTGTTCCGCGTGGCCTCGATAGAGTACTGGATATTCTCAAGAATGTCTTTCCCGGTGAGGCCCAGGATGCAGCCTCGGTAGTATTCCCCTAAAGGAAGGTCGGGGCCAGCAATGATTTCGATGTAGGTTGAATTAAAATCACGGAGAGAACATCCGTCGATTGCTGGTGGGTTGTTGGTGTCGTCCTGCATGGTGGAAGTATGATGGATGGGATGTGATAGTATGATACTTGAGTGCGGAAAACTTTGCGATTGTCGAAGGGGACGGAGCTATATAGTGTCAGACCCTGATGATTTAAGAAAATTTACTTTAGGGTTTACATCCTTCATCCAGGGTAGATCATTAAAAATTAGTTCACCGTGCTTGAATGGGATCCGGGAAATGAATCCCTACATTGCTTGCCGTAATAATGTGCATAGGTATACACTAACTCTAAAAAATATGACAGCGGAAGAGATTAGACCTGCCTAGGATGAGGCAAGCGAAGCGAACGGAACGGAAGCGAACAAGGAAATCACATTTGCCTGGGTATCAGATGACAGTGAAGTTAATTAGTAATTGGCGCATTGTAACTCAATGAGTCTTGAGTGGGATCAAACCTGACGACCACGACACTAACATCGATGGTGAGTGCGATGTATTTTGCAGTCCCCTGAGGGAGCCGCACGTGCAATGGTAAGGTAGACCTTGAGGAAACGTCACGTGATCAGTGTGATCACGCGTGACATAGCCATGAATATGTGTACAGGATATTAATTAGAAAAGGATATACACAATATAGCACACGGGACACGAAGAGTTAAAGTGCGATGTAGATCTAGACTGGTGGGTGCTACGTACGTTGCAGTCCCCTGAGGGAGCCGCACGTGCAATGGTAAGGTAGACCTTGAGGAAACGTCACGTGATCAGTGTGATCACGCGTGACATAGCCATGAATATGTGTACAGGATATTAATTACAACAGGATATACACAATATAGCACACGGGACACGAAGAGTTCAAGTGCGATGTAGAACTGGACTGGTGAGTGCGATGTATTTTGCAGTCCCCTGAGGGAGCCGCACGTGCAATGGTAAGGTAGACCTTAAGGAAACGTCACGTGATCAGTGTGATCACGCGTGACAGTTTGGTGTAATCAATGTCCTGTACACATATGGTAAGGTAGACCTTGAGGAAACGTCACGTGATCCGTGTGATCACGCGTGACATAGCCATGAATATGTGTACAGGACATTGATTACACCAAACTGTCACGCGTGATCACACTGATCACGTGACGTTTCCTTAAGGTCTACCTTACCATTGCACGTGCGGCTCCCTCAGGGGACTGCAAAATACATCGCACTCACCAGTCCAGTTCTACATCGCACTTGAACTCTTCGTGTCCCGTGTGCTATATTGTGTATATCCTTTTCTAATTAATATCCTGTACACATATTCATGGCTATGTCATGCGTGATCACACGGATCACGTGACGTTTCCTCAAGGTCTACCTGAGATGCCGAGAGAGTTGTCCGGACATTTACCAATGGTCGAGTTGGAGATTGAGAGTAGTGTGATGAGTGCGGGACATACCTGACGATGTGAGTGATATGCTGCCCACACATCGGTCCCCTGAGGGAGCTGCGAGCACACATGGGGGGATAGCAGGGAGCAAGCAATTCCTCAGTTCTCACTTTCGACAGTTGGCAAATAGCAGAGACGGAATCATATTGCTGCTACATCGTTTGACATCAAACTAAGTAATCACAACAGAGTCCCAACTACAACTAGACAAGCAACTAAGCAACGCGTATGGCATGAATGTGAGTAACGACTAAACGAGCGAATAACGAGGAGCACGGAGATACGAACGTCAACGCCGGCCACCACGACCTCTTGCACGTCCACGGCCTGACGAACCACGAGCTCCTCTTGGCCCTGGCGCGTCATCAGGAACCGCTGCTCGGCTGCTGAGAACACGGGCGTCTCTTGAACTACTGCCACTACCACCGGCCTCAGCTGGACTTGATGTAGCTGACGAAGCTGCGAGGAAATTAACCTTTTTCCGTGGTGGCGATGGAGCGAAGGGTGGACTGCTGGGCGTCGCAGTAGCTGAGGAGGCCGTCCTGCGTCTGCGTTTGGATGCAGTTCCGAGATCTTGTGTCGGTTGTGAGGTTTCGACGACGTGTGCTGAGGGCTGGGTGGGGAGAGAGCCAGTATGAGCCTCGGGAATTGACTCGGGTTGAGTAAGGTCGACGAGCATTTGATTCACAGTAGCCCTGTCCTGCGAATCGATGTCAATGATGGCCATGAGAATGTGCATGAACAGGGAAAGTCTTACCTCTGCAGATCGTTGAGTGCTGCCATTGTCCATCTGGACATCACCATCATTGGCAGGGACGGGCACTACATCATCTCCGTAGTCGAAATCGCCCTGTGCATCAAGATCCATAGTGTCAATATCAGCAACAACATCAGCCAAGCGTGTATCAGCGGCTGGGAATCACACAGTGAGTTAAATGAGCTTGAGGAGAGCGCCGGATTGAGACTTACACATGTCCTGGCGGGTGGGTGAAGGGTCGAGCTCCTCAACGGCTCCCTGAGGGGACTGCATGCCTTGCGAATGAAAGTCGTCAGCAGCAGGGAGAGACTGATCAGCGTGTATGGAATCAGCTGGTCTACTGCCAATCGGAGAAACCGGCTCCCTGTGGGGACCGTGAGGTGTGGTGGAGGCACTCTGGGTGGGATCAATCACCGGCTCCCGCTGGGGACCGGATGGTGACGCCTGCACATCGCCAGCCTCATGATGAGTGGCGCCTGCTGATGACGGTGGTGCAAGACTCGGCTCCCTGTGGGGACCGTCAGTCGTCATGGCGACAGAGCTGCTGCCCTTGCTGATGGGCTTGACTGGATGTAAGGTATGAGTTGACACCATGTGCACAAATACAAGGCGACGTACCTGAAACGTAGAAGGGACGGGACGACATCTCAACGTCACTTGTCGCGCCCTCAGCAGGAGGAGCAACGGCAGGAGCAGGCGCATCCTCAGGAGCAGGGGTATCCTCAGCAGTAGCCTTACCCTTTCCCTTACCCTTGCCTTTTGGCTTTGACTTTGCCTTGGGCTTCGGTTTCGCGGGTGCCTTGTCCTTAGCGTTGTCCTTGGCGTTGTCCTTAGCGTTGTCCGTCGCTTTGTCCTTAGCCTTGCCCTTGCCCTTGGCCTTGGCCTTGCTTTTGGCCTTGCCTTTTCCACTCGTTCCGGCCTCTTGCTCGTCATCCTCGTCGTCGTCGTCGAACACGATGTTGTCGAGGTCGATGAACTCGCCAGATTCGTCTCCGGTCCGCGCGAGATTGCGTGCAGCAAGTTTTTTGCTGCCCTTGGCAACCTTTTTGCGCGTCTTGCTGGGTCCGGCTGCTGCTGGGCGTGTTTCGACGATGGACACTTCGTCGTTGTCGTTGTCGTCGTCGTCAGGAACGGGCAATTGGCCAGCTAACGCGTTCTTGATGGTGTTGACAACACCTATTCACCAGCGTAAGTATAGAGAAGTCAACTGTCAATATCTCGCGCCTTACCTTTATTGGCAGAGAGAAACTGCCCCAGCATATTGCCCTTGCCCTCACCATGGTCGACCATCAAGACGTCCACGGTGCCCAACGCCACCATGTTATACACGATGACTTCTTTCTCCTGGCCCAGACGCCAGGCTCGCCCGATGATTTGATTTACGAGCATTCGAGACCAGCATTGGTCCTGTGGGTAAGTGAGTGCGTGGTAATGGCCTGAATAATCAGTCAACACTCACGAAGAGAATGACGACGCTCGCAGCAGTAAGATTAAGACCAACTGCACCAACGCTAGAAAAGATCAGGATCCTCGCCGTCGGGTCTGAGTGAAACTTTTGCACGGTCTCGTTGCGTTCGTCGATGCCGTGTCCGCCGTGGATGATCAGAGGACTGATGTTGTATAGCTTGAGGACTGAAATGATGAGCGGGGCCATCATCGGGAATTCGATGTAGACGAGGATTTTGCGTGTTCCCTTGCTCATAAGGTCAGTCATTTCGACATAGCGGTCAGTGGTCGTGGGAGGGACGGGAGTTTGTTTGTCGATGGGTTGCGCGAGTTGATTGGGTGGGGGTGGAGAGTTTAACATATTGCCCTCGGTACCTACGTCTTCGTCGTCGACCTTGAATATATCGTGTTCGTCGTTTTCGAGGTGCCACCCGAGCACGTTGACCAACGTGTCAACCTTCGAGGACTTGACCGTCTGCCATTCAGCGAGGGACTTAACAGCAGGATAGGTGGGCGACGTGTGATGGGGGAACGCGACCTTTGTGCGGCCATCGAGGTAAAATTTCTGCGGACTCGTCAGTGGGCAGCTCCCTGAGGGGACTGGCAACATACCGTGTTAAAACTGGCACTATCATCCAGTGTTGCGACTAACGATCTGTACGACGAGGTGAGATAAATGTCAGTGGATACGCGCAGTCCCCTCAGGGAGCCGTCAACTTACGAGCCGGTGATCTGAGCCATGACGCTTTTGTTGATGTCCAGCTCCGTGTCGTCCAAATGCACAGGTACGATGATCATTTTGTAGGGCGTGAGGGTGTCGTTGATTTTCTTGTTGTCGAAAGTCTTGGAATCGACGGTGCGTCGAATCACCCGCCCAGCGTAGCCTCGCTTAATGTTAGTGATCCAGGCACTCGTTACCTTGCGTATGCGCAGCCTGGCTTCAGGCTCCTCGTCGTCGGTTGGTTCACCGGCCATCAAACGAATGGTATGTGCGGCAGCGTCATTCTTATCCTCCTGCGTCATCGCTCGACGTGCAGCACGAAGTTGCTTGATGTGATCTTTATCACGCGCGTCGCCCTCCTTGCCCATGAAGTGCTGGATCCGCGCTAACCGACCTATATTGCAAAGATCCTGAAAAAGGAGTGAGTCAGTGCTAACTAACCATGTTTCATGCTGAGACTTACCATCGGGCCGGTGTAGAGTGGAGTGCCTGATGCGAGTAATTTAATGACGGAGGCCTTCGTGACCTCGAGTGTCGCGTAAAAACCTGCAGTAAGGTTGCGCATCTCGTGGACTTCGTCGATCGAAACGCTGAGGAATTCACGTCCGGCCCACAGACATTTCGATGCTTGTTTCCGTTGTCTGATGGAGCGTGTCTCGTCCGACGCCTTGTGACTGTTGTGTCCTGCGAGGCCTTTGCGTGTGTCGAACACTTTGCCTAAGGTAGCCATGATCTGGCGTGAAGTATGCTGTTAGAATAGAATTGTGAGGGCAAACTGATCAGACTCACGGAATGAGTGACCAAGATGATTCGATGAATCAATGGCGTGGCCGACGTGGCCCATGGACCGTTCCAGAAATCGCCAAACTCACTTTCTGCTGACGGATACCTGTAGATCTCGACAGCTCCGGGGGCGAAGAAGGTGCGTAGCTCCGAATACCATTGATTGATCAAGGAATTCGGCACGATGATGACGTGGGGCAGGTTCGGGATTGCATCTCTGCCTGCAAAATACGGGCGTTCGGCTGTGAGGGAGAAATCACTGGTGAGCTACCATTCTTTGACTAGGATCAGCAGACGGCTCCCTACGGGGACCGCAATCACACCCGTTGTCCAACAGGTGCCCACTCCTACAGCATCTCCCTCAGGGGACTGCTGTCACACCCGTTGTCCAACAGGTACCCACTCCTACAGCATCTCCCTCAGGGGACTGCTGTCACACCTGTTGTCCAACAGGTACCCTACAGCATCTCCCTCAGGGGACTGCTGTCACACCCGTTGTCCAACAGGTGCCCACTCCTACAGCATCTCCCTCAGGGGACTGCTGTCACACCCGTTGTCCAACAGGTGCCCACTCCTACAGCATCTCCCTCAGGGGACTGCTGTCACACCCGTTGTCCAACAGGTGCCCACTCCTACAGCATCTCCCTCAGGGGACTGCTGTCACACCCGTTGTCAAACAGGTGCCCACTCCTACAGCATCTCCCTCAGGGGACTGCTGTCACACCCATACGTCAGATCGTTCTGCCGTACTCATGCTGGACACAAGACTCGTGTCTCACCCAGCAACGAGCAACGGCTCCCTCAGGGGACTGTTACACCAGCAACCAGCAACGGCTCCCTACGGGGACCGGATCCATCATCCATCCACGACACCCACGCGTCCGTGACACTGACGGCTCCCTCAGGGGACCGTTTCATAAACAGGACACTCACCGAGGATGGGGGCTGGGCGAAGGTTGGTCAGGTTGATACTTGCAGTCGCCCCGGCAGGTTTTCCTCGTCCGGCAGCGACTTCTTGAACCCAGTAAGCATCGATGACGAAGGCGATGGTGCCCATGGTGAGTGCTGTCTTCCCAACGCCTACTTCGTCCGCTATTAAAATTCCCGGAGTGTTACCTTCGTTTAGCGCAGACCCCCATATCTTGTCGACGATCGCCGCGACACCTACTCGCTGGTGCCACAGGAGGAACAATGGCTCCATATCTTCGTTCTCCCTCACGAACGTCGATGCCGCATCTGCATCCCAGGCACATAGTCCCGTTTTCGACCGCAATTCCGCAAAGAGTGCGGGCTTGCCACCGGGAAACTGAAGTAAGTGGTTTAACTTATCATTATCCATCTCTCGCCAGCCATCTACCCCAAGATCCTCGCAATTGTTGTCCCAGTCGTCTCTTCCGATAGGTTCGTCCTCCTCGTCTACTCTTGGCGCCTCTAACTCGCCAGGTTCAGTTTCGAACAGCTGCACATACAGTGCCCAGATCTCCTCGACATCCCCAGGCGCAACGAGCGACGCAGTCTTGATCTTGCGTGCTCGCTCAGCACCACGCTTTCCTGCAAAGTGTCGTCAGAGTCGGTTTTATCGATGGCTCCCGTAGGGGACCGGAGCATCACGCACTGCCAGGTGTGTTGTCAGTCTTCACCGTTACCTTCTCCTTCGTAACCTTCCTCGATTTTGCCACAGCAGTGACAACGACCTCCTTCAAAAACTCCTCGTACTCGCCAACTTGGTCTTCCTCATCCGGGAACCACGCCACGGCCGTCCTCAGAGCTTTGACGGCCTTGGTGGCATCACGCAACATCTTCGCGCCGACTTCGTCCGCCTCCTCGATGTCTGCCTCTAGGTTAGTTTATCTTTCCGGTCATCGTCGTATTCTTACCTTTGATTGCTACACTAGCAGCAAGTTTTTTCGTGGGCAACGAGTCCTGGGCACGTCTGAAACGCTTACGATGGCGTTCCCATGCGTGGTGGTTGATCGTCGTTGCTGCATCGCAAAAATCACCGCGCGGGAGCTGTTCGTTGGCGTGGTCCCCCAAGATCCCAGCCAGAACGTCTTCTTTGGCATGCTCAGCGTCCAGGATGTTCGGAAACTCAACCCCCTCCTCCAGCCCGTCGTGAATCAGCTGCATCGGTGAGACGCCTATCGAGTGCCAGACATCATCAATACGCTTAGCTAACTTAGATGAAATTTTTTGTTTATTGAACCAGATCGATAAAGCCTCGCGTCCTGCGCTCCATCCTCCCTCGCTCTTGCCTTCCAGCACTTTGTACCGTGCGTCTGCTGTCTTCCTCTGCGAGATCGCGTCGATCATCGCGCACAACGACTCCCACTGATTCTCGGTTAGGTGCTTATTCGGGACCTGGAACATTTTTTCGTCCAGCCCGAACAAATCTTCCAGCGTGCCGCTCTCGTCGTCAAAAATCCAGCTCTTGCCGGACAAGAGAAGCATCAACATTGCGCTTCGTAGATTCTTACTCATGGTGAGAAAATTCTGTGTCTGTCAGATCAGTTGCTCATGTCAGTGGTTGCCCAGCTGCTCCAGTAGACGTACTGGTATGGGTGTTTGGGTGTGTGGTTGGCTGGTGTTTTGCTGCTATGGTGGGCTGTTCGTACGTCGGACGTTCACTACTTTTAACCTATACATTTTCCAATATCATTTACACGAAAATTTATTTTTTTTCAGGGTCGTGGTGATTGTGCCCTGCTACATCATCCTCATGGTGCGTTCGGGCATTACATTGTCTAATATGGGTGAGTGGCGACGCAGCGTGCGTCTAATTTCCACCTCGAGGCTCTGACTGTTGCATGTCTCGGCTCCCTCAGGGAGCTGCCTCACTCGATGATCGTTCATATCTGTCCCGTTGGGGTATGGTCGAATACTGGTGAGATCACGCTTCTATGTCAGGCATTGGCTGATATAGATGTTCTTTCTGGGCAGGGGGTATCATTTGTGATGATCGCTCGGGCACAGAACCACGGGCATGAAACGCATGTCAGCTTCCCGACTGACACCATCACAAATGGGGCAAGAGAAGCACTGCCTCATGCGCACCAGGAGCAGACGGCTCCCAATGGGAGACGCTGCGATGCGCAGCAGGCGCTTCTCTTGCCCCATTTGTGATGGTGTCAGTCGGGAAGCTGACATGCGTTTCATGCCCGTGGTTCTGTGCCCGAGCGATCGTCACAAATCATACCCCCTGCCCAGAAAGAACATCTATATCAGCCAATGCCTGACATGACATGAGGAGTTCGATAGGAAGTAGATAGGATGTAGATAATCAATTATATGTAACTGTTCGATCACAATGTTCCTGCACATCAGTATCTACTGATGTGATCACCATTATCACATATTCACTGAGCTAACAAACGACACGACTTACATTAGATATCACCCAGTAGTATCTACTTGTATACAACAGTGTAAAACTACATAGTCGCCTCAGCAGAGAATCACAGCAATACGCGCAGTCCCCTCAGGGAGCCGTTCAATCCCAGCAGGACAGTCGTACCATCAGTCTCACAGCTATAACGGCTTCTCCTTGGCGTACACTTACATTACATATCCCTCAGTAGTATCTATTAGTCTACGACAGTGCTTAACTACACCGTGACCTCCATCCAGGATCACAGAAATACACGCAGTCCCCTCAGGGAGCCGTTCAATCTCACCAGGATAGTGGTTCAAAAAGCACGTGAGTATCTCTCACGGTCACGTGAGCACGCTGGATAATCGTCAACATCCTATGATCTGTGCAGTCCCCTGAGGGAGACGGTCGTAATACAGGGAATGGTAGATACAACGAGCGAACGTAGTATATTTCTGCATGCTGGTCTGACATGCTGACACAGACGCAGTCCCCTGAGGGAGCCGCAAGTACTGACTGAGAATGTAAACTACACACAAGGGACGTCTGTCATAGCAATATAGAAACGGTCCCCTCAGGGAGCCGCACATGCTGGACGTCCATGTGCACAACGTGTATTGCTCTATGACACGGGTGAGTGCAGCACATCGACGGTCCCCTGAGGGAGCCGGTGCTGGTCACAGTGCAACGATACAGCCATGGCCTTCCAACCATAAGTCGCCCAAAAAAGGAAAGTAGTCAGCCACCTGCCGCAATTTAAACCCTAAGTTAGGGTTAGGGTCTCAAGCATTGAGCCATCCATCTACGAAACCTACGATCATCTATCAACCCTAACGATATGAAGCGTAAGCGTTGGCGAAAACCTCGTCAGGATCGGGCTTGACTTTGCTTGATTTTTGATGTTTGCATTTTCATCAGAGTAGAATCAACTTGATTATGTAAGCAGAAGTCGCGCTTGGAACGGTTCTATCGGCGGAGTTTCAAGAGGATCTGACGCAACACACCCACATATTGTATCGAACACATGTGATAATCTTATTATATCTGCACACCGTTTCTCTTGACCCCAATGGCGGGTTCTACGAAATCATTATTTATTTATTTAATTCATTGTATGATTTATCTAGCTCTACATGTTCTTCCAGTTGTGTCAGATTGTGACGCTGCGCCAGTATCTGGTTGTGACACAGTTGTCTGCCTTCTCTGTCACTTACACTTCAACCACCACCACAGTCCAAAACAATTGCAGGCAACAAGGTCTGAAATGCAGCTGGCGTCCAACTTGACGTCAGACGCATTAACCACTAGACCATGATGCTGAAATCTCAAGCAAAGTAATTCTATGATGAAGGTTGGGGACAATTAGAGGGCGCTCTATATTGACCAACATATTTTTATTCTGAGAGAGAAATATTTCTCTGTATAGAGAGACTTTTCTGTACAGAGAAGTCATTCTCTCTCGAAAAAGTCTTTGCGTACGGCGGGTGCCCCCTCTGTACAGAGATACTTTTCCCTACAGAGAGGTGTGTTTGGTGGGTAGGCGGCACCCTGAGATTGGGATGGCAGAAGGTGGAGGATATTATGGACGCCAGATATGTTATTATTATTACCGTTGTCGTTGTATTTGTCATACTGTATATTATTATTACCGTTGTCGTTGTATTTGTCGTACTGTATATTGTATATTATTATTACCGTTGTCGTTGTATTTGTCGTACTGTATATTATTATTACCATTGTTTTTGTATGTATCATACTCCATGTTATTACTACTGCTATCGTTGTACTCATCGTATTGCATATTATCACTACTGCTGTGGTTGTATTCGTCGCCCCGTATAGTACTAAAACTGTTGTATATATATATCTTGTAGCCTAGCGTGTGGAGGTTGAATCAGTCCAATACCTCTACTCCATGTATGTACTAGTTTCAGATGTGGCAGTTTCCGGCCGTAACTTGCAGTAGACAGCCATGACCAACTCCTCTGTGCAGAGACAACTTGACTGTACAAAGGGGTCCAACCCATCCCCTACTGCTTACCAGACGCGTCATCCACTCGACCATGATGCTCAGATATCAGGCCAGAGACTTCATGTAGTGCAAGACTCACACATGAAGAAGGTAAAAATCTGGTCTTACGGCACGAAACGTTAAAGGGGCTACTGAGCGAATAGAGTGAGGCTGAGCATATTGTAGTGAATCCTAATATCAAACTTAGTGACTATATAATATGTACCTAGAAAGACTGATTAAAACGATGTTGTACATATGCACACACATACTATCTTAATGCAATTAATGAACTATATGTATACTGAAGACAATATTAATTACAATGAACAATCTACTTCAAATATCTCGTTTTAGCCGCCGTTGGAACGGTCTGAACGGCTACCATATTGGGGGTTGACCTGTGATAGACGCCGTTCAGACGGTCTCCATGGCGTGTGTTACACGCTCAATACTATTTTAATGCAATAAATTGACTATATGTATACTGAAGACAATATCAATTAAAAGGGATAATCTACTTCAAATATCTCGTTTTAGCCGCCGTTGGAACGGTCTGAACGGCTACCATATTGGGGGTTGACCTGTGATAGACGCTGTTCAGACGGTCTCCATGGCGTGTGTTACACGCTCAATGTTTAGAACGTTTATGCTGTACGTGCTCTATGACCTCGACCTCAGAATCAGACTCAGGGTGGGGTGCTGGTCGTTTCTTCAATGCGATAGATGACATCGATGGATGATTGGTGTATGTCCCTGTGGTAGTGCCTAGTTCGACGGCTTTGTCTAGACCGAAGAACATGACAGCTATCTTAAATGGTCCGTATTGACGGTCTTGCAGACAGGCCATGATCTCTTTGTACTTTGCGCTCAATTCCTCCTGGGTGAGCAATATCCAATCAGACAGAGGGACACCACCCTTGAAGATGCGGCTGGAGCGAGCTCTAGCCAGGCCCATTCGTACGAGATTCAAGGAGCCTATGCCTTTTGCGCTGTTCTTCGAGTTCCACTGGGTCGGGAATGCTTTTTCTTTGAATAGTAGTCGCGCAATGGACTATCTCGCTCATACACGGAGATAATGTAGGCAGGAACCATGGCGATGAACTGGGGCCTCCAAGTGCTTCCTTTTCTGCTGCCTTTATTGGGCGTCCAGGGCAGCGATCTCACAGCGTTGGTGGTAGAGCGTTCACTGAGAAGCTTCCCGTTGTCAGGCTTGTCCTTGGGATCCCAGAACACGTCTGGCAAAACGTGACTGAAGTAGATTCCTGCGAGCAAGGCAATCTTGTGGAGAGGCTTGTCTCTGTCGAAATTGGCGAAAGCCCATTCATAGATCTCAGTCAGAATGGCATCTCCATTGAATTCGATGTGCTCCAGACTGAATTCGTCGGGCAGACTGTCTCTGGCGAAGAAGTCAGGAAGAGACTGAAGCGTGATAGATTCAACTGCCCATGGGGCTCGAGCATCTGATGCTTGTGCTTTCTTTGCAGCCTCAGCAGCCAAGTCAACGGGTTGAGTGTTGGCTCGAGCGATGGCCGATGATGTATGGTCGACCACAGCAGACTTCCCTAGATTGATCCAGGAGTCATGAGCTGCCTTTCGAGATGGACGTCCTCTGCCTCCTGCATGCGGGGCGTGCCATGGGACATGCTGAATTTGAAGATGATTTGCAGCGATGATATAAACTTCGCTGTATGCATTCTCGGCAGCAGCAGGAGAATGAGATGGAGCGTACTTGAGCATGCGAGCATAGGCGATGCGAAAGACAGCAGTGGAAGGAGCAGTGAAAATGAGTGGAGCAGCGACAGAAGAAGGAGATTCGACACGAGTCATCTTGCAGATGTGAGCTGCGAAGTCTTGTACGCTCATCTTCTCCTTGGAGGAATTAGGAAGACCGTCAGAGAAATCGCTGGGGTCGTGGACGATGCAGCGTAGAAGGTGCTCATAAGCTTTGTCTTTGTAACCGAGAGGATGCTCGCAAGCCAGCCATTTCTGCAGGGATTTGAGACGGTCCTTGTCTCTGTTGGGCCTTTGTTGGTCCGAGTCAACGTCCTCGCCGTTTGCGGAGCATTCTTTCTTGACTGCGGTCGCAACGAGGGCCTTGACGTCCGCCAGGTAGGAGCGTAAAGCGACCAATGCGATGACAATACAGTGACGTTCCTGGGTTGAATATTGGAGGAAGACATGGGGCGAGAGCTTGTTGATAGACAGCTCTATGTGGAATGCAGCTTTGTAGGCCTTCAGGAGGGGGTGAGAACAATGGAGGGGAGGAATTGAGTGGCTGATAGAGCGACATACCTCAAAATGATCTAGTCCGTAAGTCAGGACTTGAGACCTCCTGGATGCGATGGCTGGAACGTTGAGGTTATCCAAAGTGGGCCAATCTGCAGCGCTGATGATGATGGGATTGTTGACAGCGGTAGTGATACGAACGGAAGGGAAAAGGTAGGAAGTCCCTGCTCGAGGAGGCTTTGAACGAGCCACAAGGGTCTCATGAGCTTTGTGGCGAGGACCCTGGCGTTTCCGGTATGAGCGAAAGCAAGGGTGCGTTCGAGGACAGAACATAGTTCAATGGCCTCGTGCCTAGGCTTGTTGCCAGCCTCGAGGATGGGAAGATGATAAGCCCACAAGCGTTCGAGAAGGGATGTTATGCCGAAGGTGGTCCATTGATAAATCTGAGGAAAAGCCTTGAAAAGGGGGGAGAAAGATTAAAAGGACAGAGTCAATTTAAATTGAAAGGAACGAAGGAAAGCAGACCTACATGGGAGGCAAAGACACATATATGAGGACGGAGGGCTTGGAAATATTTGGATAGACCAAGCACGGGCGAGGGGAACGATGATGTCCTTATAAATGGAGCTGAAAAAAATTAATAATATATATAAATATAGGTCAGGCATAGGAAAGGAGGACGAAAAGGAAGAGGACTGCGAAAGAAGGAAATGAGAAGAAGACCTGACATGATGCCATTTAATGCCTCAGGCTTGAGAGAATCGCACTGAATGATGTAGATGTTCTCGAGACGCAATGCACGTGGTACGTCGTCGTCGCCGATCTTGTTGTCATATCGTTGGTGAGGGAGGCTCATCTTACACTCGCGGACTCTGGCGTTATGAGTGACCTTAGTGGGAGGGTTACCATAAGCACCTGCGAGAGCGGATGTAATACGACCCTGCTGGACGTCATGAAGGGCTGGCTGAGGGGACGAATGCGATGAGAAATCTCATTGTAGAACTGACAGGCACTGGGAATAATGACTGGAGGCATGCCAGCGTCGACATCGACTCTGTCTCCGAATAGATCATACTGGTCGGAAGGGGTTGGTCATCGTTCAAGTTGACGGTGCGTGGCCTGCGAGAAGTGGAATGGCGAATGTTGGATATGAAGGGAGCGAAGTGAGGAAGGACTGCATCGCATTGAATATGACCGATATTGCGTAGAAATGCTTGGGGATACACTGAGACGGAGGGGGCAGAGATTTGACCTCCAGAGTAAGCATCATGGTCTACGGCCATGTCGTCATGGTCAGGAATGTAAGATGAAAACAACTCAGGAATGGTCTCCAAGTTGACGAGGAGGCCGCATGGTCTTGCGCTGCGACGTGTCTTACCGTGAAGACGAGGGATGCGACGTCCGTCCTCATCATAGATGTTATTTTCACGGTGAGTGACTGGATCGCGATGGGGGACATGATCGAGATCTACCTCTCGCGAATGGCAGGATCAGGGGAATCGTATACCACGCCGTGGACCTGAATGATCTCATCATTGGGAACTTCTATCCAACGTTTTACCCTGATGCACCTGTGCGTGCATGGCGTGAGTTCGATCATGCATTTAATAATTTGATGGGAGGATGGATGCAGGCAGTCCTGGGTGAGGCAGAAAGGAAGGGACGTACGTGATGTCAGTGGCTATAGCCACAGAGATGTATCTAATATAGGGATAAGCCCTCTCTGCATGCCAATTCCTGGCCTCTAAGGTGTGGGCCTGAGGGTCAGAGCTGGCGATGGGTTGATTCTGACCGTAACGACAAGCTACTGCTGCGGGAGCCCGAGTGAGAAGCCAGCCGTCCTGCTTCCATGATCTAGGGGCTGCATCAACCCAGTCATCCCATTCTTCGATTATCGTCTGGTGTAGATTCACCAGATCGGTGAGACGCAAGTCCCAAGTTACTTGCGAGCTGCGACAATTAAATGTCGAGTACGAACAATCAGCTGCGTCCAATAACAACATACAAGTGGAATGTAGGACGCGTTCAGAACGGGCAGCACGGCGTGTCAAGCACAAGCGAAGACAATGTCTTGCTATGAAATACTATAGATGTGGACCACGATCTATGAGTGTCTGAACACAAGGAGTCGAGCTCACAGACGCCGTTGGAACCGTTCTGAGCGCGGAAAAAATAGGGGTTGTACCCCCCTTTTGATGCGTTGGGCATTAGATGAGTGTTGTAGCACAAGGATGAGGTGCGTACTCTATAAGGGGGAAGATACTGGCGCAGAAGAATTGACTCACTATATGTTGACACGTCCCTGATTTCCATGCGCTCAGGTCATCATCTGTGCCATAGGGATGCATCACGTAGATAGGGAGCGAGGTGTTTTTGGACAGGGCATATGCGAGGAACATAATGGCCATGCGAAAATGAGGAGCGGATAACCTGGTGTCTCCATGTTGTTTTTCGCTGAGGAGAGGGGCGGCGTTGGCGACGTCCAAGTCCTCTAGGTTTTCGCGTGGGCAGAACGCAAGCCAGGACTCACAGGATGGTCCTCTTCCCAGAGACATCATGCATCCCGTGGGATCAAAACCAAGCTTGCCGAATTTCGGTCTAAACATGTGGTTTGGCAGAGAGAGGTTGAGTGCGATGGAAAAATGTGTGGTCCACGACCTTGTTTGGTAGCAGGGCATGCAAACCGACAGAGCCACCCACCACTAGAAAGAAATCGAGAAAATGCTGGGAACCGTCCCAAGCGAGCATCTCGTCATTATTATCATAGTAAAGGTCGTCGTCGAGGCGGAGGACAGAACGACGGTGCAACAAGTTGATTGCAGTGGCCTTGTCTTCTTTTTTGAAGGTGCGTGCGAGGGTGGACAAACTTACGGGGTGAACTTTCGTCTGTTCCCAGGTACGACCTGCGGGAAGAGGTCCTTCTGGTTGCAGGAAGAGACTCTCAAAGATGTCGCTTTGGGGCAAGGCATCTTCTGCTTCGACAGAGGAAGGAACATCCGCCAAATCGAAGGGGCGAGGGTCGTCCTGATCGCCATTGCGGAGAGCTCCTTGAAAAGTGATGGTGGCCAGATCATCATCACTGTCGAAACTTGAGGGAAATGGTGAGGAATGAAAAAAAATGGGTTAATAACTACTCACGCGCGATCGTCTATGTCGGACATGCTGGTATTGAAAGGGAATGCGAGAAGGATCAGGCCAAAAATGGAATGGGAGGGAGGGTCTGCTTGAGAGAGACTGGTCAGAAAAAGCGGGTGTGCAGAAGGAAAGAAAAAAGATACTAGAGGCGAAGAGAGAGCCGGAGGGGAGGCGCTACGGTTCTAAGGACCTTATGTCCTTTGTAATATATATATATTGATATGTGAAATTCAAGCAATGCCCCAAAGAAAATTTTAAGAACTAGGAGCCTCAGCGTTCCGGCACCGGAAAGATGGTTAATATTAGTATATTCTGGCAAGGACACAGATCAGGGAGGAGGCGACATGACGATGATGAGGGATGTGTGTGAGATGACTAAATAAATGAATAGGAACAGGAGGAAAGAAAAGGACAGAAAGACGAC